TATGCTATTTACAATCCACCATTCACAACAGGAAGATCAGAGGTGGATTATGGTAAATGTAGCAAAATGTGCCAAAAGATAATAGAAAAGGTGGCCACAGTGGCAATGAGAGTCAGAGTAAAGATCCTAATACTTGGGGATTTTAACCACAGGGAAATAGACTGGTGAATAAAGGATCTTCATGGTAAAGATGAAACATGGAGAGCATGATGTGTGGACACTACAAACACTTCCTGTAGCAGCATATTAAGTAACCAACAAGAGAAAAGGCAACTCTAGCAGCTACCCAAAATGATGATGATGTAAGGAACTTAAAAATACTGAGGTACCACTAAGCGCCAGTGACCACTGTGTTATGTTTGAGGTTATTTACAACTGTGTGTGTTAGACCAGACAACAGGATAAAGAGCATGAGAGAACATAAGAGGGCACTACAGGAGGGTTAGGGATTACCTGCAGGAGGTTCAATGGCAGACAAAAATGGGAGGAAGGTCAGCAAATGAGATATGGAACATAATACAAATTCAAAGAAACGACAAAAAAGTTCTCAGGAGGGAAGTGGTCAAAAAGGAGAACATCAAACCCATAGTTCAACAGAGTAAGGAATAAAATACAGCACAATAAAAACGCATGGAAAAAACCAGCATTGAATGTAATGAAACGCCATTTTCTGGACAAGCCTCAGAGACTTCCTGAAGCTATAAAAACTGACACGTGCAATATTTGTTTGGGGGTCATCAGTCACAGGAGTTCTTAGTGTCTATTGGGAACCACAAGCCAGAACCTGGTCCCCTCAGAGAGGTGCAAGGAGCAATGGCCTATGAGCACTCTACATTTAGAGTATGTCATACTTGCCATCGACCGGGGAGGGCACCCAGAAAGATAGGCGAAACAAAACAAACCACAAGCTAGTAAAAATTGCAACCTTCATCTGAACAGAGTAAAATAACTCCTCCCAAAAGTCCAAACAGAGTAAAATAAAATAACTCCTCCCAAAAGAAAACAAACAAACCATCATCCAACAAGCATGCCCACTCAGGCGAGCCAGCTGCTCACCACTCCAGTTCGAAGAAAGCTGAAAACCGCCGACAGGGTGAGGAAGGGTGTCAGGGAGCCTCCAGAGCTCGCCCAGAAAATGGCGTTTCATTACATTCAACGCTGGTTTTTTGGGGGAAGCCCCGAAGCTAATTACCCACAGATAAGTAAAAATAGCGACTTACCCGGGAGGCAACAGTACCACAGGTCTTAAGACGAGGAGGAGACATTCGACGGCAACAGACAGCACAATGTAACACAAGGCTGTATAGGGCTCGGGACGTTCATGTCCCGATAGAGAGATATCTAGTGGTCAGGACCCTGTTCGACCTTCAAAACCCATGTCCGAATGTAGACCCCAAGACATATTACCAAAAATAGCAGCCAGAGAAGCATAAGGGTAGACCACAGGCTGACTAAGACTGGATGACCCCTGCAGACAATTTGAGACACACGAGCTCTGGAACAGGGAACCAGGGGAAACTGGATCCACCCAGAGCATGTCCACTGTCATGGAACCAGTGGCCCATAGGTAGTCATGCAAAACCACCACCGGACATAAGACACTATGCACCCGCGGCCTAACCCTGGAAACACAAACAAAAACTGTCTATTTTCCGCTTGTTACAACTTGTAATAAAGTTGTTATGTCTTGGCTTAACGTGTTTATGACGTATTAGAATGTTGTTACAACTTGCTATATTGGTTGTTATAACTGGTTAGGTGGTGTTAAAACTTGCTCGAACGTCGTAATTTCGGTGTGTTTGGCGGGTAACCAACCAAGCATCCACCACCAACGGACGCCTCCGGAAGCCCGCCGTCTCTTTCTTTGCCAAAAAAGAAGGAGAGCGCAACAAACGAACAAAATGACATCCAGGACTAAAAGAGCAAAACCCCTGGTGCCAGAGAAGAGCATGAAGCTCCCCAACCTGATCATCAGGTTGCCCCCTGATGATCAGAAGCGGCAGCGTGCCCAGTAGTGCAAAATGGCCGCCAAAACAAACAACTAAACTACTGCAAAACATCCAAGCCAAAGATGGATGCGCCCGATGCGAGGGTTCATAAGCCATGCTGGTAAATATGGTAAAACCCATGCAGAAAGGAAGGCAGGGATGAAAACCCCCTCCTCAGCAGCAACAACCCCAGCCCAGAAGGCACAAAGACCCAAGCAGGGGCAACAGGAGCCCAAGCACTCCCAGCGGACTCCCCCCAAGCCCTGGGAACCCCCGAAAGAGGCCCCCAGGGCAGAGCCCACATCCACGCCCACCGCCCCTGAAGAAAAGACGGAGTCTAGGAGAAAAACTTCAAAAGGAGGGAGTCTGCTGGGTCGCCGCAGAAGCTTCGGCGGGAAAATCGCGATCAACCACCTCCACACCTGAATCAGAAGGGAAAATCCCCGAAGCCACCCCTGAGCTAAACCCAGGCCTGGCTCGGAAACCCTGACGTTTGGGAGCCGGAAGCAGGCAAAGAGGAGCAGGGCAAACCATGCCCACTTGGTAAGTGGGAGCGAGGCCAGAATCAAAGTCGAAGGGACCAACACCCCCCAAATCCTGGTTCCTTAATTTAAATCCAAGCAGGGCAACTCCGGGACTTCCAAACGGGCAACCAACCTGGCTCGTTGCAACAGCTGCTGCCTAGCCCCTGAGATCTTCAAACAAAGAATGGGTCAACTGGAGCACAAGCGGGGAACAAATCTCGCAAGACTCCGGTTCGTCGGTGTCACCGACCCAACAGGCAGCATGACAGAGGCAGTACTGATGATCGTCACCCAGAGGCAGGGGCAACAAACAACCTTCAACATCGCACAAGGCCAAAGTGAGTACATTTTGAGGGCCCAAAGCACTAAAGAGGGGCCCAAAATGAGTACATTTTGAGGGCCCCAAAGCACTAAAGAGGGGCCCAAAATGAGTACATTTTGAGGGCCCCAAAGCACTAAAGAGGGGCCCAAAATGAGTACAAGAGAATCAGGAGGGGAGCAGAGCAGCAGCAGTTTGAAAATGATATTGCAATAATAGCAAAGAACCAACCCAAATTTGCATAGCTATATGCGGAGGAAAACTACAGTATGATACCACGATTTAGACTGGTGGTAGAGAGAGGAACACTCTAGAGAATGACAAAGAAGTGTGTGAAAACTCAATAAGAGGTTCCAGGTCTACAAGCTGGAAGCAGATTAATGTCCAAGCACAGGTGACAACTTCCAACCAGAAACACTAAACTATAGAACAGTGTCACTAACAAGCAAAATGCATGGAAAAATCATCAATAAAAGAATTGTAGAACATTTGGAGAGAGTAAATTCTTCAACAGATGCACGAGATGGCTTCAGAGAGAAAATCATGCTTAAATTGAATGAATTTCATGACGGGGTTACCAGCATAATACAAGAGAGAAAGAAGGCTGGATAGTTCAGCTTCCTACAATGCCAGAAAGCTTTCGATACATGCACAAAATACTATTACACAACATGGAGAGACAAGCAGGGATACGAGAAAATGCACTGGACGGACCGAAACGTCGTTTCATAATTTTCTGATGTGTGGTTTGGACAGCATATGTAATGCTATCCTGACAGACAGGATGGCATTACAAATGCTATCCAGGTTTGTTTCCTGACAGACAGAAAATGAAGGGGTCATGCAAACAATGAGTCACAATAATGTGGCTGAAGATATAATGACCAAACCACACACCACAAGATGGAGAAACGACAACGTTTTTGTCAGCCCTGGCCATTTCAAGACATATGTGATGATGGTCCACGACAGACCGAAACGTCATCGTTTCTTCATCTTGTGGCGTGTGGTTTGGTCAACAAAGGGGTCATAATCAGAGAGCATATCAGGATGGAGAGGACTGGAAAGTGGTGTTCTATAGGGCTCTGTCTTAGAACCATTTCTCTTTATAACTTATGTAAATAATTTTCCAGAGGGGGCTCATACATATCGATGTTCACAGAAGATAAAAGGTTAATGAGAGTAAGAACCCAAGAGGACTGTAGGTTGCTGCAAGAACAACTTGACACACTTCAGGAAAAGGGCAGAAATTTAATCCAAATAAGTGTGAAGTAATGAAGAGAGGTAAGGGATGTATGAGACTTGTTGGTAACATACTATAGGGGGGAAGGCAACTACAACAAATACATAAAGAGGGAAAAAGTCTTTAGAGTCAATAATCCCAGCACTATCACCAGAGGCTGATAAGAGCCATTGCTTCATTATGCAACACTGGCATGGAACCCACACCTTGTGAAGTCCAAAAACTTTTTTTGAAAGTTCAGAAATTTGCAATAAGATTAGTACAATAATTGAGAGGGCTCAGCTATGATGACAGGTTGAAGAATCAGGAGATATGATTAGTGCATACATGATCCTGGGGGAACACACAATGTGGATAAAGAGCAACTAAAGTTAAAGAAGGTAGAACAAGAGGACACCCATTCAGGGAATCGCACATTCCTTGTATGGATAATTCTACCCACAACTTTATATGTGATGAAAGCTTTCATGCCGAGTGATAATTAATATGTCGAGTAAAGATGGGCGAGTGGTAGTGCATACAGAGCTACATCTCACTCCCCCCATAGTCACTGATAAGTAAACACCCATTGTACACCACACACAATCATTGCTTGTTTCTTCTATTAACACAATTATTCTTTCCAAAACACTTTGTGGTATGTGCGTGTGTGAAAGCAAAGCTATTCCCACCTTCCTCAATACCCTTTGTCTTGGTATTCATGTCTCTTATATAAATGTATCATCCACGAGTTATGATGGTTTAAGTATAAACATTACCCGCATGCACACAATGAGTCACAATAACATGGCTCAAGATATGATGACCAAACCACACATCATACACACTGCTTCATAATGGTCCAGGACGGACACAAACATCATTTCTTCACTTTCTGATGTGTGTTTTGGCCATCACACACACACACACACACACACAGGGATAGGTAATTACACACACACACATTGTGTATATATATTAGTGTGTAATGTTCAAATTCCACTATGTAGTAATATTACTTCTGGGAGGGTTAAATTACTTCATTACAGGTATAATAATAATAATTCTTACCATGCATCTCCAATCCTAATAATATTGTGCCGCAAAAATATATCTGCTAGTAATGCCACTTGCAATTATGAGCAGTAACCTACATACAATGCTAAGCTTCATCTTGTGTTTTGATCAAAATTATCACTTACACAACAAAATTGACATGAAATACAACTTAAAAACATTATAAAATATTTATAGAATTTAAGACAATTTTCTAGGGATCATTTAAATTGAGTAGATATGTAATTTGAGGAGTGAAAGACAGAAATGACACTTGATTAACTTCAAGTTTGCTCCCACGTATAATGTTTCCATGCCTGCTTACAACTAAACATTCATAAACTACACTATTATCATCTCTATATAAACAAAATAAACAACTTATTAACCGATAAAAAGGAACATAGAAACCTGGAGCATTATACACTACTACACTTGCATCCTCCATCACTTGTCAACACTTGACTAGGGTCACATGCCCATTTCACTATCATATACAAATGTGTACAAAACAAGTCTACAAAATGATAATTGATGATGCATTCCAGCTATGCTTCTTAAGTTAAAATATTATATGAAAGAATATAAAATATAAGACACTTGTGGCATTTGTCTTACAAAAGTGAGCAAATGGGTATGGATACAAAACAACGCTGGAGAGAGAGTATCATGCCACCAACTGCTGCCGCTGGCTAGTTGATAACCGTGCTAAGTAGGAGTAGAGTCTTCCCATCACCAGTCCTCGATCCTAAACGCACAATTTTTGAAAGCCAAGATTGCTGACAAATGACTATTTCTTATTATAAATATGATGCATCCTATAAAACCAGACTGTATGAAGCATCCATTGCCCAATTTGTCCACAGTTAAAAATATGACTCAAGGGCAGGGAAGGATCTTGGGAGAGGAAATTACTAATTTGCCAAAAAATAAACATGTTAAGTTTCAAATGTCAATGTAAATGAGTTGGCAGTGAGGAACCTCCACCACAATGACCCTTTCCTTGCCATGCTAATAATTTGCAAAAGACACCTAACATTTTGCTTTCAAAGTTAAAATCTGGCAATCCATCCAAGCTGCCAGGTGGAAGCCAAGTATCACATTAAAAAGGCAAGTAGCAGTAACTGAACTACATATGTTAATTGCTTTGTACTTTCCATGTACTTAATAAATGAATGATTTACAATAAAAATTACAGTTTACGCTCCCTGACTCAGTCAATCACAAACAGGAGGCTTGTCTAACAATTCCCCTGAGTGAAGGTAACAACTCCAATAGAAAATAATTGAGGACATTAAACAGGTATAACAATAATATAAATTGTTTTAACAGTGTGAAGCAGTTGTTATTTACAGGTACATACTGCGGATGAGGTACTTCAGTCAGATGCTATCGGTGAAGGCGGAGGAGGACAGGGGGCACGAGCACAGTACGAACGCTCGGTGGATGGAGAGGGAGGGCAGGAGGAGGTTGGGGGGCATGAAGTGAAGTCACACATATACTGCATCTGTGGAGTAGGAGGAGGAGGGTGAGGATCTGAATCATAGTCTGTCATGGGTGGAGAGGAGTAGTAGGTGGTAGAGCCTGGAGTGTAACAATGGCTTCTACGTGGTGACACTGCTGACGAATAAACATCTGAATCACAAACATCTGTAGAGCAAGGGGTGGGAGGGGGAGGCCTGTTACGGGTCTTGTAGTGACGATAGGAGTGGAGAGTCGACGTCGGTATTTGATGTGAATTACAACAACAGTGGGTTTCCTGATTCCGACCTCTGTTCTCTGCTACGGGAGTAGGCGGAGGATTCAGTGTTTCTCTGGGGTAATGAGTCATGGAAGAGGACGATGATGATGCTCCCGTTACTGGTGCAGGATCAAACATTCCTCGAGCTATTGCACCTCTATTAATAATGCCTCTGCATATCCCAGGTGCCGACGAACCACCAACACCAATGGGCATATGGGGATCTCTCGGCGGAGGTTCACCCGGTACTGATGTGTAGCTTTTACCCCAGGAAGTCACCACAATATTATATGATCTCGGCTGGGGAGGCTTGGGATGAGGTTCCAATTCATGATCGTCCAAGAGTGATGGCCTCCTTCGGTAATATACCACTAATGCAGCCACGCACACTAGCACTACAACTGATACCACAACACCCACAATATATGGAGCTTTACTAGCTGTTCCATTTACATCTGGAGGATCTATAACCCAGGTGGAACACAGAGCATGATCAGGGTTATCGGGACAAGGACGACGACCTCCGGCACAGTGTACAGCAGTATCCACACATCGTCCTGTTGAAACGCACATAACTTGCCCTTCATCACAGCATCCTACCTCATCAGTTCCATCACTGCATTGCCTCTTGCCATCACAAACCTCAGATTTATCTGAAACAAAAACACACTGCACTTAATTTTTTTTTTTTTTTTTTTTTTTTTTTGCAGGTAAATTCCTGTGCGGACCCTAAGCCTCTGCACTTGACACTATTGTGCTCCCAGCAGAAGGCTCTTTAAATTTTCCCTTGTGCGCTGAGCATTTCGGGTGACTACACAGCGACACTGAAAAATGTATACTCTTTTCGGTCTGCTCACCTTAATTTTTCATGTATGTATTTAAATTTAGTATCAATTTGTTTGCAAGAGAATGCTCTAGAGAAACATACATATAAAATTTCACCACAGTCGACATGAGACCCGCACCAAATAAAAAACCAGCATTGAATGTAATGAAATGCCATTTTCTGGGTGAGACCCGGAGGCTCCCCGGAGCTATACCAGGCTGATATGCTAATGTCAGTCTTTGGCATCAGTCATGTGTATGGAGTTCTTAGGAGTACTGGGGACCATGGCCAGAACCTGGCCCCCTCACAGAGGCAACGGGAGCAATGGCCTATAGAAACCGTGTGGTTGGAAGCATTCTATGTCTGCCATTGACCGGGTCAAGCATCCAGAAAGGTAAGCCTCCCAAAACAAACCCCTATTCTGGTGAAAATTGCTACCAAAAGCCGAACTAGTGGATAGAACTCCAACAGAAAACAAGCAAACTAGTATGACATCACACGTCACCGTGCCGCTGTCTGCGCAGCTCCCCCCCTCCCCGGGAGGGGGAAGGGGGAGTCCCAGATCTCACACGCTGGCTATCCACCCTTCAGTTCTGAGGCTGGATGTCAAAACACGCGAAAACCGCTGACCGGAGGGAGGGAGGGTTGCCAGGGAGACTTCGGGTCTCATCCAGAAAATGGCATTCCATTACATTCAATGATGGTTTTCTGGGGGAAGCCCCATCGGCTCCCCGGAGCTAACTACCCACAGAGGAAGGTTTAAGGGAAGTATCCAGGAGGCGGCCACCACACACACCTCAACACAAAGCGAGACAACCGGCAGCAACTGCCAACCCAAAGAGACACAGGCCCGACCAGGCCTAAGGACGTGAACAAGGCAACGAGCAGCCAGGACCCAGTTTGACTGCCAAAATCCCCACACTCGAAAGTCCGCCCAAGACAGTCCCAAGGAATGGCAGCAAGAGCCGCGAACCTGTGAACGTCACAGGCACGGGGAGAGGCCATAAGCCGGCCAGCCTTAATAACCCCGCGGACGACCCGGGAGACCCACACCCGCGAACAGGGAAGAAGGGAAACCGGATCAACCCGAAGCGCATCCACGGACACACAAGCCATGGCACACCAAAAACGGCGGAGCACACTAGAGAAAATGAACGCAGAACACCAGCACATGTGCACACCACCCCGAACCAAAACAAACTCCCAGGGCGCATGCGCAGGACACGAAAGAAAAGTAGCCCAACAGGTTGGGCTACTCTGTTCAACAACAGAGCAGAAAAGTAGCCCCAACGGTCGTATCCTGAGAGATTCGCTGAAGAAACAGGCCAACTCATGGGAACAGAAGCCAAAAAGAAGTAAGCAACGACCCACACAGCCAGCTCATATAAGGAAAACAATGAACCGAATCAGAACCCAAGCGGCTACCAGTAGTCCAACTGAGCTACAAGGAGCCCAATCTGGCATCCCGGACCAGGATAACGGAAGGAAAACCAGCAGTGCCGAGACACAACACGGAGAGAAGAGACATGAACAAAAGAACAAGACAGGGCCAAAAACCCAGAAGCAGCCCGGAAGAGGACCAACAAGCCCTAGAAAGGACCAAAGGGAAGCTTCATCGAAAGACAACAAACGTTCCAATAATACGGAAAGGAGCAAAAACCGTCCCCAACCTTCGAGAACACATAGAAGCAAGCACAAATGACAAAAGCACAGAAAAGCCCAGTTGCACCAGAGACCAAAAGTCATGCAGAACCCCAAGAAGAGGGGAACATGACAGAGAAGTCCCATCCCAAGAAAAAAAAGGGGCGAAGAACGGAGAAGAGCACCCACTGACAGGACGGAATCAACGGGCTTAATGGACTTAACCATTAAGCCCAATTAATTACTTAACCAACGGGCTTAACCGAGCCCGAGGAGGAGCCGACGCCCAACAACTTGTGCGGAGAGTGGGGAAGGAAAACCCCCACTCCGTCTAACTGCAAGCCCCGCCCAGAGGGTAGAAAAACCCCGGCCGGGTCCAACGGGGCCTGAGGCCCCCCTACGTCAGCCCCACCCCAGCCCCGGGAACCCACACGGCAGGCCCCGGGGCTGAGCCATCCCCCAAAAGCCCCCAGCCTCACAAGAAAAAAATGGGGCAGCCATGAACAAGCAACAAAACTCACAGGACTCGGCGCCAAAGGTGTCACCGACCCCACCGGCAGCAGACGGAGGCAAAACAGGGAGAGTCACCCTGAGACAAGGGGACAGAGCAACCCTCGAACTAGCACAAAGCGAGGGGGAACTCCGGGGCCACATCCAACGGGCCCATGCTTCCCCTAGGGGATTCCAAGGGTCTTGAGCGTTTACCATAAAAGGACTCACGCTCAGGTAATCCCAGGCAGGGTACTGCAAATCGGCGCCCAAGTCTACCAAATAATTTTCTAAGAACTGAACCCCCGGGACGTGTACACTCACGAGGACCTAGCAGGAGGAACCACCAGAAGAAGGAAGAGAACCCAGTACAAGGGGGGCAAGGACCAAAGGCAGATGCCCCCACCAGGCAGACAAACAAAAAGAAACAGAAAACCCCGCAAGAGGACAGCATACCCAGGCAGAACAGAGCCGCTTAGGTAAAAGTGACCATGTCTTATTGGGAATAAAGTATGTTATGCGTAATAAATTGGAAGAAAATGAGGTTGAAGCAGTTGAAAAGTCTGATTTCAGGAGAGGTCATTATGGGGAACTCAGACATTTCTTTAACCCTTAACATGCTCGGGGTTTAATATCCTGTCATCCCCACAGGCGCATGTCATTTTGAAAAAAAAAAAATATATTTTTTCTTTCTAACCTGTTAATTTGTGTTCACTGATCACGGGAAAAATAATAAAAAAATCGTAAGTGGCATATATTGCCCGCTATAGGGCGGGGAAGTCTGGCAAATTATAGGCGCTGACTCAGCGTGCGTCCCAGGCGGTCTGTTGCTCGCAAGCGGCAAGGCCAGAGTTGCCACAAAGAGATTATTACCGAATTATTTCAATGTCTCTGATTGATTTTTCATACTTTTTTTGCTGTAATATTATTCAATAGTGTGTAGTTTGATATATTTATATAATAAAATGAGTGAATCATTGGTGTACTCAAAAATATGGTGTGCATATTGTTGATTCAATTATGTTCATCAACCAGTGAACAAATACTTTGTCGGTTATTACACTATAAGCACAGGTTATATATAAGTATTTGCATGTTTTGTTCACTATAACGAACCACTAAGTAGCTATTATGAGTCAAAGAGTAATGAGGAGTGACCGCCGTGTACCAGCCAGCCAGTCCCGCCCTCCCTCCAGTCATCTGACTCACCCTCATTCTCCTCCCACAATAATGTTTTTGCTATAATTCACTATATACAGACGTTATATATAAGTATCTACATGTTTTGTTCACCATAACTGTACATCTAAGCTTGTATGGTGAGTAAAGGCACAGAGATGTGGTTACTCACACAGTCAGCTGATCGGCGGCCGCCCTCAAGGTCAGACGCACTAATATTTCTCCTCCAACAATACTGTGTGGCGTTATTACGCTATATATCTTATATACAGACGTTATATATAAGTATCTACATGTTTTGTTCACCATAACTGTACATCTAAGCTTGTATGGTGAGTAAAGGCACAGATGTGGCTACTCACACAGTCAGCTGATCGGCGGCCGCCCTCAAGGTCAGACGCACTAATATTTCTCCTCCAACAATACTGTGTGGTGTTATTACGCTATATACACACATTATATATAAATATCTACCTGTTTTATTCAACATACTTGTACAAATAAACTGGTATGGTGCCCAGAGACCATCGTGGTAACCAGTAAACAACACCGTCGTCTGCACGGTGGCGTCGTGCAGACGACGCCACCGCCCTCACCAAAATGGCGGCTCCAAACCTTCTCTTGCTGTTTATACCCTCTATATGCACGTTATATATAAGTATCTACATTTGTGTTCACCATAGCGAACCACTAAGCTGGTATGGTGAGTGCAGTCAATAAAAGGTGGCAACACACAGTCAAAAGACATCGCCACCACCCTCCCTCCCACAGCATTACACCTTCTTCCATGGCGCACAGCGCTAAATATCACCACAATCCTGCTATTATCAGAACCCTAGTCAGTTTTATCACAGTCAGGGGTCTTCTGTAATAATATCGCTACATAATAGCATGAACATGTATAATTTGGCATTTTTAGGCGATGCTGTGGTCACAAGCTGAACAGCAGTGCTGTTAGCTCATGCTGCGTGCGTCAGGCTTGGTTGCTCACTCAATACCGAGGCCAATAACACCCGGGAGTTTGGCCCACGATTTTTTTTAAAAATGGCGTCTGTTTACAAGAGCCCTGACGAAGGTGTGGTGAACCCCGTGTATCCGCGGGCTGTTTAAATCTTGCGTAGTACTCCAACACATCATATGACGTGATGCGCAGTTTACTGGAACAACGTCCAACACGTCATATGACGTGATGCGCACTTTAAGGGTTAAGGAAATTGAGTGGAAAGACTTGCTGTAAGGACATGAAGTAAATGAGATGTATGTCAAGTTTTGTGAAATATTTGATAAAGGCACAAAAAATTTATACCAAAGCAGAGATGCAGAACTACGAAACAGCATTGGTTCGACAGAAGTTGCACGAGGGCCAGAGACCAAAAAGATACAAAAGTGGAATCAATATAGGAAGAGGCCAAACCCCCAAACATACCAGCGATACAAAGATGCGAGAAACAACTACACGGCAGTGAGGCGACAGGCAGAAAGAAATTTTGAAAAAGGTTCTATAAATTCATAAACAACAAATTGCAGGTAAAGGATAATATTTAGAGGTTGAAAATGGAAAATAGATTCACAGAAAATGAAAAGGAAATGTGTGAAACATTAAACGAAAAGTTCCAAAAGTGTGTTTGTACATAATGAAATCTTCAGGGAACTTGACACAATAAGAATTCCAGAGAACAACATAGAGCACATAGAGGTGTCTAGAGATGAAGTGGAGAAAATGCTAAAGGAGCTAAGTAAGAACAAAGCAGTTGGTCCAGATGGACTTTCACCATGGGTTCTGAGAGAATGTGCACCTGAGCTCAGCATTCCACTTCCACTGATTTTTCAGGAATCCCTGTGTAAAGGTGTTGTAGCTGATGTGTGGAAAATGGCTAACATTGTCCCAATCTACAAAAGTGGCAGCAGGGAAGACCCCCCTTTAATTATAGATCTGTATCATTGACAAGTGTAATAGTCAAAATATTGGAAAAAATAATTAAAACTAAATGGGTAGAACACCTGGAGAAAAACGATATAATATCAGACAGACAGTATGGTTTTCGATCTGGAAGATCCTGTGTATCGAATTTACTCAGTTTCTATGATCGAGCCACAGAGATTTTACAGGAAAGAGATGGTTAGGTTGACTGCATCTATCTGGACCTAAAAAAGGCTTTTCACAGAGTTCCACATAAGAGGTTGTTCTGGAAACTGGAACATATTGGAGAGGTGACAGGTAAGCTTCTAGCATGGATGAAAAATTTCCAAACTGATAGAAAAATGAGGGCCGTAATCAGAGGCAATGTATCTGATTGGAGGAATGTCACAAGTGGAGTACCACAGGGTTCAGTTCTTGCACCAGTGATGTTTATTGTCTACATAAACCATCCACCAGATGGAATACAGAATTATATGAACATGTTTGCTGATGATGCTAAGATAATAGGGAAGATAAGAAACTTAGATGATTGTCATGCCCTTCAAGCAGACCTGGACAAAATAAGTATATGGAGCACCACTTGGCAAATGGAATTTAATGTTAATAAATGCCATGTTATGGAATGTGGAATAGGAGAACAGACCCCAACACAACCTATAAATTATGTGAAATATCTTTAAAGAATTCTGACAAAGAAAGAGATCTAGGGGTGGGTCTAGATAGAAAACTATCACCTGAGGACCACATAAAGAATATTGTGCGAGGAGCCTATGCCACGCTTTCTAACTTCAGAATTGCTTTTAAATACATGGATGGCAAAATACTAAAAAAATTGTTCACGACTTTTCTTAGACCAAAGCTGGAATATGCAGCGGTTGTATGGTGCCCATATCTTAAGAAGCACATAAACAAACTGGAAAAGGTGCAAAGACATTCCACCAAGTGGCTCCCAGAACTGAAAGACAAGAGCTACGAGGAGAGGTTAGAGGCAATAAATATGCAAAAACTAGAAGACAGATAAAACAGAGGTGATATGGTGACTACGTACAAAATAGTAACAGGAATCGATAAAATCGATAGGGAAGAATTCCCGAGACCTGGAACTTCAATAACAAGAGGTCATAGATTTAAACTAACAAAACAAAGCTGCTGGAGAAAAATAAGAAAATTCTCTTTTGTAAACAGAGTGGTAGACGGTTGGAACAAGTTAAGTGAGAAGGTGGTGGAGGCCAAGACCACCAGTAGCTTTGAAGCATTATATGACAGTGCTGGGTAGACTGGACACCACGAGCTTAGCTCTCATCCTGTAATTACACTTAATTACACACACACACACCACCACCACAAGTTATAACTGCCTTCTGTTGCTGTTACCTTCTATGTTCTTGCAGACAATGCCCTCACACTAGGTCTTGGCACAAGCTCCAACAGGTGGTAGACACACAAGGCAGTGTACTAGCACAACATTTTCAAGCTTCCAGGCATTCGCATTTGTATTAATTTCCTCATTTGTAAATGAAAATATCAAACTAGCTGCATGATAAGGTTGGGAGCTTGAGTCACATTCACCACCCAACAATGCACTCTTGATACTACCAGCCTGCAGCCAGATTGACTTACTAAATATTTATTTTCCAAGAAGACATCTGTTTAGTGGAGGCCTAAGGAAGCGAATGTGAGGCTGCAGGAGTTTAAAATGTTGAGTGGAACCTAAAATTATCTGAGGATGATATACAGACCCCTAAATGCACAACCCTTCTAAAGCCAATGCTTAAGCTCTAGGAAGCTACTACGGTTGTTGAAACCAATGCCACTGAATATGCTAGAAAAGAATGTTAACCTGGCCAATGATAAAGTTGCCTAAACAAACAAATTTAGGCAACAAATTGCCTAAGCATTTTGATTTTCAGTTTTATCAAATATATCTATTAAAGATTTTGTTCCATGTAGTATAAACTTTGAAGTGCACAAGTTACACAATATGTCACCAGCTGGCCGGAAAATATGAACTACTTACCAATGCATTGACTGTTTTTACAGCGAAACTGCGACTGACACATCGGTAAGGGACAGTTGAATTCGTCACTCTTGTCTTCACACTCGGCCTGCCCATCACATCTGACACCAGGGACAAACACACATTACTACAATATACTAAACTTAATTTTTAGTTAATAATGCTATAAAAATTAACATTTTATTAGTATCAAACCAATGAATGGCAATTTAGAGAAGGCATATTATAAGTATATATATAGTACATTATCTAACAGCTAACAAGTGTCACTACATACACTATTTATGTTGTGTTATGTTTATTATTTAATAATCCAGTATTATTTATATTTAGTAATTTATTTATTATTATAAATCCAGTATTTATAACCAAAATTTGTAGAAAAAAATTATATTTTTGTGGGATCCCCCAGAGGTTCCCTGTATCTATCTCTATCTCTATATCTATCTCTCTATATATGTATCTATCTCTTCTATCTCTCTATATATCTATCTCTCTATCTCTCTATCCACTCTATGGAGTGTTCATTCCGTGACTTTGTTTTACATATCAGCACAATCAAGGAACATCCGTGCACCATGTCGACTCCAAATGCACGCATTGTGTCAGTGAAAGCATCTACAAGCGGGTTACGCAAAAGAAAGAGGTCAGTGATGACATTTGAAAAGAAAGTTGAAATAATTAAGAAGGTGGAGAGCGGTGTCCCGAGAAGTGTCGTGTGCGCTGAGTATGGCATTAGTAAAAGTACTGTTTTTTATCTTCTTAAGGCTAAACCTATCATTTTTTACTATTTCTCTAGAAGTGAAAGTGATAAAGCAATACGAAATAGAAAGGTAGTAAGTAAAGCAAACGTGGAGTGTGTTGATAACGCAGTGTGGGAGTGGTACAAACAGATGTGAAGTGACGAAGAAGCCAGTGGCAGGCTAGCTGCTTGTGGAAAAGGCGCGTGAATTTCACCAAGCAATGAAAATTACTCAAAAGTGTGTATACAGTGATGGATGGCTCAGAAGTTTTAAAACCTGTCATGGCATTAGGTTCATTAAAGTGCACGGTGAAAGACAATCTGCCGATATTGTTGGTGCTGATGAGTATGTGAGTAAATTTGCGGAAATGGTGCAGGAACAAAATTTATCTCCAGAGCAAATTTATAATGCTGATGAGACAGGTTTGTACTGGTGTATGCTTCCCACAGAAACGATGGCTCATAGTGGTGAAGATGATCCTTCAGGTGGTTATAAACAGAACAAACAGAGAATTTCTTTGTTGTGCTGTGCAAATGCAGCTGGCACGCACAAATTAAAATTACTTGTGATTGGAATTAGTAAAAACCCCAGGGCTTTAAAGTCAGCTAGTTGCCTCCCTGTGATTTATAAGGACCAGCCAAGTGCGTGGATGTCTCGAGTAATATTTGTCGAGTGGTTTAATAAGAACTTTGTACCCGAGGTGAAGGAGCACCTGAAAAGTGTTGGTCTCCCGCAAAACAGCAAAGTTGTGCTGCTGCTAGATAACAATTCAACGCATCCACGAGGTGATGAGCTAGTAAATGGCATTATTATTGGAACGTTCTTGCCACCCAATACAACTTCAGTGATCCAACCCATGGATCAAGGAATAATTAAGAACCTTAAACACCACTACAAGAGGATGTTTGCCAGACGTCTTAATAATCAGCTTGGAACACTTAAGGACTTTTATAAAGTCTTCACAATAAAGTCAGCTATATGGACTATTGCTAGTGCGTGGGATGAGGTAAAGCAGACAACACTAAGAAATGGTTGGAAAAACTTTGGCCCACGTCAAGTTTGTTTCCTGAGGAAGATGACGAAGCAGATTTTGAAGGATTTGCGGTGAAGAAAGCTAGCGAGAAGAAAAAATTAAGAGGAACTCCTAGCCTATGTCAAGGGGATTAAGTCCCCTGAGATTAGAGCAGAACTGGTGACTGAAACAATAGAAGATGACATAGATAAATGGATAGATTTTGATGAAGAAGCCCCAAACAATCGAAACATGACTAATGATGAAATTATAGAATTAGTATGTACAGCAAAAAAGCCAGACGAGTGCAATGAAGAAGATGGAGAGGAAGAGGATGAAGAAACGTTAAAGGAAAAATGTAATATGAAAAAAATTCAGAAAAATTTTGAAGAAATTCTGCCATTTATGGACACGAGTAACAGCGAGTTTGAAATTAAGGACATGATGACTGTACAATTTGTATATGAAGTTTTTAAAAACAAGTGCCAAGGGAATGAAACAAATGTCAATTACAGAGTCCTTTGCAATGGCTTCCAAGAAAGCTGGCATTGCATCACCTGCACCTGACTCATCGCATGTTGACCCAGTCAACCCAACAACTTCAGTCAATCCAACACCAACATCCACCACCACCTCTTCCATGTAAATAACTATGCTTCATCAACATCGATCAACATAAGCGGATCAGGACTTCAGTTATTGGCGAGTACAAACAAAATACGGTCGCATTTACGCTATGAACCTGTCGATTTTTTCCCCTAGATTTTTTCACTCCCCCCCCCCCCCCCCCTCCATTTCTCGGATACGAACTTACATGTTAACCGACGGGTCTCGTCCCCAAGGAGTTCGGAAACCAAGTGGTGCTCTGTATCTGAAAGGTGTTTTTTTATTCACACTTGAAAATGTGTAAAACTCGTTGAAAAACAAAAAAATATATATCTCCCTTTCTATTTACGCTGCAGTACTGAAACTTTGAAAATTTGCAGCCCTTTTCACATATAACTAGTCAAAAAATATTGGTTGACATTGAACAACTTTTCCAAAACCAATCGAATGCCCCCTAAAGCACCTATATGAGGATGTTTGTGAGTCATCTCAATAATCAGCCAGAAAAAGTTAAGGACTCTAAAAAAAATTCTATATAATAAAGTTAGTTATCTGGACTATTGCACGAGACGAAGTAAAACTAACAACACTAAGAAATTGTTGGAGAAAACTTTGGCCTGCATTGGGTGTTTCCTGGGGAGGATAATGAGGCACATTTTGAAGGACTTGGGGTCAAGAAAATTAGCGAGAAGAAAAGTTAGGAGAGGATTTCCTAGCCTATGTCAATGGGATTAAGTCCCCAAACTGAGAGCAGAAACTGGTGAAAGAATCACTAGAAGATCTCATAGATAAGTGGATAGATTATGACGAACATGCCCCAACGTGCCCAACATGGGGAGCCAGTCGGCCGAGCGGACAGCACGCGGGACTTGTGATCCTGTGGTCCTGGGTTCGATCCTAGGCGCCGGCGAGAAACAATGGGCAGAGTTTCTTTCACCCTATGCCCCTGTTACCTAGCAGTAAAATAGGTACCTGGGTGTTAGTCAGCTGTCACGGGCTGCTTCCTGGGGGTGGAGGCCTGGTCGAGGACCGGGCCGCGGGGACACTAAAAGCCCCGAAATCATCTCAAGATAATTTCAAGATAACCTTTCAGAACATAACTGATGAAGAAATTATAGTTAGTTACAGAAAAAAGTCAGAGGAGTGTAATGATGATGGTAAGGAAGAGGAAGAGAATAAAGAAGCATAAAACAAAAAAGTTCAGCAATATTTTGAAGGCATTCTTGCACTAATGGAAACAAGTAACAGTGAGTTACACTGTGTAACAGTGAGTTACACTGTGTAACAGTGAGTTACACTGTGTAACAGTGAGTTACACTGTGTAACAGTGAGTTACACTGTGTAACAGTGAGTTACACTGTGTAACAGTGAGTTACACTGTGTAACAGTGAGTTACACTGTGTAACAGTGAGTTACACTGTGTAACAGTGAGTTACACTGTGTAACAGTGAGTTACACTGTGTAACAGTGAGTTACACTGTGTAACAGTGAGTTACACTGTGTAACAGTGAGTTACACTGTGTAACAGTGAGTTACACTGTGTAACAGTGAGTTACACTGTGTAACAGTGAGTTACACTCACTCTTACTCCTTGACACTAAGGACACGATGTGCCAGTACAATTTGTATATGATGTTTATCACAACAAGTTTTTATGAACAAGAGCAAAATGAATGAATCAACTTTAAATTGAAGAGTCTTTCAACATCTGAGGTGACCTCGTCACCATTAATCTCCACTTCAGTCAACCGAACACCATCAACGTCCACCAACACCTCTTCCATGTAAACAACAGTGCTCTATCAACAATAATAATCAAGTTGGCTAGAGGATCAGAACTTCTCATATTAGCGAGTTCAAACTAAATACCGTTGAATTTTTGCCATACAATTTTAGAATTTTCCCCCATATTTTCAAGATGCCAAACCACTTTTACGGACACACCAGGTTATTCATTCAGTCTTGGTCCCCAAGGGGTCTAAAAAGCACATGGCCCTCTGTATTTTGAATTAAGAAATAAATTTTATTAGACAAGTAACAAACATATGCAATCCCATCTTACAAAACTTGTGACTAACACTGGTAGATTAGCTAATAAACACATCTATTACAACCTCAATCAGTTTGCATGTACAGTATCAATGTAATTTTTATTTTTATGTAATGTGAAGTAAGTTCAGGACCAAAATAAAAAAATAGAGTGCAGAACAGTAAATAAGTGAAGAAGAACACACACCTCCATTTAAGTGGAATGCAATCGGCAGATCCCGAGTGGCAGCGAAATTCTTCGGGTTGGCAACTTGGAGGGTTGATACACGTCTTCAAGTCGTCTGCTAGGGTCTTGCCTTCGGGGCATGCACACCGCTGTTGCTGATCTCTTTCAAGGCATAGGTGACTACACTCACTTCCATTGTGACATGGGTGCACTTTCATCTTCTGTAATAGGAAAAATTAAGATAAGAGAAAACCGACCCACTTCTTCCAAATACTTTCTCCCAAATTATTCCTAATCTTGAGGTGGCGGGCACACTTGCAATCCTTCTCATATTCCATCTTCGTTCACACTACAGAGACAACTGTTCACTTGAAATATTTATTTAACTCCACAACTATCATAGACAAACTAATGAACCAGGACAATACACCATAATTAACGCGACGACAAACTAAACCGGGAAAAGTTTATATAATGAAGGTAAGGTGAAGGTAGACAAAATTTGAACATGTCACACCAGTATGCATGAACCAAAGACCACCATATGTCACCAGTAGACATGAACCAAAGACCACCATATGTCACCAGTAGACATGAACCAAAGACCACCATATGTCACCAGTAGACATGAACCAAAGACTGCCATATGTCACCAGTAGACATGAACCAAAGACTGCCATGTGTCACCAGTAGACATGAACCAAAGACTGCCATATGTCACCAGTAGACATGAACCAAAGACTGCCATATGTCACCAGTAGACATGAACCAAAGACTGCCATGTGTCACCAGTAGACATGAACCAAAGACTGCCATGTGTAACCAGTAGACATGAACCAAAGACCATATGTCACCAGTAGACATTAACCAAAGACTGCCATGTGTCACCAGTAGACATGAACCAAAGACTGCCATGTGTCACCAGTAGACATGAACCAAAGACTGCCATGTGTCACCAGTAGACATGAACCAAAGACCATATGTCACCAGTAGACATTAACCAAAGACTGCCATGTGTCACCAGTAGACATGAACCAAAGACCATATGTCACCAGTAGACATGAACCAAAGACCACCATGTCACCAGTAGACATTAACCAAAGACCACCATATGTCACCAGTAGACATGAACCAAAGACTGCCATGTGTCACCAGTAGACATGAACCAAAGACCACCATATGTCACCAGTAGACATGAACCAAAGACCACCATATGTTACCAGTAGACATAAACCAAAGGGCTTTTCCGGTGGAGGGGTCCACCGGAAAAGCAGGGATGAAGGGGGGCCCGCTGGAGTGACCCAAAAACTCTGGAGGAACAGGCTCGAATGCCTTCGCCGCCGATCCGAAAGGGGCAATATCCGAAGCTGCCCGAGACTTGCCCCCAGGCAAACCCAGCCCCTACCCCGAAAACCTCAGACATTTGGAAGCTGGGGGCAGGGGGAGGGGGGGGGGTTAAACCACAGCAGGGAAAGGACTAGGAGGTGCAGATGAAACCAAAATCGAGCAGACTAACACCCATCTCCCAAGTCCGGGTCCCTATAACCAAAGCAGGGCGGCTGCGGGACATCCGGAAAAGCAAGCAACCCTGCGCGTTGCAGCAACCTAAACTGCGCATGCACCCGAATATCAATCTCAGTGGACTGGGTGAACTGGAGTACAAGCAAGGAAGGCCACTTGCAGGACTCTGGGTCAAAGGTGTCACTGACCCAACAGGCAGCATGGCGGAGGCAAAGACGGTGAGTCAAGGGGGACAGAGTAACCTTCAAACTCGCACAGAGCGAGGTGGCACTCGGAGGACTCCTCCAACGTACCAATGAGCCCCAATGGGGGTTCCCAGGACTCTTAGGCTGACTGCTAAGGGAAGCCTAGGCGAGGTACTGCTAACAGGTTATCCAAGAGCTACCAAGCAAACTAACTAAAAGCTGAACCCCTGCGATGTGTGCAAGCACGGGGACCTGGTGGAGGGCCACCAAAATCATACCAGTGGTCCTACAGCCACACTAGGCAGACCTCCACCAGACAAAGCAAAACAAAAACAAAAGGAAAACCCCGCAAAAGCACAAACATCACAAGGGAAACAGAATCGGTCGCTATGCGTGTATCACACAGCTGCACAGTACCTTGTGCCCCAACCAGTGATGAAACTACCTCCTACCCATAGGCAAACAGAAGTAAAAACTGCCCACGCTGCTGACCCCTCTAAGGCGGGCAATTGCAGAGCAGCAACTGGACCTCGTGGAGGTAGTGTCCAGAACAGTTCATGGAAGATAACCCTAAGCCGCAAAGGCAGTACTTACAGGGCATCTAGGGAAGGTGACCCTAGGTACATGCAGTCCCCAGTACTCTCGTGTTACTTATGGCTCGCATACAACCAACACTGAACAACACTGCTATGCAGCACTGCTCAAAGGATGAAGCCAGAGTCGATCGAAAGGTTGTGCAGACAGATGCGTGGCAGTTGTGGTGACGTCATGCTTGTTTGCTTGTTTTTGATTGAGAGGCTCTGCTTGCTAGTTTGGCTTTTGCAATTTTTAACCGGCAGAAGTTTATTTTGGAATTACCACCTTTCTGGGTGCTTGACCTGGTAGATGGCAGACAAAGACTGCTTCCAATTACACGGGGGTGTCTTTAGGCCATTGCTCCTCGTGCCTCTCTTGAGGGGGCCAGGTTCTGGCTCTGGTCTCCAGTAGGCCTAGAACTCAATTGACTGACTTGTCATGGTCTAATATATGCGTATCAGCCCAGAATAGCTCCGGGGAGCCGAAGGGGCTATCCACAGAAGAGCAGAAAAACAATTAAATTCTTCACAAAGAGCGGTGGTTATCTCGACAGGATGCTGGTAAACTGAGGGCGCCTCGCTGCGATGACACACACTTGCTGGACCTGGGCCTGTATAAATGAATTCCCAACACCAAAGCAAATAACAAGTACCAAATCAAATTTTTTGGAGAAATTGACTACGAGTACTGAAAATTACGAAAACCGGGGCTTACGAGGACATCTTCAAGAGAAAACTAGATCATTTTCTCCAAGGAGTGCCGGACCAACCGAGCTGTGGTGGATACGTGGGCCTGCGGGCCGCTGCAAGCAACAGCCTAGTGGACCAAACTCTCACAAGTCAAGCCTGACCTCGGGCCGGGTTTGAGGAGTAGAAAAACTCTCAGAACCCCATCAAATAGGTATGAGAACCGAGGTTCCACTGTATACCTAAAACATCTACGTCAGTCTCCAAAAGACAACAATTTACAGCATCATAAATGACTGACAAAATAAATTATAAGCTGTCCTATATGTTCACATTTCTGAACTATTATATAGAACGAATGTGTGTGAATGATAAGGGCATTTGTACACAACCATATTTTCATCAGAGAACATTTTCCTTCCAGTGAGCATATACATAACCACCTGTGTGTAAATGTCCATGCATGTATGATGCATACAAATTGTCCTTCCAGTGAGCATATACATAACCACCTGTGTGTAAATGTCCATGCATGTATGATGCATACAAATTGTCCTTCCAGTGAGCATATACATAACCACCTGTGTGTAAATGTCCATGCATGTATGATGCATACAAATTGTCCTTCCAGTGAGCATATACATAATCACCTGTGTGTAAATGTCCATGCATGTATGATGCATACACATTGTCCTTCCAGTGAGCATATACATAAGCACCTGTGTGTCTACGCATGTATAATGTCATACAAGTTGCCAGTGTCTCGCCTGAGAGAGGACGGGTGTTACAGCAATGATGTCATACAAGTTGCCAGTGTCTTACCTGAGAGAGGACGGGTGTTACAGCAATGATGTCATACAAGTTGCCAGTGTCTCACCTGAGAGAGGACGGGTGTTACAGCAATGATGTCATACAAGTTGCCATTGTCTCACCTGAGAGAGGACGGGTGTTACAGCAATGATGTCATACAAGTTGCCATTGTCTCACCTGAGAGAGGACGGGTGTTACAGCAATGATGTCATACAAGTTGCCATTGTCTCACCTGAGAGAGGACGGGTGTTACAGCAATGATGTCATACAAGTTGCCATTGTCTCACCTGAGAGAGGACGGGTGTTACAGCAATGATGTCAGAAAGGTAGTATATTCGCCCTTGTAATTTTTCTCTCTGCTGTCCTGTAAACTTGTTGACGCGTTCAACCTGGGTTAACTCCCGGTCCACCCAGTAGAGGAAGTCCTCGTGCACAGCCAGACCCACGGGCTGCTCTAGCTTCTTGTCCACTAACACTTTCCTGCCAACACCATCACAACAAGCTTAAATATTTCAACATGTAGCAATTTGAAAGTCCTTATCTTTCTAACTGTTGAAAATTTGCTTCTAGTGTTATCATTTGACACACTGTTTCCTATAACAATTAAAGTTACTGAATTATCTCCTCAGGTTAAATAAGCTCCAGATACTGTACTGTATTTGTATTTCTTGCAATACTGGTCTTGAAGCAAAATAAAACTAGCCCATTTCCACAAGTAATTCATATTTTCTGACAGAAAAATTAGATTTTAATCCATTTAGCACCATCATGAAGGTTCAACATTCAGGAATCAGGTACTGTATGCAGACGACGAGTGACAATAACGTGGCTGAAATATGTTGACCAGACCACACACTAGAAACTGTAGGGACGATGACGTCTCGGTCCGTTCTGGACCATTCTCAAGATCGATTGTCATTCTCACAATTGACTGGAGAGTAGTCCAGGACAGACCGAAACGTCGTCGTCCCTTCAGTTTCTAGTGTGTGGTCTGGTCAACAATCAGGTACTGTAGGTTAACCTGGGAGCAATGCCTGATACTACAGAAAATAAAGGCTAAAGTTTATGTGGCCAGAGGTTTGAGGCTCTGATTGTCCAAGTGAGTTAAAAATGTAAATACTGTACATGGTTACACTGGTGAAATTTCATTACATATGCAGTAGGGTTAATTTGTTCAGCTATCTGAAGAACAGAACCAGACCCCGACCCGTGATTTTGTGATGAAACTATAGACGTTGCAACTTTTAGTTCATTTATCCATGAGTACTGCATGTATAGTCCCCAATCCAGCATCAATTAATAGCACGCTGCCATGTCATTCTAGACCACTTGCAACACAAGTGTCATATGGCCACTCCACTTTACCTCAGATCAAGTCACTGGCCACATCAGGGTCAATTGACCACCCCAACCTTACCTCATGTCAGGTCACCGGCAAAAAACTAAGAACTGGCTCTTAGTTCTGGAACTAGTCCCTAAAACAGAACAACAGAAGTACACTTACGTCGCATCAGGCTTGGATACCCATATGCATGGGAAATAGGCTTACAGCTTCCAGAAAATGAAAGGAAATGTCAACACTGGAGAAATGCCTGACAGACCACTGGAACATTATCTAACACAGTGCCCAGTTACAAACCCATTAAGATTTCAACTTAGATTCAACAGAGCAGAAGTTGTTAACGACAATGTAATGTCTCACTTCAGACAAGTGTTACAACGTAGGGAAAAATAAGTGTCGCTAGACAGGTTTTTAGTGAGAAAAACAAGCACCGAGCCACAAGCAGGTCTTAGTGGTATGCAGGCAAAATGTAGGAGAGAGAGAGAGAGTACACCAGAAAAGTCATCACTGCCTGATGTTATAATGGAACAGGACTCCCCTTCCAAACACTAACACTTCTCCTCCTCACTGTCTTCCATATGCCAACAAGAGTCCTCATTTCAAGGTAAAATATACATACAGGACTGTATTGTAGCTAGTACAAAATGAGCGTTATTCAGTATAAAATGTATTGTAAGTCAATATTTTTGGGGGTGTGGAACAGATTAATTCAATTTACATTATTTCTTATGGAAAAATTTGTTTCGACTTACGACCCGTCTCTGGGAACTGATTAAATTCGTAGGTAAAGGCCCCAGTGTACAGTAACACCTTGGCTTACAAACGTTTTGGGTTACGAGCCCAATTTCTTCATAAAATCCAAATCGGGTTGCAAACTTTGCCTCGGGAAACGAAATTTGTTGATACGCGTACGGCTGATCAAGCTCCTGGTGGTACGGCGACCGCTCCTCAGTTTACCAGTGCCTCCCGCCTAGTGACAATCTCGCCTGAATTCTTTGTAAAGTATTTGTTTTGTTTTTCAGATTTTTGGGTATTTGAACATAAAAGTTATTATTATATATCTCGCCATGGGTCCCAAGAAAGCCAGTGGTAAGGTTCAATCCTTAAATTGTGGCCTGAATGTGTTTCAGAACTAAACTTTGAGGGGTTTGAGCCTGAACCTGAAGTGCCTATTATTGAGGAAATTGTTTCTCTGGGCCGCAAATTGGGCTTGGAGTTGGTGCAGATGTGGAGGAGTTGGAGGAGGAACACAGCGAAGAACTGACCACCGAAGAACTCCAAGCCCTTCACAAGGAGCAGCAACAAGAGGCAGCTGAGGAAATGTCTTCAGGGGAGGAGGAGACAGTACAGAATGTCTCTTCCTCAACAATTAGGAAGTGGTGTAGAATGTGGAAAGAAATGCAAACTTTTGTTGAAACGACTCACCCAGAGCAAGCTGTAGCAGGCAATTGCATTAATCTTTTTAATGACACTGTGATGCCTCACTACAGACAAGTGTTATAATGAAGAGAAAAACAAGTCTATGGATAGATTTTTAGTGAGAAAAACAAGCAGTGAATCACAACCGGGTCCTAGTGGTATGCAGACAAAACATAGGGAAGAGAGTACCCCAGAGAAGTCATCACTGCCTGATCTTATAATGGAAAGAGGCTCCCCTTCCAAACACTAGCACCTCTCCTCCTCCTCCTCCCCTCCCTTCTCACCGTCTTCCATACACCAACAAGAGTCATCAATAAAGGCAAGAAATAACTTGTATATACTTTAGTACTGATCATTTGGGTGAATTAGGTATAAAATTTACTTTCAAGTTAATTTTTTGGGGCGTGTGGAACGGATTAATTCAACTTACATTATTTCTTATGGAAAATTTGCTTCAGTTTACAAATTTTCAGCTTATAAACTGTCTCTGGGAACGGATTAATTTCGTAAGCTAAGGTACCACTGTACTAACACGATATGTAGGCATGCACCCACATTTCCCCCCATGATATCACGGTGCATGCAGTAAAATGGTTAATCTACTTTGTAAATTATTCCTTTACGTCAATTCTGGAGCCAATTGTTAAGACATGCCAAGAATAGAATTTATTAAAGATATAGCTTCATGTAGTCTCATTCTAATGTTTAGCTATACTGTTGTCTGGGCATCCTGCTTCGTTCAACCAACTCTAGCAGTTCCACAACATAATAACCAATACAGAAAAATTAAAATGTTTACAAACCATTTTCATAATAAAGTATAACTAATCAAAATACATATACACATTACCTGTCCTCTCCTAAGATTGTTGCAGTTTCAATCCGTTTCGTGGTTGTATCTGCCCAAAACAAAAAATTGTCCTGAGCATCGACAGCTAGAGCTGAAGGAGACGTGAGACCCTCCGTGATGATCTTACGACGGTGCAAGCCGTCTATGTGAGCTTGCTCAATTAGTGGAGGGGACACCATGTTTATAAAGAATAGCAGACCAAGCACCGAGTGGACTGCCAGTGAACGTGGCTGGTCCTCCCCTTCATGGCCAATGATGCCACCGACCTGTGTTCCATCAAGCTTGGTTATGTTTATCACATTGTTTCTTGCACAAGACCAAAAGAGGACTCTAGTGAAAGGTTCCACAGCTATATCGTAGGGATAAATCTTCTCCATGGCATTGCTCACAAATACCTCGCTCTGCGTGCCATTGTGGTGAGCACGACGTAGGGTGGGTCCACGGCCGTCTACCCAGTACACCAATTGATCTACTGGATCGTAGTCAATAGCACGCACATTGCGCATGCTGTGAATGGGGAGTATGAGTGTTGGGCACTCGCTGGCATCCTCTACAAGACGGCTAACTTCAGACTTTTGACTGAACAACAAGAAAGATGTTGGTGCTGCGAAAAGAAATAAACTATTTAAGCATTCATCAAGTCTTTGAAGTTAATGAAATGAAAAGCTAAGTTGCATTACTAACAATATATACCTCTACACTCATAACCTATATATTACTGGCAGAAATATAAGAAGGAATTATATAATAAATTGTTATAATGGATATATACCAAATATGTATACAAAATATAAAAAAACCAGCGTTGAATGTAATGAAACGCCATTTTCTGGGTGAGTCCCGGAGGCTCCCCGGAGCTATCCCAGGCTGATATGCTAATGTCAGACTTTGGCATCAGTCATGTGTATGGAGTTCTTAGGCCTACCGGGGACCACGGCCAGAACCGGGCCCCCTCAGAGAGGCAAGGGGAGCAATGGCCTATAGAAGCCCCCGTGTTAGTGGAAGCATTCTATGTCTGCCATCGACCGGAACAGGCACCCAGAAAGGTAAGCGCCCCAAAACAAACCCCTATTCTGGTTAAAATTGCTACCTAAAACCGAACTAGTGGATAGAACTCCCCAACCGAAAACAAGCAAACTAGTGTGACGTCACACACTGCCGCGCCGCTGTCTGCGCAGCTCCCCCCTCCCCGGGAGGGGGAAGGGGGAGCCCCAGACCCCCCGCGCCGGCTACCCACACCTCAGTTCTTGAGGCTGGATGTCAAAAACGCGAAAAACCGCCGACCGGAGGGAGGGAGGGAGGGATGCCGGGGAGCCTCCGGGACTCACCCAGAAAATGGCGTTTCATTACATTCAACGCTGGTTTTCTGGGGGGAGCCCCGTCGGCTCCCCGGAGCTAACTACCCACAGACAGAAAAAGAGGGACTTACCCGGGAGGCGGTCGTCGCTCACCCCTCAACTCGAAGCCGAGACAACTGGCTGCAACCGCCGATCACAAAACATGATGCACCCCCGGCCAGACCAACCAAGCATCAACCACCCATGGACCCCTCCGGAACGCAGCAGTCTCATTCTTCGCCAGAAAAGAAGGAGACGGCTGCAAACGAACAAAACTATCACCACGACCAAAAGAGCAGAAACCCCTGCGCCGGAGGAGAGCATGAAGCTCCCCTACCCGACCCCCAGAGGCCAAAGCCAACAAGAAAAGTGCCTTGGAAAAACAATCCTGGACCGAAGGGGCCACAACGAAACGAGGAGATGAAAGGAAAGCGAGCACTCTGTCCAAAGACCAGGACGGCTCAGGCGACGCATGAGCAGGCCGGAGGTGAAACAATGCACGAGACAGCTTGCAAAATGGCGCAGACGTAACATCGATACCGAAAGCAAGCTGAAGCGGCTCCGCCAGCGCCGCACGATACGAAGCGACAGTGTTAGGCATAAGATGACGGTCCTGAAACAACCACGAGAGGAAGGACAAGACCACCCGAACAGACAAGGAGCTAACACGACGAAGACGCAAAAAGAAACGGAAGGACCGCCAGGAAAACTGCATACTGCCGCCGAGAAGAAGCCCTCAGGTGGGACACCAACAAGGAGGCCACCTGATCACCATAGAGATGATGATAGACTCGAGTCAAAAAAACCATACGCGAAGACTCGAGGAGAAGATCGAACCAGCTACGTGACGTACCGGCCCGATCTGCTGAAAGAGGGGGAGCCGCGGGAAAAACCCTCGGGTTCGGACACCGAGCAACCAGCGCCTGAACCAAGGCTGGGCCGGCCACCAAGGGGCCAGAAGGACAACTCTCCCCCGGTAAGTCTCCAAGCGAGTCAGGACCTGGAGCAACAGCCGAACCGGGGGAAAGAGATACAGGAACCCCCACCTCGTCCAGTCGAGCCGAAAGGCATCGACCCCGACGGCCTCGCAATCGGGGAAGGGCGCCGCATAAACGGGAAGACGCCGCGACCACGCCAATGCGAAGAGGTCCACCTCGGAGCGCCCGAATGTCTGGCAAAGCCAACGGAAGGACTCGTCGTCGACCGGCCACTCCGTGGAGAGGGGAACGAAGCGAGACAGGGCGTCGGCCAAGACGTTGGACACGCCCCGTACGTGAACCGCCAGGAGAGCCAAACCCCGAGAACTCAGCAGACGAGTCAAACCCCGAGAACTCAGCAGACGAGTCACCCGAAGCGACCAACCCCAAAGAGACAAGGACCGCATCGAACCCCCGCGGTTCAGGCAATGAACCACCGGAGAGCAGTCCGAATGGAGCCGAATCGTCGATCCGCGGGCCACCCGAATCCTCCCCAGAGCAAACCACACTGCCGCGAACTCCCGCACCGTACTGTGAGCTCGACGGAAGGACGGATCCCAACGCCCCTGGCCGGCCTGGTGAGCACTGGTCAAAACCCCAGCCGAGACGACGCATCCGTGTACACATCGAGCGAGGGCTCGGGTAGGCGCCAAGGCACTGAACCCCGAAAAACCAGAAGAGGAAACCGGTGACGCAGCAACCGACGCAAGTCCCCCGGGGGTCGAACTCTGCGATCGCGAGAGAGGCGGAAGGGGGAACCCCGAAGGAACCAGAACAGCCGTCGAAGCCAAACCCGACCCGGCGGGTAGACCACCATCGCGAAGTTCAGGCTCCCGCACAGCCCCTCGAGCAACCGCCGGGTGACCCGAGGGCCCTCCAGAAACAGACGAAGGCGGGACCGCAGCCGCAGGAGAGACTCCGGAGGGAGAGACAAGGAGGCGGTTCGAGAGTCCCACACGAGACCCAGCCATGTCCGAACCTGAGAGGGAACCAGATGGGACTTCCTCCAGTTCACCAAGAACCCGAACCCGGCGAGCTGGGAAAGAACCAAATCCCTGGCTAGCAAGCAAGCTGACTGGCTGGGAGCCCAAACCAGCCAGTCGTCGAGGTAGGCCAACACTCGAACACCTAGGAGACGCAAACGAGCCACCACAACCCGTGTAAGGCGTGTGAACACGCGAGGTGCCAGGTTCAACCCGAACGGGAGACAACGAAAGCGGTAACTCAGACGCCCCACTACAAAACCGAGCCAGTCCCTGAACCGCGGATGAATCGGGACATGCCAATAAGCGTCCCGGAGGTCCAGGGACACCATCCAAGCTCCCGGCTCCAAGAGGAGCCGAACCTGAGACAGCGTAGTCATCCGAAAGGAGGGGCAATGAACCCAGGGGTTCAGACGGGACAAATCCAGAATGAACCGCAGGTCCGCGCAGTCCCGTGTCGGAACCGGAAACAGACGGGAAACCCATCTGAGGGACGACGTCGTTTCGACGACGCCCAAGCGTACCCACTCCAAGACGACTCGACAGAGCGCAGGGGAAGAAGCCTGCCCTGCCAGCCCCGACCCCCAAAGAGGGGAGGGGCCACCCAACGCCACCGCAGGCCGCGAGACACGACCCGAAAGGCCCACGAACCGTGGGACCAGGCGCGGGCGAACAGCGCAAGCCGCCCCCCCATCGCCCCGTCAAAGGGGCAAACCGCGAAAGGGCCGGCGACCCCTACGAGACCCAGAACCCCGCACAGCGCGAACACCGCGCCGACCAGACGAGGGAGGGTCCGCAGGAGGAGCCAACCCCAAACCTGACACCAGAGGCCTACCACGACGAGAGGAACCCCGAGCCCTGGCACGACCTTTCCGGGAAGACCCACCCCGGGACCCCCGGAAAACCAACAAGTCCGACATCGGACGACAAGCCGCCGACGCAGCCTGAATAAACTGCGCCACGGCCGACTCCCCAAACAGGAGTGGACAAAAAGGTGAAGAACGCCTAAGAGCCAGAGCCCAAGCAGATCCCATGGAGGAACCCAGCACCGCCTGCCGACACGCGAGACGGGAAGCATAGAACAGGGAAACCGCATCCCGCAAAATCGGCGTGAACAGCTTCAACGAGGCAGCCGACGCACGCGCAGCCGAGGACAAGGTGCCGGACCCCGGGACGGACCCAAGCGTCCCCACATCCTCCACGAGCCAATCCGAAGACAGCTCCAGGAGGGAAAAGAACCGCAAGGCCGAACACAAAAGGCCCCGAGCGCGCAAGTCCTCCGCCACGAGCGCCGCCGAAAGGGAGGGAACCTGCACATGGAGCTGAATAACGCCCACATCGCGGGGAAGGGCAGGGGCAAACAAGCACTCATTCAGGTACTCAAGTTCACCCCCCAGGAAAACCTGAAGCACCGTGGAAGCTTCCCGCCACTCCAGCGTGCGGGAACGACAGAAGGAATGCCAGGAATCCAGACCAAACAAGGGGCAGTCTGCTAGCCAGGACGACTCCGGAACCTCGTAACGGAGCCAGAAAGGGAACGAAGTCCCAACCTTGACGTGGACGGATCCATTTCCGAGGCATAATCCGGGTCACGCAGGAGGTAAGCTGCAAAGGCCGCTCGCACCACACCAGGTTGGATGCGATAAGCCAAAAACCTCCGGAAGGACGGAACCGACGTACCCAGGGGAACACGGAACCATACCCGGGGAGGGGCCTACACCAAATCCAACTCGTACGCAGAGGGGGGGAAAGAAAACCCCACTCCTTGTAACAATAAGCCCCGCTCAGTGGGAAGAAAAACCCCGGCGGGGCCAGCGGGGCCCAAGGCCCCCAAGTCAGCCCCTCCCCAGCCTCGAGGTCCGTCACCACAGGACCCGAGGCCGAGTCCTCTCCCCAAGCCCCGACCCCACAAGACAAGGACGGAGCAGCCGGAAAAGCTGGAGGAAGAGGGGCCCACTGGTCAGACCCTGAAGCTTCGGCCGGGAGACAAGACTCGAATGCCTCTGCCGCCCCCCCGGAAGGGGCAACCCCCGAAGCTGCCCGAGTCTCGAGATCAAGTAACCCCTGCTCCGACCCCGAAACCCTCAGACGCTTCGGGGCCGGAAGCAGGGGCGGGGGACCAGAACGAACAGAAGGGGAAGGACGAGGAGGTGCGGACTGAACCAGGATCGAAGCGACCCCCACCCCCAAGTCCGGGTCTCGAAAAGCAAAGCGGGGCAGCCCCGGGGCATCCGGGGAAGCAACCAACCGAGCGCGTTGCAACAGACGAAACCTAGACTGCAACGCACGTGCCGCCTGTACCCGAATAGAATCAGAGGATTGGGTAAATTGAGTCACAAGCAAGCAGCAACACTCACAGGACTCAGGGTCGAAAGTATCACCGACCCAACAGGCAGCGTGGCAGAGGCAAAAACAATGAGGGTCACCCTGAGACAAGGGGACCGAGCAACCCTCAAACTCGCACACAGCGAGTGGGGACCCCGGGGTCACATCCATCGGACCCACGCGCCCCCTAGGGGATTCCCAGGGTCCTGAGCGTTTACTTTAAGAGGACTCGCGCTCAGGTAGTCCCAGGCAGGGTGCTGCAAACCGGCGCCCAAAACTACCAAGCAAACTTCTAAAGCTGAACCCCAGGGACGTGTACACTCACGGGGACCTAGCAGGGGGCGCCACCGATGAGAACAGTGGAAGGGCAAAAACAAACTGAATAAAATGACAGAACCCCCCACCAGGCAAAAACAAAAAGAAAAACAAAACCCCGCAAGAGGACAGCAAACCCCAAGGAACAGAGCCGGCCGCGATGTCGGGAAATACAAGCTGAGCAGCACCCTGCGCCCCTACCAGTGCAAACTGCCTCTTACCTGCCGGTAACAAGGGAGAACAGAACACCCAAGAGCCCAACAGGCGGCCGAAAAACCGAAAGGTAAAACGGACCAGCAGAGGCAGACCCCGAGGAGCCTGTGGAAGGTGGCCCCAAGCCCCAAGGGCAGTACTTACAGGGCACCTAGGGAAGGCAGCCCTAGGCGCATGCAGCCCGAGTACTGAAGATAACTCCTGGCTCTCGCACCCACAAAACTAACACCACACGCAAAGCACAGTGCAGTAGCGACACCGGAGCCAGAGCACACGACCATCGCCTATAGCATCAGCCTCAAGAACTGAGGTGTGGGTAGCCGGCGCGGGGGGTCTGGGGCTCCCCCTTCCCCCTCCCGGGGAGGGGGGAGCTGCGCAGACAGCGGCGCGGCAGTGTGTGACGTCACACTAGTTTGCTTGTTTTCGGTTGGGGAGTTCTATCCACTAGTTCGGTTTTAGGTAGCAATTTTAACCAGAATAGGGGTTTGTTTTGGGGCGCTTACCTTTCTGGGTGCCTGTTCCGGTCGATGGCAGACATAGAATGCTTCCACTAACACGGGGGCTTCTATAGGCCATTGCTCCCCTTGCCTCTCTGAGGGGGCCCGGTTCTGGCCGTGGTCCCCGGTAGGCCTAAGAACTCCATACACATGACTGATGCCAAAGTCTGACATTAGCATATCAGCCTGGGATAGCTCCGGGGAGCCGACGGGGCTCCCCCCAGAAAAGATGACATGCCTCTGCAAGTCTTGCCATCCCTGTCTAGCTTGTAGTGGGTCGGGCAAGAACACGTATAATTCTGGGAACCATTAGAGGCTGGCACTGCCAGACACAAGTGGGAACAGCCACCATTATCCACCGAGCACGGATTCTTTCCTGACTGACGAGATGAATGGAACACCAGAATATCCATAATAAAATCAAGCTGACCCTGAAAATAAACAAACACACACATTTAATTATCACTCAAATTACAAAAAGTGCTTATCACAATTGAAAGTAAAGTTATTCAGTGCAACCTCAAAAATCCATAAAGTAAATCCTCCAATGCGTGCATGTACATTATTTCAAATTATTGCATTGGTACATAAATCGAGAAGCAAAAAATATAAAACGACTACAAAATAATAATTTGGTTAAGCTTTCCCGACTGCAATGCGTACGTCACCAATGTACATGTGGCAGACGCTTCACGAAGCCGTCGGAATCCAGCAGTTAAAATACAAGGGCAACCGTACAGGGCCTGGGAGCAAGGTTGCGTTAGAGTCCTTGAGGGTCTCTTCCCAGACTAGCCTCACCTGGTCCTGATTCACGTTGGTCGTTGGAATCTCCTCAATGCTTGAAACACTTTAAGCAACTCCTAGGGTCCTCATTACATTTATAGTTTAGTGAATAATAGGCAACTCGGCATTGAAGACACCTGGAGCTGAAGGCTTGAGTAAATGGTTGGCAGTATTCAGAAGTGGCTCAACAGAAACACCGCATAAATCTCAACAGTAGTTTATTTACAAACTTAACCACTAATACAAAAGGTGCTTGATTTACTTTAAATTGGCATCAGAAAGGCTATGGTTGTATTAGCAAGACTCTTGACGTCTGACTAATCGATTCTGATCCACTCGTGGAAAAACAACTAACTTAACAAAATTGACAGCCAATCATTAACAAGGCAAACCTAACTGCCGGTGTGCAAAGGGGTCACAGGAGTTCCAAGCGGATACTCAAGTAATGATGCTCAATAAATCACAATGGCACCGTCAATGGGACAGGCATCAATCCTGCACAATAATTATGTCACACAATAACTAAATGTGTGGTGTATGTGAAACTCACATTCACAGACGAGTGTAATGTCGTGATAAACACGCATACACCGTCGGGTGTCTAAGTCTCCACCTATACCTGTTTCAGGTATGAGAAGGTGAGAACTCCGGTTGATCCCTCAGATCAACAAAAACAGACACACTAATAAAAAAAAAGATCTTGTACTTACAGGTAGGCTACTTCTCCCATTCACTCACTCGTGCACATTTATGGAAGAACTCGTAGGTGGCCTGGCAGCTGGTTTTGCTCCCTATGACGTGAGACCACTGACGACAGGCTTTCCCAACAAACCGTACTAGACACGGAGGGTACTCGCATAGATGGGCGTTGTTGGAAATTTCCAGCAATTATTTCGCATCCCTAATACAATAGGATGTATTTCCTATATTAGGCTTCATACTCAATTGATACTCATTTACTAATCCTTAGTATAACGAGATGCATTTCCTGAACTAAGCGTAATAATTAACCGATACTACTAATCCGTAGTTTAGTGATATAGAATTCATTGCATTAGGATGTGGAGTGTCATGTAATTTTCCTTAGAATCGTGGAAATGTTGCGTCAAACAGCTAGCCACCAGGAACATTTCATATTAACATATCAAGTAGAATCTAGCTCTATTTTGTCTTTTTTTAAGGATAGGCATTTATTAATAGATTCACTTTTCGTTAATAAATTTATCCTTGTTTACTGGAATTAATTTATGCAGCCATGATTTGCTGTCAGTGAATATAATAAATTGTATCTCCACTCCAGACCTTTTCTCGTTCATTTAATATCGTCCAAATTAATTGACTACATCACGAGAAAAGAGGTGTCGCCACATAATACCTTTATTGAGACGTAAATATTCGTCACAACGCATTTCCTTCTATATACTGTAACCCAACGATTATCCGGGATTCGAACATCCGGAAAACGCCCTTATACGGCTAAAATCGTGATCGGATAAAGTTATCACAATATCCGGCCAAAATGGCCACAGGAACCGGATAAAAGCTGGTTTGGTCGGATAAAATATCGGGGCCGGTTAATTTTCTGCCGATGTTACACTATCCGGACAGTCGGCCGGATAATCATGGCTTTGTCCGTATATGAATTGTTACGCCAGCACCACAAAGCTGGCATGACAATTCGCAGCCCAGAAATACAAAATGCTGCAAGCAGGTTTGCTGCAAGCCTTGCAATAAAGTATTTCAAAGCGAGTGAAGTATGGGTTGCAAGGTTCAAGGGTAGGCACAATATTGTGAAGAGGAAAATTGTCGGTAAAAAATTGAGTGCAGATGAAAGCAGTGTAGAACCATTTAAACAGAAATTAAGAGCATACATTGTGGCAAATAATTTATATTCGTATCAAATTTATAATGCAGATGAAACTGGGTTGTATTGGAGGAGTTTACCAGAAAAAACTCTAGCAATGAGGAGTGAGGGTTGTGTGCCAGGACATAAGGTCGACAAGGACAGGCTCTCGGCCATGATGTGTGCGAATGCCGACGGCACAGACAGAATCACGTGTGCAATTGTTGGCAAATCTAAGAAACCAAGAGCCTTGCAACATTGCATGGACAGACTGCCAGTGAAATATTATAACTCACAAAATGCATGGTTTACACAGGAGATCTTTCTTTCCTGATTTCATGACGTGTTCTGCAGGGAAGTTCGTGCCTATCAAGTTAAGAAACTCAAAGTAAGGCCAAGCGAAGTTCGGGCTTTGCTGCTGCTTGATAATGTACGTGCCCACCCCAAAATTGACACGTTAACCTCACAAGATGGCAAGATAACGTGTATGGCACTTCCTCCTAACACAACCTCTCTCATTCAGCCTATGGATCAGGGAGTTATCTGTGCCACGAAGAGGTTGTACACCAAAAAGATGCTAAACGAAGTTTTGGTGGTTTTGCCTCTTCCGGAAGATATTGAACTCTGTGTGGATAACAGGACAAAAAAAAAATCAGAATTTGTAGAACTATACAATAAAGGAAGCCATTTATAACTGGGCCAAGGTGTGGAGTGAATTAAAAGAATCGACTTTGAAAAATTCCTGGAAAAAACTCATGTCTATGGTCAGAAATGGATTTTGAAGGATTTACAGATGAAATCCATGGAATGTTTAGAAATGCCGGCAAAAACTTGGACAGGATGTGATTGATTGGCTTCAACAAGATGCCAATGACCCAGGATATGGTGTGATGAGTGAAGACGAGATTCTCCAGTCTATTACTGGTGAGGTCGACGAAGAGGATGAAGAAGGCAGTGAAGAACCAACAGCAATGACCACAAAATACAGTGTACTCATGACCTATGTTGACGGATTAATAAATTTTTCATCCAATTGTGCTCATCCAGAGGTTGGAAACATGTATCCGTACCTTAGGCGAACAAAAGAGCTGATCATACAACTGGCCAGTGAACACAGAAGGCAAGCAACACTTGATTCTTATATGGTACGAAAATCAAACCAAGCGCCTTCAACAAGTGAGGCGGCACACGCAACCCAAGCGCCTTCAACAAGTGAGGCGGCATAGGCAAGTCCAGCGCCTTCAACCAGTGAGGCGTCACAGGCAAGTCAAGCGCCTTCAACCAGTGGGCGTCACAGGCAACCCAAGAGCCTTCAACCAGTGAGGCTTCCGCAGCTGACAGTGAAAACTAACTTTGCCTAATGAACTGTACAGTAATTTTAAGTGTTAATTTTAGTATTGTGTTGGTATAAGTTACTTAAATTGTCAAGAATTTTTAACTTCAAGACGTGTGGCATCAATCAAGAAGACGAACAACAACAAGATAAGCTGAGGTTTCTAGTTGAATATTTAATAATTATATGTGGCAAGGCAATTCAAATTATGTTGTTTGTAGTATATAAATATTAGTTGGAAATGGTTAGTTTTGGAGTGGCGTGGAGACGGTAATTTATGCTGGGAACCCCTACTGGGAGCTAAGCGCATACGCGACTTTCGAGCAGAGAGAGAAGATGCCATACTGGCGAGAGAGACACACGAGACAACAACCATTGCATAGGGGTTCTGAAGTCTTCTTATCAAGATTAGTCTTAATTAAGGAGCATCTGGCCATCTACAGACTCCAGACTGATCCTGCAACTTCAATCTTACGAATGCTACATTCGGGAGGGAAGATTAATATCCTTAATAGTTTTTAGAGGCCTTTAAAATAGAATTAGGTTACTTCCCTGTTCGTTACGTTGTTTGGCGGCACTAAACCCTACGTAAGTGTACCGCTGGTCCCCAGATACATTTAGAATTTACTATTAAATGAATGATTCTAGGATTTGGAGTGGAATTTACATAATATTTGCATTTCAGCTGGAGTACCAGCGTAGGCGAGACCACAGCGACCACTACGGTCACGTGTTTCAATGATTGCTATCTCAGAGCCGACTCCAGACTGTAGTAGAGACTAGACGTCAACTACGTTCCTCTGTCATGGCTGAGATTTAATTAGCTCTTATTGTAGATAGTTCTCAGTGAAAGAATCATATACATACTATATTGCACTGATTACTTATTATTAATCTTTATCGTGCAATAGGATTTTTGCATTGCATTTTCATATAATCTGTGTGTATACATATTATCATTATTATTATCACATAATATATGTTTCACGTAGATTAACCTCATAGAAGACCCCCCCCAAATGTGTCGTGGGAGGCTGCTTCTAGAATGTATAGAATTTACAGTCACTGCAGAATAGAATAATAGAATTTAATTACATATAATCATAGAGATCCATAAGCCACTGGTTCTCTCATTTAACATATTTTATGGTCTTTCGAGCTATCTTAGAATTAATCTTTATTTGCATTCATAGAATTATACATTTTATTAGTATTAAACTAGAGCCAGATTTCCCCACAGGCGTGTTGTATGCATAACAGACAGACACACCCTTGATGGCACTGGCAGTGAGTAAAGGTGTGACCGGTGGTGACGTCACATAGTACAGTGAGGCAGGGTGGGTGGCGGCTACACGCTCTGGTCTGAGTGGCGGGTGGCGGCTACACGCTCTGGTCCGAGTGGCGGCTGGCGGCTTGAGGCGGCTACACGCTCTGGTCTGAGTGGCGGGTGGCGTCGGCTTATTATATGGTACTATATAGGTACACTGGTAAAAGTCACACACAGATTACTTAGGCAGCGGCACTCCTTAAGTCACTCTTGGTCACTCACAGACCATCTCTATTTGTCACCAAGGGTTACCTGATACCAGTCTGTTTCGCTCTGGTGATTTGTCACTAGAAGGCTTCTAAACAATATATTCACGATCGCAATTTTGGGCGAGCGTTGGTATATCGAAAAGACACCGAGTTTAACTTGACGGTGAGGAATGGACGGTGTTCTGTCTATTGGCCGAATAGACAGAAGGACACGTCCACCATATGTGAACTTCCTCACATGAATACCCTTGCAAGGGGATGCAGGGCTCCTCGTGGTAGCACAAACATAAGGTCTACAATTGACCAGTGGCATTGTAGCAGAGGTGCCAGAACCAATGATATTGATCGGTAGAATAGTGACGTCATGACCACGTCACTAATGTGTCACTGCTGTTATTGAGATTGACCCCAGAGGTCAGAGCTTATCTCTGGCCTTGCGGGCGCCTCTCCCTCTCTCTCTCTCTCTCTCTCTCTCTCTCTCTCTCTCTCATACGCTTGGCACCTACAGCTATGTACTTACTGACCCTATGGCAAGTATGCTTAATTCCGCTGTATCTAATTTACCCTTGGGCATACAGCGGCCTCCATATTATAAAAGTATTCCTGGTTATGTGGGCATCCTGGAGACACCCAACATGACAGTTTTCTATCCAGGGTTAACAGAGATAGGGCTTGTGCACGAGATCAGTGCACTGCAATGAGCCATTCAAGTCAGCTGTGGGAGAATCTTGAGAGAGACCATACTCTCAGTTAAAAAAAAAAAAAAAAAAAAAAAAAAAAAAAAAAAATCAGATGGGTAATCTGATCATATCAGCATTAATATCAACCTTTAATGCAAAGCTTCAAAACACAAAACTACATAAGATTTCTTTTAAATCTCAAACCAAAACCCCAGAACCAGAAGAAAAAATATTTCAAGCCTGAGGCAACAGCAACTTGTAATAAAACCTGTCTACACATACCTGTATTCTTGTTCTGTTTTCACCTTTGCTTTTGTTTGCACGCTCTATAGTACCAGTCTTCCAGTCAGCCCAATAAACATAATCCTCGTACAGCGTCAGACCGTAGGGCTGCGGCAAATCTCTAACAACCACCTACAAATTGTAATAATTACCTGATCATGGGAATATTACCAGGATTTTTTTGACAGTGCATTAAGACCAAGAAAATATACAGTATATTCATGCTAGAATTAAGGAACATAATCCTAAGTGTTATCAACAAGAGTGATGGGGAAGGGGGGTCACCAAAAATACTATAATGGGGATCACGAATAGGGATCACTAATGATGGGGACCATTAAGAATACAATGGTGGGTATAAAACAAAACCAGTGTTGAATGTAATGAAATGCCAGTTTCTGGGTGAGACCCGGAGTTAACCGAGCTGATATGAATGTATTAAACCTTGGCATCAGTCAATGAGCATAGAGTCCTAGACTGACCAGGGACCACGAGCCAGAACCTGCCCCCTCAGAGAGGCACAAGGAGCAATGGCCTTTAGAAACCCGTGTGGTTGGAAGCATTCTGTGTCTGCCTTCGACCAGGTCATGCACCGCAGAAAAAGGTAAGCACCTCAAAACAAACCCCTATTCTGGTTAAAATATTGCTACTGAAACTAGTGGACAAAACTCCCCCAAATGAAAAAGAGCATACGTTACGACGTCGTCGCCTGCACAACCCCTCCTCCCCTCCCTGGTAGAGGGAAGCGGGAGTCCTAGACCCATGCACCAGCTATCCACCCAGCAGTTCTGAGGCTGGATGTACAAACCGCAAAAAAATGCCAACCAGAGAGAGGGAGGGATGCCAGGGAGCCTCTGGATCTCACCCTAGAAACTGGCGTTTCATTACATTCAACGCTGCTTTTCTGGAGGAAGCCCCTTCGGCTTCTTAGAGCTACTTACCCAAAGACAAAAGGAGAGGAACTTATCCGGGGAAGCAGTCGGCACTCGCTGCTCAACGCAAAGTCGAGACAACCGGCTGCAACCTCTAACTAATGCAACACAGGCCCAACTAGGCCCAGGAACCTTGACAAGGTAGCGAGCGGCCAGGACACTGTTCGACCTTCAAAAACCCCTTGCCTGAATGTCAGCCCAAGACATGTTACTGAAGATGGCAGCCAGTGCAGCAAACTTACAAACATCATAGGCACGAGGATAGACCGCAGGCAGGATGGACCGAATAACCCTGCAGACGACCCGGGAGACCCGAACCCTGGAATAGGGAAGAAGGTAAACCGGGTCAACCCAAAGTGCGTCCCTGGCAACCAAGGCCGTGGCATGCAGGTAACAGCAGAGCTGCAACCAAAACACAACATAGGATGCACCCCCACCCTGACCAACTAAGCATCAACAACCCAAGGACCCCTCTGGAAAGCAGCAGTCTCATTCTTCGCCAGAAAAGAAGGAGAAGGCTGCAACCGAACAAACCTATCACCAGGACCAATAGAGCAGAAATCCCCTGCACCTGAGGAGAGCATGAAGCTCCCCGACTCGACCCCCAGAGGCTAATGCCAACAGGAAAAAGAGTCTTGGAAAAACAATCCTAAACCGAAGGGGACACCACAAACCGAGGAGAAGAGACAAAAGAGCACCCGGTTCAATGACCAGGATGGCTCAGGTGGCACAAGAGCAGGCCAGAGGTGAAACAACGTACAAAACTGCTTGAGGAACGGTGCAGAAGTAACATCAACGTCGAACGCAAGCTGCAGCGGCTCGCCACCGCCACACGATACGAGGCAACAGTATTCGGCATAAGATGATGGTCCTAGAACAACCATGAAAGGAAGTACAAGACAACTCCATCAGAGACAGAACTAAACCTACGAAGGGATAAGAAAAAACGAAAAGACTGCCACGAAACTTCATACTGCCACCAAGACAAAGCACACAGGTGGGACAAAATCAACGAAGCCACCTGCTCACCATACAAGTGGTGATAGACTGAAGTCAAAAAGATCAGATGCGAAGACTCGCGGAGTAGATTGAAGGCAGGACTGCAGCCGAAACAGAGCCTCTGGAGGTAGAGACAAGGAAACGGTCCGAGAGTCCCACACAAGACCCAGTCAAGACCAAACCTAAGAGGGAACCAGATGGGACTTCCTCCAGTTCACCAGGAACCCGAATCCGGCGAGCTGGGAAAGAACCAAATCCCTGAGCAGACACGTGGACTGGCTGGGAGCCCATACCAGCCAATCGTTGAGGTAGGTCAGAACCCGAACCCCTAATAGATGCAGACGGGCTACAACGACTTGTTGTAGGCGTGTGAACACGTGAGGTTCTAGATTCAAACCTAATGGAAGCTGTAAGCCTGACACCCCACAATAAAACTGAGCCAATCCTTAAACTCCAGATGAATCGGGATGTGCCAATACATGTCCCCGAGGTCCAGGGACACCATCCAAACGCATGGCTCCAAGAGGAAATGAACCTGGGACAGAATTGTCATCCGAAAAGAGGGGCATTAGGCCCAAGGGTTCAAACGGGACAAGTCCAGGATAAATTGCAGGTCCGCGCAGCATCATTTAGGAACCGGAAACAGGCGGGAAATCCACCACCTGAGGGACGGAGTTGTTTCGACTACGTCCAAGCAAACCCACTCTGAGATAACCCAACAGAGCACGGGGAAAGAGGCTTGCCCCGCAAACCACGAAACAGGGGGAGCTATCCAATGCCACCGCAGGCTGCACAAAACGACCCAAAAGGCCCACAAATTGTAGGACCAGGCGTGAGCAAACAACATGAGCCTCACACCCCCCCCCCCCCCATTGCCACGTCAATGGGACGAACCGTAAAAGGGCCGACGCTCCTTACGTGATCCCAACCTCCACATAGAGCGATCACCGCGCCGGCCAGACGAAGACGTTTCCGAAGGCTGTGCCAGCTCCAAAACTGGCACCACTGGCCTACCAAGACAGGGGGAAAACCTGGCACAACTCTTCCGGAAAGACACCCCACGGACCCCACATAGAACCAACAAGTCTGACATGGGACGACAACTAAAAGAAGCTGCCTGCAAATACTGCACCACCACAGACTCTGCAAACAGCAAAGGACAAAAAGGGGAAGAAAACTTAAGAGCCAGGGGCCCAAGAGGATTCCTTGGAGGTAGCCAGCACTGCCTGCCAACATGCAAAGCAAAATACAGCAACACCTCATCCCGCAGGATTGGTGAACAGCTTGAAAAGAGCAGACTGTCTCGGTGGTGCACGCATGCACCACCGAGACCAATGCGCCAGACCCAGGATTGGCCCCAAGCACCCCCACTTCACGTCCTCCTCAAGCCAGTCCGAGGACAGCTTGAGAAAAGAAAAGAACCGCAAGACCGATACCAACAGGCCATAGGAGCGCAAGTCCTCGGCCACAAGGGCAGCCAAGAGGATTGGAACCTGCACATTGCTGACATTCCCGAGGAAGGGCAGGGGCGAACAAACAAGCATTGAGGTGCTCAAATTCACCCCCCCAGGAAAACCTGGACAACCGTATGAGCCTCGTGCTACTCAAGCACGTGGGACCAGACGTATGCCACGTCTCCAACGAGAAAAAGTGGCAGTCCGCATGCCAGGACGACTCTGGAACCTCATAACGAACCCAGTAAGGAAAAGAAGAAGGATTCATTATGGAGGCATAATCCGGGTCGCGCAGGAAGTAAGCCACAAATTGCCTCCCACACTGCAAGAGGTGGGATGCAGGAGGCCGAAAATCTCCAGAAGGACGGGACAGAAGAACCCAAGGAAGCACGGAACCGAACTCGGAGAGGGTTTCACGCCAAATCCACCTCGTGCGAGGAGGGAGGAAAAAGAAAACCCCACCCCCCGTAACAGCAAGCTCTGCTTGAAGAGCACAAAACCCCAAGCAGGGTCCAACAGGGGCCCAAGGCCCCCAAGTCAACCCCTCCTCTGGCTCACGGAAACTTCCCCATGAGGACTCGGTGCCGAGCATTCCTCCAAATCCCCAGCCTCAAAAGAAAAGGCAGGAGCAGCTGAAAAGGCAGGAACAAAGGGGGGCCTACTGGCCAGACCCATAAGCTCCAGCTGGAGGAACATGCTCGAATGCCTCCGTTGCCACACCGGAAGGGGTATCCCCCGAAACTGTCCGAGTCTCAACACCAGCTAAACCCTGCCCCGACTCCAAAACCCTCAGACGCTTCGGAGCCAGAAACAGGGAAAAGGACCAGGATGAACAACCAAAGGGGAAGGAAAAGGGGGCGCAGTTTGAAGTAAAGTTGAAGTGCACAAACACCCCCAAGTCCAGGGCCCTATGACCCCGGGCCCCAGGGTTATAGGGCCCCGGCTCCCAGTCTTGGAGCATCTGGGATAGCAACCAACCTAGCGCACTACAGCAACCTAAACAGAGCATGCAACTCTCGAAGCTGCCTGCACCTGAATACAATGATCAGTGGACTGGGTGTATTTGAGTACAAACAAGGAACAAAACTCACAGGACTCTGGGTCAAAGGTGTCACCGACCCAACAGGTAGCATGACGGAGGCACAAACAGTGAGTGTCACTCTGAGACAAGGAGACAGAGCAACCTTCAAACTTGCACAAAGCGAGAGGGGACCCAGGGGTTGCATCCATCGGACCAGAGCCCCCACAAGGTTTCCCAGGGCTTTTAGTCACGTAATCTCGCTAAGGGAAGCCCACATAGTTGATTGACAGTTGAGAGGCGGGACCAAAGAGCCAAAGCTCAACCCCCGCAAGCACAATTAGGCGAGTACAATTAGGTGAGTACATAGGGTACTGCTAACTGGCATCCAAAGTTACCAATCAAATTGCTAGAGTTGAGCCCCGCTCCCCCAGGGATGTGTACACTCAAAGGTTTCATTTGGAGAGTTCTGTCCACTAGTTTGACTTTCAGTAGCAATATTTTAACCAGAATAGGGGTTTGTTTTGAGGCTCTTGCCTTTTTGGGTGCCTAACCCGGTCGATGGCAGACATAGAATGCTTCCTACCACACGAGGGTTTCTATAGGCCATTGTTCCTCGTGCCTCTCTCAGGGGGCCCAGGTTCTGGTTCATGGTATGCCTAGAACTCGCTGTGCATTGACTGATGCCAGGGTCTAATACATTCATATCAGCCTGGTTAGCTCTTGGGAGCCAAAGGGGCTCCCCCCAGAAAGAATACTCATAGCCCAGTCGATAGAGCGTCGGCCTCACACGCGTGTGGTCCGTGGTTCAAGACCAATACAGCTCGGGTGAATGCAATGATGGGTCATTGAGAGAACAGTTAAGGGGACCACCGAGAAAACAGTGATGGGGTCACAAGGAAGAGTCATGGCCAGGTTGTGGAGACGACCTCTGGGGTCCTGATGGTAACCAGGTCTAGCCCACTAGAATATTCTTTCTTTAGGAAGAGTCATGACATAGAGGGGTCTGCCGCCGGTGGTCTGGATGGTCGAAATCGTAGCAGACATGTGGAAAAAGGCTGATATAGTTCCAAGCTACAAAAGTGGCAGCAGGGAAGACCCCCTCAAAAACTGACCTGTATCATTGACAAGTGTAATAGTCAAAATATTGGAAAAATAAAACTAAATGGGTAGAACACCTGGAGACAAACGATATAATATCAGATTGTCCGTATGGTTTTCGATCTGAAAAAGCCTGAGTAACAAATTTACTCAGCTTCTATGATCGAGCCACAGAGATTTTACCAGAAAGAGATGGTTGGGTCGACTCCATCTATCTGGACTTACAAAAGGCTTTCGACAAAGTTCCACATAAGAGGTTGTTCTGGAAACTGGAACACATTGGAGGGGTGACAGGTAAGCTGCTAACATGGATGAAAAATTTTCTGACTGATAGAAAAATGAGAGCAGTAATAAGAGGAAGTGTATCGGACTGGAGAAATATCACAAGCGGAGTACCACAGGGTTCAGTTCTTGCATCGGTAATATTTATTGTCTACATAAACGATCTACCAGATGGAATACAGAATTATATGAACATGTTTGCTGATGATGCTAAGATAATAGGGAAGACAAGTAACTTAGATGATTGTCATACCCTTCAAGAAGACCTGGACAAAATAAGTATATGGAGCAACACTTGGCAAATGGAATTTAATGTAAATAAATGCGATGTTATGGAATGTGGAATAGGAGAACATAGACCCCCCCCCCCACACAACCTATAGATTGTGAGAAATCTTTAAAGAATTCTGATAAAGAGAGAGATCTAGGTATGGTTCTAGATAGAAATCTATCACCTGAGGATCTCATTAAGAAGTGATCCAAGTATACAAGTAGCATAGATGTATACTATACAAGTAGCATAGATGGTGTGAGGGGCCTATGCTACTCTTTCAAACTTCAGAATTCCTGTTAAAAATACATGTTGGCGAAATACTAAAGAAATTGTTCACGACTTTTGTTAGACCAAAGCTGGAATATGCAGCGGTTGTATGGTGCCCATATCTAAAGACTGGAAAAGGTGCAAAGACATGCCACAAATTGGCTCCCAGAACTGATGGACAAGAGTTACGAGGAGAGGTTAGTGATTAAATATGCAAAAACTAGAAGACAAACGAAAAAGAGGTGATATGGTCACTACGTACAAAATAGTAACAGGAATTGATAAATTGATAGGGAAGATTTCCCGAGACCTGGAACTTCAAGAACAAAATGTCATAGATTTATAATAACTAAACACAGATGCTGAAGAAAAATAAGAAAATTCACTTTCACAAACAGAGTGGTAGACGGTTAGAACAAGTTAGGTGAGAAGGTGGTGGAGGCCAAGACCGTCAGTAGTTTCAAAGCGTTATATGACAAAGAGTGCTGGGAAGACGGGACACCACGAGCGTAGCTCTCATCCTGTAACTACACTTAGGTAATTACACATTTAGGTAATTACAAACAAGTGATGGGGGGTAACCAACAATACAGTAATAGGGTCACCAAGAGCATAGTGATGGGAGGGGGGGGGGGGGTTACCATAAGGTCACCATAAATGTAGTGACGGGGGGTCAATAAGAGCATAGTGATGGGAGGGAGGGGGGGTCACTAATGACACAGCAATGGATGTCATGCAAGTTCTTTCAGATTCAAGAGGTTGACCTACCTCCCTGTTACGTCCATTTAAATCACTGCTTTCTATCAAGAAATTGTCAATATCTGTCCAGTACAGGCGACTATCTTTGAAGTCGATAGTGAGGCCATTTGCACGGCCCATCTTTGTGACAATTGGAGATGGCTGCGAGGCGTCCAGATGGGCATGCGATATGCTTGGCTCATCTCCCCATTCTGACCTAGAAAGTAAATAATTTCATTACTTTAAGGGCACTGAACACATTTTCAATATTGCCTGTATTGCCATTAGCATTAGCATTAGCTACATTTTCAGCTGTACTGTATTTCAAAAAATCTTTCAAGTTGCTGTCAACTACACACAACCAAATCTTATAATAATGGTGAATTACCAACTATGTGTTTTATGTTTGCATAGTAAAAAAAAAAAATCACATTAAATACAAGTCAGTGTAAAGTAAATACAAAGTAAAATAAAATAATTAAAAATGCGGTCACTGAGGTGACAAAAAACATGTATGACTACAAGGGTCCTTTTAATCCCCTTGGGAAAAATTTTATGGACTACAAGGCAATCACCAGCTGGGGTAACGAAAAACAGGTACGCAAACGCGTGTCCCTCAAAACTGTGATGAAAAACAGGTACGCCTACGTGTGTCCCTCGAAACTGTGACGAAAAACAGGTATGCCAATGCGTGTCCCTCGAAAAAAGCAAAACGAACACGCGTAGGCGTACTTTATACTACTAAAGTATAAAGGGCATAAAAAATGATGCCCTCAGCATCACTCCTTCCACAGCACTAATCACAACAATCCTGCTATTATCACAACCCTGGTCATTTTTATCACAGTCAGGGGTCATCTGTAATACTGTCATCGCTAAATAATAGCAGCTATATACTTATTTTGACATTTTTAGATGATGCTGTGGTCACAAGCTGAACAGCAATGCTGTTAGCTGCGTGTACCACCCTCGGTTGCTCCCACAGTACTGTGGCTCTCACACCGGAGAATATTGCCCACAATTTTTTTTAAACATGGCGTCTGTTTACAAGAGCCCTGAGGAAGCTAATGTGAACCCCGTGTAGCCGCGGGCCATTTGAATCATGCCTGGCACTCTATAGCGTATATATACACTATGTGCACCGTGGGGCATGTTACTCATGACATATGTATACGCCATGCGCAGCTAAGGGTTAAATCCACCTCAAAATAACGACAAGAGAATTTGCAAAGTTCCCTCTTGAAATAGTTATGCCCACTTTAACCCTTAAATGGCGCATGGCTATATACTATTTGACACCACAGGCGCATACAAAAAAAAAAAAAAAATAAAAAATAAAAAAAAAATAAAAAATCTTCCTAACCTGCTAATTTGTGTTCACTGGTCATGGGAAAAATAATAAAAAAATCGTAAGTGGCATATATTGCCCGCTATAGGGCGGGGAAGTCTGGCAAATTATAGGCGCTGACTCAGCGTGCGTCCCAGGCGGTCTGTTGCTCGCCCGCTGTCAGGCCGGAGTTGCCACAAAGATATAATTACCTAATTATTTCAATGTCTCTGATTGATTTTTCATAGTTTTTTGCTGTAATATTATTCAATAGTGTGTAGTGTGATATATTTATATAATAAAATGAGTGAATCATTGCTGTACTCAAAAATATGGTGTGCATATTGTTGATTCAATTATGTTCATCAAACAGTGAACAAATACTTTGTCGGTTATTACACTATATACACAGGTTATATATAAGTATCTGCATGTTTTGTTCACTATAACAAACCACTAAGTTGCTATTATGAGTAAAAAAGTAACGAGGAGTGACTGCCGTGTACCAGCCAGCCACTCACTCCCTCCCTCCCTCCCTCAACACCTCATTCGCCCACATTCTCCTCCCACAATACTATTTTTGCTTTTATTCACTATATACAGACGTTATATATAAGTATCTACATTCGTGCTCACCATAACGAACCACTAAGTTGGCATGCTGAGTGGCAGTAGCAGTGGCAGCCCCCCACTGGCTGCTACTTCCTCCCTCCCTCCCTCAAGTCACCTGACTCACCCTCATTCTCCTCCCACAATACTGTTTTTGCTTTTATTCACTATATACAGACGCTATATATTTGTATCTGCATTCGTGTTCACCATAAGGAGCCACTAAGTTGGTATGCTGAGTGGCAGCCAGTGGCAGTCCGCCACTGGCTGCCACTCCTTCCCTCCCTCACCTCACCTGACTTGACTTGACTTGCCACCATTCTCCACCCACCATACTGTTTTTGCTTTTATATACAGACGTTATATATAAGTATTTACATGTTTTGATCACCATAACTGTGCATCTAAGCTTGTATGGTGAGTAAAGGCACAAACGTAGCTACTCACACAGTCAGCTGATGGCTACCGACCTCAAGGCCAGACGCACTAATATTTCTCCTCCAACAATACTGTTTGTGGTGTTATTACGCTATACATACACATTATATATAAATATCTACCTGTTTTATTCACCATACTTGTACAAGTAAACTGGTATGGTGCCCAAAGACCATCGTGGTCACCAGGAAACAACATGATAAATCGTGCAGACGACGCCACCACCCTCACCACAATGGCGGCTCCCAACCTCCTACTCTTGCTGTTTATACCCTCTATACACACGTTATATATAAGTATCTACATTTGTGTTCACCATAGCGAACCACTAAGCTGGTATGCTGAGTGCAGTCAATAAAAGGTGGCCACACACAGTCAGAAGACGACACCACAACCCTCCCTCCCACAGCATTACTCCTCCCTCCATGAAGCACAGTGCTAAATATCACCACAATCCTGCTATTATCAGAACCCTGTCAGTTTTATCACAGTCAGGGGTCGTCTCTAATAATATCATCGCTACATAATAGCATGAACAAGTATATTATGGCATTTTTAGGCAATGCTGTGGTCACAAGCTGAACAGCAGTGCTGTGAGCTCATGCTGCGTGCGTCAGGCTTGGTGGCTCACTCAGTACTGCGGCCCTTAACACCCGGGAATTTGGCCCACGATTTTTTTTTTAAATGGCGTCTGTTTACAAGAGCCCTGATGAAGGTGTGGTGAACCCCGTGTATTCGCGGGCCGTTTAAATCTTGCGTAGTACTCCAAATCATCATATGATGCGATGCGCAATTTACTGCAAGTCGGTCAAAGCATCATATGATGCGACGCGCAATTTAAGGGTTAACACTTTCGCTCGCCGGGCGAGCGAGCGCCAGACCACCTCAAGGTGCGCCGCACATTCCACGGGAGCGAGCGGTTTTTGAATGTTGGTTTTTACTCTTTCCAATTTTGTCACATCAATTCTCGTCCTAGGTCTTTCATTTTGGCATCAATGTGTTTGCAGCAGAATTCCCTACAGACGTATATGCATATAAAGTCCAAAAGCGCGGCGTACCACCCACAGCAAACAGAGAAAGTGACCGGGTTACCGGTGAGTGCTCAAGAGCAATAAAATGTGTATACTCTTTTCAACTTTGTCACCTCGTCCTAAGTCTTTCATTTTGTTTTCAATGTGTTCGCAATGAAATTCCCTATAGCAGTATATGCATATAATCCCAAAACCGTGGCGTGCCCCTCCCGCAGCCAAGCCGAAAGCAGGCCAAATTTTAAAATTTTTAACGCCATGTTACATCGTTACCGCACGTTCGTCTACTAAACTTTTGATGCCATACTGCGCCATTAACGAGTGAAAGTGCTAATTTTCTCTTACCAGTACATGTAGCCCTGACCCGGATCAAGTGCCAGAGATTTGGGACTAGCGATGTTCTGCCACAGAAGAACTCGTCTAGATGTTCCATTTAATCTTGCAACTTCAATCCTGCAAAAACAAATGAATATCAAAGCTGGATAAATACATAGTTAAGAGTGAGACAAAAAAACAATTATTGCAAATTTAAATACTAGACCTAAAATTAAAAAAAAATCATTAAATGTAACGAAACGCCATTTTGTGGTTGAGCCACGGAGGCTCCCTGTAGCTATTGGACCGGGAACCACTAGCTATAATATTAGCTATAATAATAACCACTATTATTAGCTATAATAATAGTCTGGGACTTCAGTCATAAGGAGTTGTCTTGCCTACCGGGAACCACTAGCCAGAACATGGTTCCCTCAGAGGTGAAGGGAGCAATGGGCTATGAACTCTCCACTGTTTGGGAGTACTGTACATTCATGTCTGCCATTGACCAAGGTTGGGCACCTAGAAAGGCAGGACCCCCAAAACAGACCCCAACTGGTAGAAAATTGCAACCTGAGACCAAAACAGGCTAGAAACTCTTCCCTCCCCCCCCCCCCAAAAGGAAACAAGCAAATCGTCATCAACCTGAGACGCCGCTCGTTCCCCCCCCCCCTCAAAGGGACCCCTCCAGTCCCCACCGAGCGCCGGCCGTCTGCCCACTAGTCTGAAGACTGAGCAAATGGAAGAAAACCGCCAACTGGAGGGAGGGAGGGTGCCAGGGAGCCTCCAGTGCTCACCCATTAAATGGAGTTTCATTACATTCAATGCTGGTTTTCCGAGGGAAGCCCCGTCGGCTTCCTGGAGCTAGCTACCCAAAGATAAGTAAAGGAGGGACTTACCCAGGAAGCAGTTGCACCACATGACTCATGACGAAGACAGGACAACTGGCTGCAACCGACGGCCCAAGGCCACACACAAGACCGCTGAAGGCCAGAAACGTTCACGACATAACACGTGACCAGGACCCTGTTCTACCTCCAAAATCCCTGGTCCATGAATGTCAGCCCAAGACATGTTCTCAAACACAGCAGCCAGAGCTGCAAACATCCAATCATCATGGGCATGAGGGTAGAATTCAGGCTGCATTAGATTTAACCCTGCAGACAACCTGGAAGACCCTAGCCCTGGAACAGGGAACGAGGGAAATCGGATCAACCCAACGTGCATCCCCAGCCACCGAAGCCGAGGAGCGCAGGTAACGACACAAAGCCGTAACCAGGTACTACTGCACCCGTTCATCGGGCGATCAAGGGGGCTCCTCCAGAAAACCAGCATTGAATGTAATGAAATGCTGCTTCCTGGTGAAGCACCAGTGGCTCTCTAACACTCTCCCTTCCAGGTAGTTGGTGGTTTTGGGCTTTATCTGATCCAGAATTGACTTGGAGTTGGCTGAGAACTGGGGGTTCCATGTCCACCCCTGGAGGTAGTTTGGTGGAACAGTACAGAATTAGGGATTCAAGCTAAATTTGAGTGATTCGATGATTTTGTTTGACTTGTTTGTAATGTTAGGCAATTGTTAACACCTCAGTTCCGGTGAGCCTTGCACATGTAATGTGTAACCTTGTCTGTAATGCTTTGCTGACTTTCTGGATGCATTCACAGTCAGGTGGTGAAGTGTTACGTGTTTTCTGAATCTCTCAGAGATGGGGAGGAGGGGGCAGATTCTGGCTCTGGTTCCCAGCAAGCCAAACAACTCCCGTGACTGATGTGGCTTAGTAGATACTAACAATCTCAGTGAGAGCTTCATAAAGCCACCAAGGCTCAACTAGGAAGAGGAGTTTCATTACATTCAATGCTGTTCCTTTATAAAACCAGAGACATACCTATCTCCCACATTCCCAAACCATGAATCCATGCAGGCTAACACTTAAATGTTAGTTGTACTAATGTGATATCTGCTTGCTCAGCATCCTCAAGTACACAACAGTACACTCCAGTACAGTACACTCAATTGAGTTACATCAAAGAAAAGAGAATAAACAGATTCCTTGCCAGCCAATGATCCTGTTTCTTCAACTACACTACTGCTAAATATCATGACCAGTTTTCTCCATCTCCACAATACCTCCACAAATTACTTCCTACCATTTCTGTTCCTACTTTGTGTCGGGTTTATCTTTGCTTGTTTCTTTCTTTCTCCCTTTTCCCCATATTAACTTGCTGAGTTCAAGTCACATTCTTTTTGCACATTATCATTCAGAGCCAACAAGTTGCAAGTGCTTTATTCTGTGTCTGCTAAACTGTTCTTCTTTTGCATAAAGCTCCCATTACTGTAAACCTTCACGAGACTTTAAATACGCGAAGAGACAACATGAAATACAGATTGGATACTGTGCTTGAACCTGGCATGGAATTCAAGATTTTAAAGGCATCGAAGACAATGCACACAGGATGTCCTCACTGAACATTTGCTATTGATGTGTTGATGGTCAAATGTCGCAGATCACACGAGCAGCATTACAGCACTTCCTACACATGCTGGTGATGAGTCACAATAATGTGGCTCAAGATATGACACCAAGCCACACGTCACAAAATTAAGAGACGACAACGTTTCGGTCCATCCTAAACCATTATCAAGTCGGGTAATAGAGAGTGGAAGAGATAAATAAGGCAGGAAAATGAGATGCAAGATGGTATAAAAGAAAAAGTCAGTAAGATGAGAGGTAAAAATCGGATCAAAGGTAAGAATAGGATAAAAGGTAAGAATAAGATGTAGATTCAAGACTCCTTGTCAAAATCATTGGATTAACCTAAGACCTAAAATAACATAACTATTAGTAATTTTAACTGTTTACTAATTTTGTATTATAAGACACACACAACTTATATTTCAGTAATTACTGTATTACAATCTTTAATTGAAGGGTTACCTGTTGTTTCCCATGTCTGCCCAATAAATGTTGCGAGCTAGCCAATCAACAGCCATGCCTTCAGGAAAAGAAAGTCCAAGCTCTATAACAGGCTCCATTTGGGAGCCATTCATAAAGGCACGAGAGATGGACTTCACCCTGATATCCGTCCAGTACAGTCGATTATCAACACTGTCAAAGTCAATGGACCTGAAAATAAAGAACAGTATAGACATATTTGTACATTATCATTACCCCTTTTTCCTCTTTTGTGGGTTGAGAGGGCATCAGTCCGTAGAAAAAATCAGCATTGAATATAATGACGCTCCATTTTCTGGGCGAGTCCTGGAGGCTCACTGGAGCTTACCAGGCTGATATGTATGTATTAAACCGAGGCATCAGTCAAATTGATTGGAGTGCTTGCCTATCACAGACCATGAGTCAGAACCTGGCTCCCTCGGAGAGGCACAAGGAGCAATGGTCTATAGAAACCTCCATGTGGCTGGAAGCCTTCTACGTCTGCCATCGATCGGGTTAGGCACCCAGAAAGGTAGGCATCCCCCCCCAAAAAAAAAACTCCACCTGGTTCAAAATTGTTACCAAAAGCTGAACTATCAAGCAGAACGCCCTAATCTGAAAACAAGCAAAACAAGCATGACATCACAGCTTCTGCACCGCTGTCTGCCCAGCTCCCCCTCACCAGGAGGAAGAAGGGGCAGCCCAAGACCCTTGTGCCAGCAATCCAACCCCAGTTCAGTGACTGAATATCAAAAAGCGAATGCCACCGACTGGAGGGAGGGTGGCCGGAGAACCTCCTGGACTCACCCAGAAAATGGCATTTCATTACATTCAATGTTGGTTTTCTGCGGAAAGCCCCTCTGGCTCCCTGGAGCTACCTAACCACAGAAAAAGTAAAAGAGGGATGAAGAAAGACATTTTCTTACAACTTTCCTACAACTTTCATGCTAAAAGAAAACATTCTAACATGCTTAATATGACTCGTATGCATTTCCACCTGTCCCCTTGTTCTGTTGGTATTCAGCGTGAACATTGTCTATTTTCACTCTGTCAATTCCCATAAGTATTTTATGTGTTTCTATCAAATCTCCCCCACTCCCTTCTTTTTTCTAGCGCCATTAGGTTTAGTTCCTTCAGTCACTCTCATACCCCATCCATTGCAACTCAAGAGACTCGTCACAAATTTCCAAACCTTTTCCAGTTTTCTTATGTGTTTCTCTAGGTAGGGGCTCCACGATAGGGTGGCATACTCTAAGACTGGTCTTATGTAGGCAGCGTGAAGCGCTCTAAATGCCTCCTTACTTAGGTTTCTGAATGACGTCCTAACTTTTGCCAACGTAGAATACGCTGTTGTTGTTATCCGATTTATATGTTTGTGTCGATTTGGCAAAGATACAGACAGATGAACTTACATGGCCTGCTGGATGCCGGTGACAGGGATGGGAACGTTATGGCTAGTGAGGAGGGAGATGCGTCTGATGTCCTCCTTCCTCGTGTACAGCAGAAAGGCTTCAGGAACAACGCACTCCTTCTCATTCTGAGTGAGTTCATAACCTGTCAAACAATTACAACATCCAAGTAAATTTTTAAGTTAGGCGTATCTAGTCTACCGAGTTCAACCGCAGCATAATCAATTCTTACATCTTAAGATCATGATAACCATTTTCCAGGCTATAAATTGTATTAGGTATAGCTATAAATTATAAGACAGCTAGAGAATGCAAACTTAAACCAGGGCCTTGAGAAAATAGCCACATTAGCACTAGAAATGTGCACAAGTCACATACCACGAAGGAGAGAGAGATGCAAACTAAAATGAGAACGCCGTTCCCTATTTAGGCGACGAAAACAAATTGTGGAACATCTTAAACGCTTAACTGTGCCAAGAACAAGAAAGAAGGCTACGTAGAGAAATAGAAACGACTGAGCTAAGGTTGCAAGACTCCAATAATCTCCAGGAAAGATGTCAGGAGCAAAAGGCCATAAGTGAAATACAATACAATACAGTACTGTAGTTAGGAACCTGAAATACTTTTTCTTGTGTGTAAAAACAAGAACAAGAAGTACATCTGGCATTGGGTCCTTGCACAAGGGTGATAAACATTTGTGACTTGTTCAAGGATGATAAATTTTCACAGATGACAACAAAGAAATGAGTGGAATACTGACACTTCAGTATGATTCTGTTTTCAATGAATAACTGAACACATTGAAGATCAATGATCCAAATGAATTCTTCACGAATGTGACACCAACACTGAACCACATAACAGATGTCACCCTAACCCCACTGGATGTTGAAGCAGCCAGAGACACCATGCCTATGCACTGTGCACCAGGTCCAGACTAATGGAACTCTAGTCATCAAAAAGTGCAAAATACCACTATCACAGGCCCTAAACATCTTTTGGAGACACAATTTAGATACCGGTTGTCATCCCTAACATACTTAAGACAGCAGAGATCACACCATTCACAAAAGAGGTTGTAAAGCAGATGCAAAAAATGATAACCTATAAGCTCCAACTTCACATATCATAATTTTTGTTAAAGAATGCTGAGAAGTAAGATTACAAATCACATGGAATCACAAGATTTGTACAACACTGGACAACATGGGTTCAGAACAGGCCACTCCTGCCTCTCACAATTTCTAGATCACACTATGACATGGCCTTAAGTGCCATGGAAGACAAGCGAGTGAGCAACCACAGTTGGCACACACAGCATGAGTTAACAGCACTGCTGTTCAGCTTGTGACCACAGCATCACCTAAAAATGTCAAAATATATATGTAACTGGTATTATTTGGGCATGATAGTATTACAGAAGACCCCTGACTGTGATAAAGACTGTACAATGTTCAGATATCAGTGAATCAATGCTGTTCAAGATGTTCACAGCACTAGCCACAGCACACTGCACTCTAAGAATCTTCAAATGATTTCTCATGTTCCTTTACAAAATAAACTTGTGGAAAATTATTCATTTACAGGATTTAGTGACTAGGATTCTGATAATAGCAGCATTGTGGTGAGAATTAGCAATGTTTGTAGTATGATGGGAGGAGTAATCTTGGTGAGGGAGGGAAGGAGGGAGAGGTGGTGTCGTCTGCTGACTCTGTATTTGTCAAAAATTGAGAGAAGGAAAAAAATCAGGCCCTAAACATCTTTTGGAGATGGAGCCTAAATACTTGTGTTATGCTTCATATGCTTGAAACAGCAGAGATCGCACCACTTCCCAAAAGAGGTAGTAACGTTTATGCAAAAATCTATAGACTAACAGCTCTAACATTGCACATCATAAAAATCTTTGAGAGTGCTAAGAAGTAAGATCACAAAACTTATGGAATCACAATGTCTGCATAACCCTTGTCCCTTGCCTCAGATCTGTCATATACTATCATGCCCAAATAATACATACCCTTGCCTCAGATCTTGTAGATCTGAGGCAAAGTGAAATTGACACCAGTAATTTCATCTACCATCATACTATCATGCAAGAGGAGCCACACATCTATGGATCATCCAATAAAATCAGCAGACTTCTAGATGTTACAACTGCTCGGCTTAAGACTCGGTTACAAGTATCTCTGGGAATTCTCATTATCTGCCGATGTAGACCTGACCAAATGTAAACTGTCAACAAAATTATTCGCACACCCTCCGTCACTATGTGATGGAGTGCGAAAAGATACGTGAATTTAGAGACAATTCTATAACCAATGTTCCAGCGATGTGTCAATATATCATTCAAAATGATCTGCTACCAGACATTTTAGCCAAATATCCCCAGTTTGGTAACTGTAGGTAGTAACTAAGTTATTGTAACCTATCCACCGCTGCCCACTGGATGGGGGGCGGTGTGCAGGACAAACATATCAATTGTGACACTAGCTCTCCACATATGTCAGTTGCTTAATTTAGAAACTGTATTTGTGGTCAATCTCGAACCCATTGTTGATGTGACAACTTGTACCGAATTTTGTAACTTTCTTGAGGTTATCTTGAGATGATTTCGGGGCTTTTAGTGTCCCCGCGGCCCGGTCCACGACCAGGCCTCCAACCCCAGGAAGCAGCCCGTGACAGCTGACTAACACCCAGGTCCCTATTTTACTGCTAGGTAACAGGGGCATAGGGTGAAAGAAACTCCGCCCATTGTTTCTCGCCGGCGCCTAGGATCGAACCCAGTACCAAAGTCAAAGAGTGGGTTCACGCCCAAACAAAGTAACTACATCAGGCTGCAAGTAGCCACAGTGAACAGCCTGGTTGATCAGACCAGCATCCAGGAGGCCTGGTCAGACCAAACCATGGGAACATTGGTCCCCAAAATCATCAACAGGTAGATACATTTAACAGTCCATAGAATAGTGGATAAATCTTCAATCATCCTCAAGTGAGGTGGTAGTTCAAGTCTCCTAGTGCCTAGTGGCCAGATTTATGAAGCAGTTACGCAAGTACTTACGAATGTGAACATCTTTCCTCAATCTTTGACGGCTTTGGTAACATTTATCAAACAGTTTATAAGCATGAAAACTTTCCAATCAATTGTTGTTATTGTTATAAACAGCCTCCTGGTGCTTTGGAGCTCATTACCTATTCAATAACTGTAAAAAAAGCTGCCAAAGATTGAGAAAAGATGTACAGGTTCATAAGTGCTTGCATAACTGCTTCGTGAATCTGGCCCCAGGTGAATGAAGTGTTTATTTCCACAGTAGTAGGCTCGACAATTTATATTTAACAGAATTTTTTTTAACTGTCTTCCCTCTAATTAGGATATTTTATACTACTATAAATGTTACAGTATCTATACAAATAAGCTATATGCAAATACAATAAACAATTAGATGGTAAAGATAATTGTTGAAGCAATGCATACCAATAGGACAGCCACAGGTGTAGTTGGTAGGTCTATTAAGACAGAGGTGAGAGCAGCCACCATTGTTCTTGCGACAAGGATTGAACCCAGCCTTATTGCTCACGTTCACTGCCTTGAGCCCCATAAGATCTGGCAGCTGCTCCACGATCACCTCGCGCTGCGTCGCTGCAAAATGATCTTCACAGGTGAGAAAGATAAATAGTCTTCTTGTAACACCGTAAAGGTGTTTTGTATTTAATATATACATAGTACAGGAGTCACAGACAAGATTTCAAGGGGCACCAGGTTGGCAGCCCCTAGTAATTAAGAAACTCTCACCTCTAAGTGTTAATGACCACCAAGTGACCAAGGTCAGATCGCAGGAAGTTGACCTGGTCTCTGCTCTGCTGGCTGTTCTCCTGTCTTCTGTCTCTTTCTGTCTATTCCTCGTGTGTACAGTACCCTGGGTATATATTTGTGACCAACTAGCTAACTCCGCCCACAAGTAGATAGCCCCAGGCACTCTACCAAGACACACCTTAAATTGGCGGCATGTTTGACGGTCACCCTCGGCTAGCCGCCTGCAATTATGAGATTAGCAGAGACCAAATCAACTTCCCGTGACCTGACCTTGGTCACTTGGTGGTCATTAACACTTAGAGGTGAGAGTTTCTTAATAACTAGGGGCCGCCAACCTGGTGCCTCTCAAAATCTTGTCTGTGACTCCTGTACTCTGTATATATTAAAATACAAAACACCTTTAAGGTGTTACATCTCCCCTTCCCCTCCTTAATAAAGTTTTTGCGACACTGCTAATGCCAATAAGCTGGGCGCGAAAACTTTATACAAAAAATTGAATTCTGTTATTCTAATTTGCATGTATTCTTATGCTACTACTGAACTAACAGCAATTTCGATACAACATATTTTATGTTGCAGTGAGTAATACATTATGTACAACAAGGTATGTTGCAGTTATACAATATGTACATATCAAGGTATGTTAGTGAGCTATACAATATATACAGTACTACAAAATATGTCACAGTTATACAATATGTATTGCAATATATGGCATGTACATACATGGAAAAAATACCCCTAATTTCCACAGTAAAATAACAACATACCGGAGTGAACAATACGGAAGGAAATGCAGAATAGAGGCAATGAAGATTAGAGGTGACATTGCTAGAACAAAAGTGGAAGTCTTCAAGTAAAAGCTACCTTGCCTTGAGGTTTCATTGAGGTGATTTCGGGGCTCAGCAACCCCGCGGCCCGGTCGTCGACCAGGCCTCCTGGTTGCTGGACTGGTCAACCAGGCTGTTGGACGCGGCTGCTCGCAGCCTGACGTATGAGTCACAGCCAGGTTGATCAGGTATCCTTTGGAGGTGTTTGTCAAGTTCTCTCTTGAACACTGTGAGGGGTCGGCCAGTTATGCCCCTTATGTGTAGTGGAAGCGTGTTGAACAGTCTCGGGCCTCTGATGTTGATAGGTCTTTCTCTCAGAGTACCTGTTGCACCTCTACTCTTTAACAGGGGTATTCTGCACATCCTGCCATGCCTTCTGGTCTCATGTGCTGTTATTTTTGTATGCAGGTTTGGGACCAGCCCCTCTACCATTTTCCACGTGTAAATTACCATGTATTATGTATCTCTCCCGCCTGTGCTCAAGATAATACAGATTTAGGCTCTTTAGTCAGTCCCAATAGTTTAGATGTTTTACCGAGTAGATTCTAGCAGTAAAGGATCTTTGCACGCTCTCCAGGTCAGACATTTCTCCAGCTTTGAAAGGGGCTGTCATTCTACAGTGGTATTCCACTCTAGGAAGCACTAGCATCTTGAAAAGTATCATCATCAGTATAGTATCTCTAGTGTGAAAAATTCTTGTTATCCAACCTGTCATTTTTCTTGCAGTTGTGACGGCTGGATAGTTTTCGGCAAGAAAAGCCGGACCAACCGGGCTATGGTGGATATGTGGGCCTGCAGACTGCTCCAATTAACAGCCTGTTGGACCAGACTCCCACAGGTCAAGCCTGGCCCTGGGACAGGGCTTGGGGAGTAAAACTCCCAGAACCCTATCCAGGTACAATCCAGGCATGTTGCAGTAGCAAGGTCCCTTCCTTGCAATGGGAGTTACTGCAGGGAGTAGTATCAGAGTTGGACTATGGGAGCTACTGGTGGGAATGGTACCCGAGTTCAACTATGGAAGCTACTGAAGGGAGTCTATCTGGAGCATACCTGGAAAGGCTCGGAGTTTTTCTACTCCCTGAGCCCAGCCTGAGGCCAGGCTTGACTTTTGATAACTTGGTCCAACAGGCTGTTTGGAGCAGCCTGCAGGCCCACATATCCACTACAACCTGGTTGCACCAGCACTTCTTGCAAGAACTTATCAAAGTGCCTCTTGAATACACCCACCATTGTTCCAGCAATATTTCTAATGCTTGCTGGGAGGGAGTTGAACAGCTGTGGACCTCTGATGTTCAGACAGTGCTCTCTGATTGTGCCTATGGCACCTTTACTCTTCACTGGTTCTATTCTTCATTTCCTTCTGTATCTTTTGTTCCAGTATGTTGTTATTCTACTGTGCAAATATGGAGCCTGGCCTTCAAGTATCTTCCCTGTATATACTTATTATTTGATAACTTTTTTTATCTTCTTTTTTTTCCAGAGAGTACATTTTGAGAGCTTCGAGACGGTCCCAATAATTTAGATGGTTTATCGTTTCTATGTGTGCAGTATAGTATGTATTCCCCCTAATTCAGAGATCTCTCTTGCTCTGAAGAGGGAAGTGAGTACCGAGCAATACTCAAGATGGGACAGCACCAGTGATTTAAATAGCATAAGCATTGCTGTGGGGTCTCTGGAGTGGTACCTATCGTTGGACTATAGCTACTGCAGGGAGTGGTACCACAGCTGGAGTATGGGAGCTACTGTAGGGAGTGGTACCAGAGCTGGAGTATGGGAGCTACTGCAGGGAGTGGTACCAGAGCTGGAGTACGGGAGCTACTGCAGGGAGTGGTACCAGAGCTGGAGTACGGGAGCTACTGCAGGGAGTGGTACCACAGCTGGACTATGGGAGCTACTGCAGGGAGTGGTACCAGAGCTGGACTATGGGAGCTACTGCAGGGAGTGGTACCACAGCTGGACTATGGGAGCTACTGCAGGGAGTGGTACCACAGCTGGACTATGGGAGCTACTGCAGGGAGTGGTACCACAGCTGGACTATGGGAGCTACTGCAGGGAGTGGTACCACAGCTGGACTATGGGAGCTACTGCAGGGAGTGGTACCACAGCTGGACTATGGGAGCTACTGCAGGGAGTGGTACCACAGCTGGACTATGGGAGCTACAGCAGGGAGTGGTACCAGAGCTGGACTATGGGAGCTACTGCAGGGAGTGGTACCACAGCTGGACTATGGGAGCTACTGCAGGGAGTGGTACCACAGCTGGACTATGGGAGCTACTGCAGGGAGTGGTACCACAGCTGGACTATGGGAGCTACAGCAGGGAGTGGTACCAGACCTGGACTATGGGAGCTACAGCAGGGAGTGGTACCAGACCTGGACTATGGGAGCTACTGCAGGGAGTGGTACCACAGCTGGACTATGGGAGCTACTGCAGGGAGTGGTACCACAGCTGGACTATGGGAGCTACTGCAGGGAGTGGTACCACAGCTGGACTATGGGAGCTACTGCAGGGAGTGGTACCAGACCTGGACTATGGGAGCTACTGCAGGGAGTGGTACCAGACCTGGACTATGGGAGCTACTGCAGGGAGTGGTACCAGACCTGGACTATGGGAGCTACTGCAGGGAGTGGTACCAGACCTGGACTATGGGAGCTACTGTATGGTACATTTCACACAACTTTATCATCATTGGTTCAATGCTCTGCTTCTTTTGTTTATTGTTTCATAAACATTCCCCCACAGGAGCGCTTCTCCCTGCACATTCTCCCACAGGCTCGACATGCCCTGGACATTCTCCCACATGACCGACTCTCCTTGCACATACTCCCATATGACCGACTCTCCCTGCACACACTCTTCCACAGGATCAACTCGCCTGGCACACACTTCCACAGGATCAACTCGCCTGGCACACACTTCCACAGGATCAACTCGCCTGGCACACACTTCCACAGGATCAACTCGCCTGGCACACACTTCCACAGGATCAACTCGCCTGGCACACACTTCCACAGGGTCAACTCGCCTGGCACACGCTTCCACAGGATCAACTCGCCTGGCACACACTTCCACAGGATCAACTCGCCTGGCACACACTTCCACAGGATCAACTCGCCTGGCACACACTTCCACAGGATCAACTCGCCCGGCACACACTTCCACAGGATCAACTCGCCTGGCACACTCTTCCCCAGGATCAACTCGCCCGGCACACTTCCACAGGGCTGCTAATCCCTATTATTTACCCACATGGCTGATATAATATGACACACTTGTCACTAACCATCAAACTTGTTGACTCTCTCTATGCTCCTCCTCTGCCAGTCAGTCCAGTACAAAAAGTCGCCCAAGAGAGAGAAGCCAAACACGTGTGGAAGATGCTCACTCAGAACCACCCTTCTCTCACTGCCGTCCAGAGCTGCCATCTGCGAAAAATATGTGCATCAATTTGTAGTGATGGGCAACGTGGACAATTATATTAATAATGTTGTATATTTCGTAGGAATTGCATATTAAATTTTTTCCAATTTTATACAAATTATGTATACATGTGTTACTGTACATAAATAAGGCTTACATAAATATGGTTATAACTATATGGATGAAATGGAGTTAACAAACACGCATAAATAATTTATGCTATAGTTTTGTAATTGGCTACTATGCGATAAGGTTATTATGTACTACAGCAGTTGGCTGTGGTTATCGTCAGAGCACAATTACGCTTTTCTTGTCGGTGTTTGAATCAACTTCTCGACAATATTCCCATATAGAACAGCAGCAAATGAGTAGATTGCAAGGCACTTCCTCAAAGCTGTGCCAGGAACAGGTTTATGATAAATATAGGCATACAAATTACACTGAAAGCCTGCATACAATACTATATGTATACAGTAAATTATATTATTTGTACAAAAATTATGCTACATAACACATTGCTTAACCCTTAAATGGTGCAAATCATACATGTATGTAAGGAGGAACTTTCACAAGATGGCGCATTTCATACATGTATGACTGAGGGTCTCGCGCATGATTCTAAAAGTCCCGTGGCTACATGCGGTTCACATCGGCTTCCTCAGGGCTCTTATAAACAGACATCATTTAAAAAAAATCGTGGGCAACATTCCCAGGTGTGAGAGCATCAGTACTGACTGAGCAACTGAGGCTGGTGCACGCAGCAAGAGCTAACAGCACTGCTGTTCAGCTTGTGACCACAGCATCGCATAAAAATGTAAAGAATATATGTAACTGGTATTATTTAGCGATGATAGAATCGCAGAAGACCCCTGACTGTGATAAAAATCCAGCGTTGAATGTAATGAAACGCCATTTTCTGGGTGAGCCCTGGGAGGCTCCCTGGAGCTTATTGGGCTAATGTATGTTATATTAGACCGGGATATTAGCCAAGGAGTTCAGACCTACCAGGGACCAGCGGCAGAACCTGGCCCCTTCAGAGAGGTTTCTGGGAGCAATGGCCCTGGAAAACCCCCTTGTGATTGGGGGTTTTCCTTATCTGCCATCAACCGGGGTTAGGCACCCAGGAAGGTAGGCATAACAAAACAAACCCCACATGGTAAAAAACTAAAACAAAAAACTGAACAGAGGTAGAAACTCCCTACAATCCCAAAAATACAAACAAGCAAACAAGCAAATATCACACTTTACTGCCACGCCGATCATCTGCGTAGCCCTCCCCGCCCCGAGAGGGGCAGGGGTGAGCCCCGGACCTCATCGCGCCGGCTGCCTATCTTGAGGTTATCTTGAGATGATTTCGTGGCCCGGTCCTCGAACAGGCTTCCACCCCCAGGAAGCAGCCCGTGACAGCTGACTAGCACCCAGGAAGCAGCCCGTGACAGCTGACTAGCACCCAGGTACCTATTTTACTGCTAGGTAACAGGGGCATAGGGTGAAAGAAACTCTGCCTATCGTTTCTTGCCGGCGCCCGGGATCGACCCCGGGACCACAAGATCACAAGTCCAGCATGCTGTCCGCTCGGCCGACCGGCTCCCGTCGGCCGTTGTTGGGAGGAGCCATTTGGGTGACGGAGGATGCGTCGTCTGCATGTCTTGTCATACTGTGTAGAGGGGTGGCCACTATGCCTTTGGGCATCATACCAGCTTATGAGGGAGGGAGGAAGATAGCGCCCCTACGGCTCCCTGGAGCTTATGATGTTGGGGGTGTGGGGGGGGGGAGCAGGAGTGAGGAAGTTGGAGAGAGGTTCAGTGAGGGTGAAGGAGGGGATGATAGAGCTAGGCTGCCTGCTTGCCATGCGAGGACCCCCTGATGCCAAAACAAACCCAATACTGACCTTCAGTAATATCGACCGCCAGACTGGTATATGAGGCTAAAAATAGCGATCTCCCAAATCGGTCGTTATTACCGGCAGATCAGTATAAAAAGAGGCAATTAAATCGAGTGGATACTGTATTTAACACTTTCGCCCAGGGGTGGCGCTGGACATCGTCACCAAGTTTTCTCTTGTGTCCGCATGGGTGACTCCGGCTGGAGTCTCGAGAAAAAATATTTGTATAAATTCCAATTTTGATCCGATCTACTTGGGGATAGTTTACAAATCTTCGCCATGAAATTTACGTTTTCTCTAATAGCCGAAGAGCTTATTTGGGAGAACGGCATGGCAGTGAATCATCGTGGTAAAACAATTGTATTATTGACACGAGTATAATCAACGTAGTTTTTATATTTGTTGCCGGTCGAACGCATCCTTATGTGACATTTTATACTTATGTTCTTCTAGAACATTCTATTGCGAACACATTGGTACAAAAATGAAATACGTACATCGAAAAATAATGTCAGGACAGTGAATTGAATACACACTTTTCAATGCGGGTTTTGCCAATATGCCGCCGCGGATAACACTTCGGCCACTTCCCACACTCTTGTGGGTGGGCTGCGACATTGATTCTATATTTATATGCATATGTCCGTGTAGAGAATTTTATTGCGATTTCAGCGATACCAAAATTAACCCTGTAGGACAAGTGTGGAGTTGACAACTCTGAAGATAGTAGAAACATTTCGTTGCTGTCTGGCGTTCACGGCTAGTGATCGACGTAGTTTTTTATTTGGTGCTGATCTAACTTATGTTTTGGTGACATTTTATACTTATGTTCGTCTAGAACATTCTATTGCGAACACATTGGTACAAAAATGAAATACGTACATCAAAAATTAACGTCAGGACAGTGACAAGAGTATACACTTTTAAATGTTGCCGCTCGATCGCCCGAAACGCCACACGCGCAAGGGGAAAGTGTTTTTTCCATTCGCCGGAGCGCGAAAGTGTTAATCAGCAGGAGTTTTGTTTTGGAATTCCTACCTTTCTGGGTGCCTGACCTGGTAGATGGCAGACAAAGACTGCTTCCAATTACACGAGGGTGTCATTAGGCCATTGCTCCTTGTGCCTCTTTTGAGGGGGCCAGGTTCTGGTCCCTGGTCGGCCAAGAACTCCTTCGATTGACAGTTGCCATGGTCTAATATATACACATCAGCCCGATATAGCTCCGCGGAGCGGAAGGGGTTCTCCACAGAAAAGAGGCATTGACAGAGCAGTCGCCAGACGAGGTCTGCTCCACCCGAGCTGTCAGGCGGGGGTTGCCACAAAGATATTACCTAATTATTTCAATGTCTCCAATTTTTTTTTTTGCAGTAATATCATTCAATAGAATGTGTTGTGATATATTTATATAATAAAATGTGTGAACCATCGCTGTACTCAAAATTATTGTGTTCATATTAGTGATTCAAGTATTATGTTCATAAAACAATAAACAAATAGTTCTGCTGATATTATACTATATACACGTTATATATACGTATCTGCATGTTTTGTTCACCGTAACGAACCACTAAGTTGGTATTGTGAGTCAAAAAGTAACGAAGAGTGGCCTTCAATCAACAGCCAGTCAGCTACTCGCCACCACTTGCTCACTCGCCAACATACTACTCCAACAATACTGTTTTTGCTTTTATTCACTATACACAGACATTAAATATAAGTATCTACATGTTTTGTTCACCATAATTGTACATCTAAGCTTTTATGGAGAGTTCAAGCAATAAGAGACCAGCACACAGTCAGCTGGTGGCTGCTGCCATCACTGGTTCAGGGCCAGACGCACTTATATTTCTCCTCCAACAACACTGTTTGTGGTGTTATTACACTATATACAAACATTATATATATAGGTCTACATGTTTTATTTACAATACAGTACTGTACAAATAAGCTGGTATGGTGCCCAAAGACCATAGTGGCCACCAGTAAACAACATGACAAGTCGTGCAGATGACGCACCTCCCTTACATAAATGACGGCTCCCAACATACTCCTATTGCTGTTACTACACTCTATACACATGTTATATATAAGTATCTACATTTGTGTTCACCATAGCGAACCACTAAGCTGGTATGGTGAGTGCAGTCAATAAATGGTGGCCACACACAGTCAGAAGACAACGCCACCACCCTCCCTCCACAGCATTACTCCTCCCAACATGGAGCACAGTGCTAAATATCACCACACTCCTGTTATTATCAGAATTCTAGTAAGTTTTATCACAGTCAAGGGTCTTCTGTAATACTATCATCGCTAAATAATAGAATGGACATGTATATTTTGACTTTTTAGGTGATGCTGTGGTCACAAGCTGAACAGCGGTGCTGTGAGCTCATGCTGCGTGCATCAGCTTTGGTGGCTCGCTCAGTACTGAGGCTCTCACACCCAGGAATGTTGGCCACGATTCTTTTTCTAGGTGGCATCTGCCAACTATCGGTCGAGGTTGCAATATAGTTGCCCCTATCTCACGCTGGGCATTTAAATTAAAGCACTAGACACTAAAACAGCTACAGTATTAATGTATTGCACGGTATGGGTAATGTTACTCAAATCATCTATATATGTATTGCGCGGTCTGAGGGTTAAGGGTTAATCCTCAGTCTGATGTAATTTTACAGATTTCACAGTTTTCAAAAATAGAGAGATCACCAGGGACAATTAACACTCAAGACTTTTGAGTGGGTTTTCACGAGAGCTCAAACTGAAACCTTTTTGTGTTCCTTCTATATGTAACCCTCAACACCCACTTTCACCCTTAACACCACCATACTCACCTAGACATCATTCCAAGATCATATGTGGAAACATCTGGACAATTGGCGAGTACCCATATTTATTGTTACATGTACTGTATTACCAGTATTCTGTGATTTTTGTTTAAGGAATAAATATTGAAACAATAATCTATTATGTACTTTTGTACATTAAATTATTATATTTCGTGCCTGGGGAATAATTCGACCACATATCCACACACAACTACATATCCAATTGCGACTGGAACCGAGTTGTTTGGAAGAAGGGTCAGGGAGTGTACCAGCATTTTAACTTGCGCTGGATTTAGCTCCACATGTTGTCGTCATGTGGCTTAACCACCGTGCTGCGCTGAGTTTATTGTGAAATTGCCCCGGTGCGCATGAAATAAAGTGTTCCCAAAAAATTGTTTTCTTTGTAAAATGATAAATTCCCTTCCATGAACATGTCTATGTAAAAATAAATACCAAATTCCACTTACTTTGGTTGTGGGGACATGGACAAGGTGCGCTGTGACGTCATCAGGGCCTGGTCGCCCGTGGGGTGAATCGCCCAGACACAGTCGCATGGGCCATTCAAGCACCAGACGTTGCCACAAATATATTTTCAATTATTTGTTTTATGTATTTCCAAAGCGATTTATTTGTTTGTTTGTTTTTATCATATATGATGCATATTTGTGTCCTTTACAACATGTATACAGTAGAACGTTCATAATGTTCCCTGGAACTGTTATACATGTGTCAGTAATGTGTCCACAATAAATGTTTATTGTCGCAAATATTACTTGTTAAAAATTCACTAAAATTACAATATGTACAGTTTCACACACTATTCACAGAGTAACACACTGTATTACACACAGTACTTCGGAAGTGAGTAATAATCAACGAAGTAGCCCATGGTACACAGTGCGACTTCACTCAGTGCACCAGGTACAGATAAATTTTCGCTTCCTGTTTCTTCATTCTGTGTGCTTGCAAATAACGCACTCACGTACACCCTTGGCTTTAGTACTTGTAGGTTGTATGTAGCCAAGCTTGTAAAGCATAAGGTAGACTTGAAAAGATTATAGGAAAAAGATCAATTTGTAAGGTAGTCTTGAAAAGATCGCTTTGTATGGTCCCACACAAGAAGAGATTCATCTTACCTCAAAGAGTGTCCGTCAGTCAGAAAGAGATTCAGCTAGCCTCAAAGAGTGTCCATCAGTTAGGAAGAGATTTAGGTATTCTTGAAAATATCTATGGAAAACACCACCATGGAAGCCACTAACACTGTTCATCTATGCTATTTGTATCTCATCTATGCTATTTGTATCAGATGCATCATCACTGAACGCAGAAAACGATTCATCTATATCATCTAAATAAATTGTAGATAGCATAGGATTACAAGGGTGACTCTCAGAGCTACAACTGTATACGCTCGCTGTATCATCCTCACAGGTGCTGTATCACTTGCATCCAATCTTTGTACTCACCTAGTTGTACTCACCTAGTTGTGTTTGCGGGGGTTGAGCTCTGGCTCTTTGGTCCCGCCTCTCAACCGTCAATCAACAGGTGTACAGATTCCTGAGCCTATCGGGCTCTGTCATATCTACACTTGAAACTGTGTATGGAGTCAGCCTCCACCACATCACTTCCTAATGCATTCCATTTGTCAACCACTCTGACACTAAAAAAGTTCTTTCTAATATCTCTGTGGCTCATTTGGGCACTCAGTTTCCACCTGTGTCCCCTAGTACGTGTGCCCCTTGTGTTAAATAGACTGTCTTTATCTACCCTATCAATCCCCTTCAGAATCTTGAATGTGGTGATCATGTCCCCCCTAACTCTTCTGTCTTCCAGCGAAGTGAGGTTTAATTCCCGTAGTCTCTCCTCGTAGCTCATACCTCTCAGCTCGGGTACTAGTCTGGTGGCAAACCTTTGAACCTTTTCCAGTTTAGTCTTATCCTTGACTAGATATGGACTCCATGCTGGGGCTGCATACTCCAGGATTGGCCTGACATATGTGGTATACAAAGTTCTGAATGATTCTTTACACATTCTTTGTGTTAGGTCCCTATTGCGCCTAGCTTCACCAATATCATGACCCTTATGTTCTTCAAACAATAAGGTTTGAATTTCACCGTCAGAGCGTTATCTTTCAACACCGCGTCAGACAGGTGTTTGGGAGCCAGAGGCGCGTGCACCACCCATGGTTGCTCATTCAGTACTGTACTAACCCAGCCAGCAGCCCTAGGGCATTCTGGGAATTATTTCCAAGATGGCTGCCTCTCACTAGAGGTCCTAAGAGTCCATTTCGTACACAACCAAGCTCGTACACATTTACAATTGGTACAGAAAAATCAAAAAGAGTTTTCTCGGTTGGCGCAGTTTCCCGGCGACCAAGATTACTCGGTTGGCACAGTTAAGTGGTTAAGCTCCATCAAAAGTCATTAAACTCTGGCAAGCAGTTCACCCTTTCAACCAACACATTTCAAAAAGATTCAAGGAGTAAATGTTATATACTGTACAGAATTTAATCATTTATATTTTATTACACTTACCTCGATTTTGTCTTCCTTAGCATCGCACCAATATATTTTTCTCAGCTCTGAATCAATTGCAACACCATTGGGCCACCCAAGGCCTGAATTAATTATGACCTGTCGCATAGAGCCATCGAGGGCTGCACGTTCTATCTTTGGATTTGTACCCCAATCTGTCCAAAACATGAGCCCACCATCAGGGTCTATCGCAATGGCTCTTGGCTCATCAAGGTTATCAGCAATAAGAATCTGTCAAGAGAAATTGGACTGAATTAAAACACACTTTAGGAAAGTTTGGCCAATTACATATTTTATGATAAGTGAGGACAAAGTGTAGACACTGATGATGATGAAGATGATCAAGATGAGTGTGCACTTTACTCATTTCTGGCATTTTCTCTGTAAGGGTGTTATAAAAACCAGCGGAGATACAAAGGGCAAGTGATGATAACGGAAAAATAGGCAATGGGTAAGGTCAGTGAAGGTGCTAAATATGAGGGATTATGAATAAAAATTTATATTTATGAACTATAAATTTACCAAAGAAGCAGTAGCATTCAATTTCTCCTCATTTTGTTTGGAAGTGTTGTAGTGTTTGATGGCTGAAGACACTATACACTCTTAAATATTCTTTCCTTTAATCATTGGGTTAATGTCTCTAAAATTCACAGTGTGTTACTTCTGGTTGCTGTGTGAAGAGTTGTGTTGGGGTTGACTGACTCATATTCATAAATAACCAAAAATAAGTTAGTACTGTTTCTGACATGGGCTTTGATTGTAGCAGATATTTTGGACAGGATCCCCACCTTGTTATTATATTAGTGCTCTGCTCAGTCCAGAGAATTAGTCATCACCTCATTGCCAACTTAAAAGGGTATTTAAAGTTTAGGAAAGAATTGGCAATATATTAGAGCACATCTTGAGGGCGCTGCTGGAGACAATTGGTAATATATTAGAGCACATCTTGAGGGCGCTGCTGGCTACATGGAAGCAACAGTCACTCTGCCTCATTTACTCCTATTATTATGGCCGGAGAGAAAATGACAAGATAATTTATGTAGGAATGTTTTCTGTAGACTTTTACTTTGTGCCATGTTTTTTATTACTGTATATATATTATATATTATATAAAACATTTATATACCGCTTCTAGGTTTGTAAAAAAAAAAAAAAAAAAAAAAGGATTTATCAGGTGTAATTGGCTTGTTATGTTGAACAGTGTCTGTGTTGGCTTTTGATTCAAAAGGTGACACCCCCTAGGGTCAACACTTGCCTCAGAGGAGCTCCAGGATATTTCAACAATCCTAAGTATTGTAGTACAGGTTGATGGTAGTGAGTGGTGTCCCAGAGAACATAAAGGTATAGTGCTCTTGAAAAATAGGTGAGATAACAGGAATGTGCCAAGGGAAGTGAAAACTTGGACGAGAAAAAGTTGCCCTAGTGTTTCCAGTGCAGAGTAGAACATTCAAGATGGCCGCGGCAAGAGGAAATACAAAACAGACTTTGATTTTGCTGGATTCAACAAAGAAAGCATTGATATTAGTAGTCTACATAACAAGTTGGTAAAATTAGATACTATAGTGAACTCTCATGTAGAAATAATTAGTAAATTGCAAGAAAGTAATTACCATTTAAATAGCAAAGTTTTATGTCTTGAGGGTTTAGTGAAAGACTTGCGCAAGGATAAGAATTAATTGGAAACAAATTGCAAAGCCATGGAAGAAGAAAATAAACTCTTAAAAATAGCTTTGGAAGATGTTAAAGTAAATTTAAACATAAATGACTACAATAGGTTAGGTAAGGAAATTCAACAGGAGAAACAGCTTTTGTCAGCACAGATGGAGGAAGTTACACAGGGAATAGAACAGTGCAAGAAAGATATGCAACTCACTTATGCACAAGTGGCCAAGGAGAAGGAAAAAATTGAAGAAGCAGTAAAGGAAGTCAAACACTGCAGCAACCAAGATAAAACAAACATTAGGCTGGAAGTGAGAAAAGAATTAGCATCTAATTCGAAGTTGGTGCAAAACACAGTTGATCGGAATAAGTCCCTGATAATTTTTGGCTGCAAAGAAAAGGAGATAACATCTAGGACAGAAAGAGCTGTAGAAGAAGCTAAAGTAGTAGATAAAATTGTTGGCCTCGTGGAAGGTCTTACAACCATAGAGAATGTGTGCGACTACAGGAGAATAGGCAGATATGTAAAAGGGAAAGATCGACCTTTGAGAATCACCCTAAAAGGTGCCAAACAGATGGAAGAAGTACTAAGGAATGCTAGAAAATTACAAAGTGATGAGGATGGGAAAGTGTGGTCGTTAAGACGAGATCTTTCAAAAGAAGGCAGAGAGAAGCTGAAACTGAACCTCGCCGAGGCAAAACGTTTAAATGAGAGCAGGAATGAAGAAGAAATCAATTATTTTTTCTACAAAGTGTTAGGGGTAGGCAGACCAGTAAAGTGGTACATAAAGGCAAACCAACAAAATCATTAGAGAGAGGGGGAGTGAAAAATAAGAAGGGGAACAAGTTCCTGAAGATTGCATACACCAACATAGATGGTGTAAGATCGAAGATACTGGAGTTAAGTGATGTAATACAGCTGCAGCCACCAGACATTGTTGCACTCACAGAGACAAAACTTGAAGATGTAATTTTAAATGAGGTCATATTCCCAAGGGGCTACTCAATTTGGAGACGGGACAGAAAAATTAGGAAAGGCGGTGGCGTTGCTGTGCTGGTGAAAGAACACCTAAAGGTGAAGGAAAAAATGGCTGCCAATCCACAAGAAGTTGACATAATAGCACTAGAGATCTGCCATGAGGATGATAAACTAATGATCACAAATGCATATAGTCCACCGCCAAGCAGCACATGGTCAAAGGAGGAGCTAGATAGTAAACGAGAAGGTCTTATAACAATAATGAGAGAGATCATAGCGAGAGCGGAGAACGATAGGTCACGACTGTTGATAGTCGGTGACTTCAACTTGAAATCCATAGACTGGGAAGCATATGAAGCTAAAAACAGAAGATTTTTGGACCTGTAGATTTGTAGACCTCATCCTGGAAACATTCTTGTATCAACATGTTAAACAAGCTACGAGGATAAGGGAAGGGGACGTTCCCTCCATGCTAGATTTGATATTTACCAGGAAGGAGGAAGATATATTTGACATTCAGTACCTTCCTCCCTTGGGTAAAAGTGACCATGTCTTTTTGGGAATAAAGTATGCAATGCGCTATAATCTGGAAGAAAATAAGGAGGTTGAAGCAGTTGAAAAACCTGACTTCAGGAGAAGACATTATGGCAACCTTAGAAAATTTTTTAGTGAGTATAATTGGACAGACTTGTTGCTAGGCAAGGAAGTGAATGAGATGTATGTCAAGTTTTGTGAAATATATGATAAAGGCACAAAAAAATTTATACCAAAACAGAGATGCAGAACTAGGAAACAGGATTGGTTTAACAGAAATTGCGCGAGGGCCAGACACCAAAAGACACAAAAAACCAGCGTTGAATGTAATGAAACGCCATTTTCTGGGTGAGTCCCGGAGGCTCCCCGGAGCTATCCCAGGCTGATATGCTAATGTCAGACTTTGGCATCAGTCATGTGTATGGAGTTCTTAGGCCTACCGGGGACCACGGCCAGAACCGGGCCCCCTCAGAGAGGCAAGGGGAGCAATGGCCTATAGAAGCCCCCGTGTAGTTGGAAGCATTCTATGTCTGCCATCGACCGGAACAGGCACCCAGAAAGGTAAGCGCCCCAAAACAAACCCCTATTCTGGTTAAAATTGCTACCTAAAACCGAACTAGTGGATAGAACTCCCCAACCGAAAACAAGCAAACTAGTGTGACGTCACACACTGCCGCGCCGCTGTCTGCGCAGCTCCCCCCTCCCCGGGAGGGGGAAGGGGGAGCCCCAGACCCCCCGCGCCGGCTACCCACACCTCAGTTCTTGAGGCTGGATGTCAAAAACGCGAAAAACCGCCGACCGGAGGGAGGGAGGGATGCCGGGGAGCCTCCGGGACTCACCCAGAAAATGGCGTTTCATTACATTCAACGCTGGTTTTCTGGGGGGAGCCCCGTCGGCTCCCCGGAGCTAACTACCCACAGACAGAAAAAGAGGGACTTACCCGGGAGGCGGTCGTCGCTCACCCCTCAACTCGAAGCCGAGACAACTGGCCGCAACCGCCGACCCAAAGCAACACAGGCCCGACGAGGCCCAGGGACATTCACAAGGTAACGAGCAGCCAGGACCCTGTTCGACCGCCAAAATCCCCGCGCCCGAATATCAGACCAAGACATATTCCCAAAGACGGCAGCAAGAGCCGCGAACTTACGAACGTCATGGGCACGGGGATAGACCACAGGCTGGCTGGACCTAATAACCCTGCGGACGACCTGAGAGACCCGAACCCGCGAACAGGGAAGAAGGGAAACCGGATCAACCCACAGCGCGTCCCCGGACACAGAAGCTGTGGCGCACAAATAACGGCGAAGCGCCGCAACCGGACACAAAACATGATGCACCCCCGGCCTGACCAACCAAGCATCAACCACCCATGGACCCCTCTGGAACGCAGCAGTCTCATTCTTTGCCAGAAAAGAAGGAGACGGCTGCAAACGAACAAAACTTCTAAAGCTGAACCCCAGGGACGTGTACACTCACGGGGACCTAGCAGGGGGCGCCACCGAGGAGAACAGTGGAAGGGCAAACAAACTGAATAAAATGACAGAACCCCCCACCAGGCAAAAACAAAAAGAAAAACAAAACCCCGCAAGAGGACAGCGAACCCCAAGGAACAGAGCCGGCCGCGATGTCGGGAAATACAAGCTGAGCAGCACCCTGCGCCCCTACCAGTGCAAACTGCCTCTTACCTGCCGGTAACAAGGGAGAACAGAACACCCAAGAGCCCAACAGGCGGCCGAAAAACCGAAAGGTAAAATGGACCAGCAGAGGCAGACCCCGAGGAGCCTGTGGAAGGTGGCCCCAAGCCCCAAGGGCAGTACTTACAGGGCACCTAGGGAAGGCAGCCCTAGGCGCATGCAGCCCGAGTACTGAAGATAACTCCTGGCTCTCGCACCCACAAAACTAACACCACACGCAAAGCACAGTGCAGTAGCGACACCGGAGCCAGAGCACACGACCATCGCCTATAGCATCAGCCTCAAGAACTGAGGTGTGGGTAGCCGGCGCGGGGGGTCTGGGGCTCCCCCTTCCCCCTCCCGGGGAGGGGGGAGCTGCGCAGACAGCGGCGCGGCAGTGTGTGACGTCACACTAGTTTGCTTGTTTTCGGTTGGGGAGTTCTATCCACTAGTTCGGTTTTAGGTAGCAATTTTAACCAGAATAGGGGTTTGTTTTGGGGCGCTTACCTTTCTGGGTGCCTGTTCCGGTCGATGGCAGACATAGAATGCTTCCAACTACACGGGGCTTCTATAGGCCATTGCTCCCCTTGCCTCTCTGAGGGGGCCCGGTTCTGGCCGTGGTCCCCGGTAGGCCTAAGAACTCCATACACATGACTGATGCCAAAGTCTGACATTAGCATATCAGCCTGGGATAGCTCCGGGGAGCCGACGGGGCTCCCCCCAGAAATGGAATCGATACAGGAAGAGACCAAACCCCCAAACATACCAGCGATACAAAGATGCGAGAAACAACTACACGGCAATGAGGAGAGAGGCAGAAAGACATTTTGAAAAAGGGATTGCAGACAAATGTAAAACAGAACCAGGTCTATTCTATAAATTCATAAACAACAAACTGCCACTCCCACCTGTCAGCTCAAGTGACGCTGACTGGCTCTGAAGACCGCTCTGTCAACGCCCACATTTTGCCAGACTTCCTCAGCCTATTGCGCCCAAAATATGTCACCTACGATTTTTATTTTCCCCCCGTGCTCAGGGAACACAAATTAATGTTTTTAGAAGATGAAATAATTTTTTAGAATTTTTTTCTTGCACACAGGGGTATAAATCTTCTCAGAACCCCTTAGCAGCTTAAGGGTTAATCACAAGTGAAGGTACGAACACAGAGGACAACAGAGAGATTAGTGACATTCACAGAAGCCAGCCAGTATGAGGCTATGTTTAACACACCAATAAACATGAAAGTTGATGACCCAGACAGCTTCTTTATGAATGACATTCAAACTGCAGATAATATAACGGATATTAACACGAACTCGGAAGATTTTGAGAGAAACTGACAGTATGTCCATGCACTCGGCTCCTAAGCCAGACTCCTGTAATTCAATATTCATTAAGAAATGTAAAGTACCAGTAGCGCGAGCGCTCAGCATAATATGGAGAAAGAGCCTGGATACAGGGGAGATACCAACTGCACTTAAATCAGCAAATATAGCTCCAGTGCACAAGGGGGGTAGTAAAGCCTTGGCAAAAAATTATAGACCAGTTGCACTAACATCACACATAATAAAAGTTTTTAAAGAGTGATTAGGAATCAAATTTCTAGTTTTATGGAAAATAATGAACTACATAACCCCGGACAACATGGATTTAATGCGGGAAGATCCTGTCTGTCACAGTTACTCAACCACTGACAAAATCACAGAAGCTATAGAAGAAAAGCAAAATGCAGATGTAGTATACACAGACTTTGCAAAGGCATTCGACAAATGTGACCATGGAGTGATAGCACACAAAATGAAATCAATGGGAATAACTGGTAAAGTAGGACATTGGATACTCAATTTCCTGTCAAACAGAACACAAAGAGTAACAAAGTCGAGTTCAAGCAAGTTAAAAGCTCTGTATCTCAAGGTACAGTCCTTACACCACTGCTTTTCCTTATTCTCATATTAGATATAGACAAAAATACCAATCACAGCTTCATGTCATCCTTTGCAGACGACACAAAAATCAGCATGAAAATTACCTCTGCGGTAATTAATATTACCTCTATAATTGAAAAACTACAAGCAGATATCAAAGTTTTTGATTGGGCAGCAGAAAATAACATGATGTTTAACAGTGATAGATTCCAGGTACTCAGGTATGGCAAAAATAAGGACCTGAAACATAATACAGGGTACAAAACACAATCGAATCTGCCAATAGTAGGAAAAAAGCATGTCAAGGATTTGGGAATAATAATGTCCAAAGATCTAACGTTTAGGAAGCATAACGAAGCAAATATTGCATCAGCCAGAAAAATGATAGGATGGATTACAAAGAACTTTCAAATCCCGGGATCCCATCACAATGGTTGTACTCTTCAAGTCACTTGTGTTGTCCCATCTTGAGTACTGCTCTGTACTCACTTTCCCCTTCAGAGCAGGAGAGATTGCTGAAATAGAGGGAATACAGAGAACATTTACAGCACACATAGACGTGATAAAGCACCTAAATTATTGGGATCGTCTCAGAGCTCTCCAAATGTACTCACCAGAAAGGAGACACGAGAGAGAGATACCAAATAATATACACATGGAAAATACAGGAGGGCCAGGTCCCAAATCTACACAGTAAAATAACAACATACTGGAGTGAACGATATGGAAGAAAATGCAGAATAGAACCAGTGAAAAGCAGGGGTGCCATAGGCACAATCAGAGAACACTGTATAAACATCAGAGGTCTGCGATTTTTCAACGTCCTCCCAGTGAGCATAAAAAATATAGCCGGAACAACCGTGGATGTCTTCAAGAGAAAACTTGACTTTTCTAAAAAACGTGCCGGACCAACTGGGCTGTGGTGGGTATGTGGGCCTGCAGGTTGCTCCAAGCAACAGCCTGGTGGACCAAACTCACAAGTCAAGCCTAGCCTCGGGCCGAGCTTGGAGAGTAGAAGAACTCCCAGAACCCCATCAAGCAGGCTCTCGCACCCCCGGAAAACAGACACCAGACACGAAGCACAGTGCTGAATGACACTGAAGCCATAGCACACAACCGAATCCTCTAGCATCAGCTTCAGAACTGGGGTGTGGATTGCCAGCGTGTGGGTCTGGGGCTCCCAGGTGAACCCAGGTGAATAGAAAGTAATTTATGGCCAAGACTACTATCATTATTTAAGGATGAGCTGCAATATGGCTTATTTTTACAAATTGTTTACTAGGAGTCCCACTCCAATACTGGTATTCTAGAATGAAGCATGAACGAGTCATCAAGCTGATATAACTCGCTTCCATATACTGTAATTAGCAACTAGAAATGAATACAAACTAGTAACACACACCTTTCTGGAAGTTCCGTTGAGTCTTGCGACCTCAATCCGGTCGGGCCCTGCATCTGTCCAGTATAAGTTGCGTGCAATCCAATCTACAGCAATACCATCTGGATGGACTACTTCAGCAGACACTATCACCTCTTGTTCCGATCCATCTAATTTAGCACGATGAATGCGGAGTGTCTAGAAGCATAGGAGGATGCAAAGCTTAACCAAGGGCATGACTGCTAGGCTGGCATTAACATAAGCCTATAACTAGGCTGTCATCAGGCTGTCATGAACATAAGCATCATATTATAATCTAGAAATATTGCTGATCATCAACATCACTGCTGAGCTTCTCACTTTCACAGGATATGGGGCATCAGCCCAAAGAAGAAAGGTTAGCAGTATTGGAATAGAAGGATGTAGGAGGCATCAGCCCAGAGAAGAAAGGGAAGCAGTATTGGAATAGAAGGATGTGAGAGGCATCAGCCCAGAGAAGAAAGGGAAGCAGTATTGGAATAGAAGGATGTGGGAGGCATCAGCCCAGAGAAGAAAGGGAAGCAGTATTGGAATAGAAGGATGTGAGAGGCATCAGCCCAGAGAAGAAAGGGAAGCAGTATTGGAATAGAAGGATATGGGAGGCATCAGCCCAGAGAAGAAAGGGAAGCAGTATTGGAATAGAAGGATGTGAGAGGCATCAGCCCAGAGAAGAAAGGGAAGCAGTATTGGAATAGAAGGATGTGGGAAGCATCAGCCCAGAGAAGAAATGTAGGGGCCAGGTGCCCTCCCCACCCTTCCCTCTTCCCTCCATTTAGCCCACTTTATCCTATAATATTACTAATAGCATAATAAGAGCAAGTCTCACTATCTTCACATTAAATAACGTTGTTACATCAAAGGTACTGCAGTAATACCCAGCAGTTGGTATGCTTCAGTGACAAAATAAAAACATTTTATTTCTGCAGTGTAAGTATGATGGGCAAGAATTAAAGTATCAGAAAAAACTTGGGTAAAATACAAACTAATTTATTCCAAATAAAAGAATTACCTTGAACACTTGACATACAGCTTGGCATGTACATGATATAATAGAAACAACAAATTCACAAAAAACCAGCGTTGAATGTAACGAAACGCCTGTGTGTGTGTTAGGGGCCTGATGGCCGAGTGAACAGTGCTCGGGATCCGTGGTCCAAGTGTTTGGGGATCAATCCTCGGCAAACGCGGGAACAAATGGGAAGTTTCTTTCATCCTGATGCTCCTGTTCACTAGCAGTAAATAAATACCTAGGAGTTAGACAGCTGCTACAGGCTGCTTCCTGGGGAGGAAGGGAGGAAGGGGGGGGGGGGGGTGTTGAAGAGATGAAGAAAACAACAGTTGATTGACAATTGAAAGGCGGGCCCAAAGAGCCAGAGCTAAACCCACGCAAGCACAAATACGTGAGTACCCCACACACAGTGTCCCCATCTTCCTTCTGGTCTACCTCCTCTTGTCCCATCCTCACATCTACCTCCTCTTGTCCCATCCTCACATCTACCTCCTCTTGTCCCATCCTCAGTCACACATCTACCTCCTCTTGTCCCATCCTCAGTCACACATCTACCTCCTCTTGTCACATCCTCAGTCACACATCTACCTCCTCTTGTCACATCCTCAGTCACACATCTACCTCCTCTTGTCCCATCCTCACATCTACCTCCTCTTGTCCCATCCTCAGTCACACATCTACCTCCTCTTGTCACATCCTCAGTCACACATCTACCTCCTCTTGTCCCATCCTCAGTCACACATCTACCTCCTCTTGTCCCATCCTCAGTCACACATCTACCTCCTCTCCGCCACACTACAGTTTGTTACTGTTGACTTACCCCTTCCATCCACTAAATATGACTTGTCAACTTACTTCATCATCAGTCCAGTAAATAAAGCTGTCAATGGGATCAATATCAACAGCAATTGCATGTTTAACGCCCAGCACAGGAATGACAACAGCCGTGTGATCTGGAGTGTCGAGAGATATGCGGCGCAAATCCGTTCGACGAGCCAGTATCAGCATCTCTTCTGGTCCTGGAAATAACAGTTTTATAATGCAAAGAAAGTGTGAAAATGTTAAGAGAAAATTAAGCAATGTCTTTAAATACATAAGCTATTGGTATAAAACTAGGTGGTGTTCTGTACCTGTATCCTATAACATACCTCTGGTTAGCATATTCTAATACTAAAAACACAACTTGCCAGTGTTATGGAAAACAACAACTATACAACACAAGTCTACACTAAACTCTCTATAAACTGTACAAACTCTATACAACACCAAGTAGTAGTCAAGACTACTCAATAGCTTGGTGGATAAGAGCTTTGACTTTACACGTGTGGGGTCCACAGTTCGGGTCTCCTAGAGCCCAGGTGAATTGGACAAGTCAACACTGTTGGTGAGTAGAAAGATCTTGTATTTTGCATATATTAACCATAAGTGGAATCCGGATAAGCAAGCTCATACAGTACTGCATTAGAAACCCATGCACGCCTCACCATTGGAACAGTTGAACTCGTCAATGAGCTTCACTCCCGTGGGACACGCACAAGTGAAGTTATGAGGCGTTGGAGCTGCTAAACACAGGTGACTGCATCCTCCATTGTTGTTCTGGCACGGAGTGTTGACGTGAAGCTGCCGTGCGGGGTCATAAACATGGATGTACATTGGGGAGAGGTTTGTCCCAAGTTGTTGCTGCTTGTCACAACTTCTCTGATGGTAATAACATTTAGTCAGTTTTAGAAAATATCATCACTAAAATATTTTTTAGGCAAACTGTTAGTAAGAGGTACAAATCTAAATACAATAATACATATGACAATATTCAAAATAGTATTACACATCAAGAAGACACAGCTCTTATGGAAACTGGCAGCACATAATGAAAATATAAAAGCAAGGGAAGCGGACAACACCAAACACTAACCCTCTGACCAACGCTGCAGTAGTGTATAGCTCTCGTCTCCCAGTCTGTCCAGTATAAGGTGTTGTTGAAGTACGTCAAAGCAAACGGATGAGGCAACTTGCTCTGGACCACCTGTCAGTCAATCACATTTCATTTCTCAACATGCCAGAAATACATCATAAATTTAGTTTCTATAGGAATATTTATCAGCTGAAAATACTTTACCTAACAAACACATTGAAATAGATATATAGATATATGTCGTACCTAGTAGCCAGAACGCACTTCTCAGCCTACTATGCAAGGCCCGATTTGCCTAATAAGCCAAGTTTTCATGAATTAATTGTTTTTCGACTACCTAACTTAACCTAACTTTTTCGGCTACCTAACCTAACCTATAAAGATAGGTTAGGTTAGGTAGGGTTGGTCAGGTTCAGTCATATATCTACGTTAATTTTAACTCCAATAAAAAAAAATTGACCTCATACATAATGAAATGGGTAGCTTTATCATTTCATAAGAAAAAAATTAGAAAAAATATATTAATTCAGGAAAGCTTGGCTTATTAGGCAAATCAGGCCTTGCATAGCAGGCCGAGTACGACGTTCTGGCTACTAGGTACAACATTATTATTATATTATTATTATTATACATATATATATATATATACATATAAAACTGAAAACTCTCACCCCAGAAGTGACTCGAACCCATACTGCCAGGAGCAACGCAACTGGTATGTACAGGACGCCTTAATCCACTTGACCATCACGACCAGACATAAGGAAGTGATAGCCGAAGCTATTTGAACTACTTCCCCGCTGGCACTCGGATGGTAATCTTGGGCATAGCATTTTATCAAATCACCTCATTCTTGGGGGCACACGTGAGGAACACAAATGCGAACAAGCCTAAATGGTCCCCAGGACTATATGCAACTGAAAACAAACTAATCGTGATGGTCAAGCGGATTAAGGCGTCCTGTACATACCAGTTGCGTTGCTCCTGGCAGTATGGGTTCGAGTCACTTCTGTGTGTGAGTTTTCAGTTGCATATAGTCCTGGGGACCATTCAGATTTGTTCGCATATATATATATGAACAAGCCTGAATGGTCCCCAGGACTATATGCAACTGAAAACTCACACCCCAGAAGTGAGTTTGATGGGGTTGTTGGGCAAATAGCCTCGGGGGAATGCCTGCTGCATCCTCAGTTCCTGCCCGCTGTCAGAGGAGTTCGATGGTAGACAGGAGTGATGAACAGAAGAAGACAGGAAGGCCAACGATAAACAGCAAGGAAGAAGGAAGACAGCAGGGATAATAGTAGATAGGAGAGAAGTTAGAAAGGATGGACAAAGGTAGACCGCATGGACAATGATTGACAGGAGGGACAAAGGTAGATAAGAGGGATTGACAGTAGTGACACTGGTAGACTGGAAGGACGATGGTAGACAAAGAAGGCAGACTGGAAGGACGATGGTAGACAAAGAAGGCAGACAAGAGGGTTGACAGTAGACAGGAGGGAAGATGGTAGACAGGAGGGAAGATGGTAGACAGGAGGGAAGATGGTAGACAGGTGTGAAGATGGTAGACAGGCGTGAAGATGGTAGACAAGAAGGAAGATGGTAGACAAGAAGGAAGATGGTAGACAGGCGTGAAGATGGTAGACAAGAAGGAAGATGGTAGACAAGAAGGAAGATGGTAGACAAGAAGGAAGATGGTAGACAAGAAGGAAGATGGTAGACAAGAAGGAAGATGGTAGACAAGAAGGAAGATGGTAGACAAACAGTAAAACACACACATTCAGTACAACAATTACCTTTGTTCTTCTCTTGCCGTCAAAGTCCACTGAAGCAATATAGTTGAGCTTGGCATCTGCCCAGTATATAACCCGCTGTTCGTAATCCACCGTCAGACCATTGGGCCAAAATATTTCATCTTGAACAATGACTTGTCTTGTGGAGGAGTCGCCATTCATACCAGCTTTCTCAATCTTGGGATTTTCGCCCCAATCACTCCAAAACATCAGCCTGTAAAGTGCACAACAAGAAGTTCACTTTCAAATTATTCCTCAGGGAAGACCTACAGTTCATCTGTGATGGTAAACATCCAACAGATGGGACACAAACTGATGAAGCATTAACTAAATCTGTTTGTTAAAGGAAATATCTGTAAGACCCTGATAAAATCAGATAATTGAGTTGCACAATCAGTGCCTACTGAATAGATATACGAGAGTAAGCTACAGTGTCGGAGAACATGGCCACTGCAACCTGCGGAAAAGGAGCATACAGGTGAGGGACGAAAATAATTTCCACCAACATTATAGCACAACATGTTTTAGTAATGGTCAATGAGAGATGGTCTAGGGCACCTGACAGCCGAGTGGACAGCGCTTCAAATTAGGTTACGGGTTCGATCCCCAGTGGAAGCGGAGACAAATGGGCAAAATGTTTCTTTCACCTTGATGCCCCTGTTATCTAGCAGCAAATAGGTACCTGGGAGTTAGACAGCTGCTACGGGCTGCTTCCTGGGGGTGTGTAACAAAAAGGAGGCCTGGTCAAGGACCAGACAGCGGGGACACCAAGCCCCAAAATCGTCTCAAAAAAACCTCATATGAAAGCACACAGGCCAGGCATGGCTATTTATAGAACAAGCTAAGTTCTCTCGAGACAAAGATTGTTGAATCAGCATACCTAGTTGATGGGGTTCTGGGAGTTCTCCTACTCCCCAAGCCCGGCCCGAGGCCAAGCTTGACTTCTGAGAGTTCGGTCCATTGGGCTGTTGCTTGGAGCGGCCCGCAGGCCCCCACACCCACCACAGCCCAGTTGGTCCTGAACATCTTCTAGGAAACATTCTACTTTTCTCTTGAAGACGTCCACGGTTGTTCCGGCAATATTTCTTATAGTCACTAGGAGGACGTTGAACAACTGCGGACCTCTGATGTTTATACAGTGTTCTCTGATTGTGCCTATGGCACCTCTGCTCTTCACTGGTTCTATTCTGCATTTTCTTCCATATCGTTCACTCCAGTACGTTGTTATTTTACCGTGTAGATTCGGGACCTGCCCTTCCAGTATTTTCCATGTGTATATTATTTGGTATCTCTCTCGTCTCCTTTCTAGTGAGTACATTTGGAGAGCTTTGAGACGATCCCAATAATTTAGGTGCTTTATCCCGTCTATGCGTGCCGTATATGTTCTCTGTATTCCCTCTATTTCAGCAATCTCTCCTGCTCTGAAGGGGCAAGTGAGTACTGAGCAGTACTCGAGACGGGACAACACCATTGACTTGAGTATAACCATCATGATGGGATCCCTGGATTTGAAAGTTCGCGTAATCCATCCTATCATTTTTCTGGTTGACGCAATATTTGCTTGGTTATGCTAGATCGTCGGACATCATTATTCCCAAATCCTTGACATGCTGTTTACCTATTATGGGCAGATTCAATTGTGTTTTGTAACCTGTATTATGTTTCAGGTCCCCATTTTTGCCTTACCTGTGTACCTGGAATTTAATCGCTGTTAAACATCATGTTATTTTCTGCTGCCCAATCGAAAACTTTGTTGATATCTGCTTGTAATTTTTCCATGTCTTCAGCAGAGGTAATTTTCATGCTGATTTTTGTGTCATCTGCAAAGGATGACACGAAGCTGTGACTTGTATTTTTATCTATATCTGATATGAGAATAAGGAACAGCAGTGGTGCAAGGACTGTACCTTGAGGTACAGAGCTTTTAACTGTGCTTAGAATTGATTTTATTTGATTGACTGTTACTCATTTTGTTCTGTTTGACAGGAAATTGAGTATCCAGCATCCTACTTTACCAGTTATTCCCATTGACCTCATTTTGTGTGCTATCACTCCATGATCACATTTGTCGAATGCCTTTGCAAAGTCTGTGTATACTACATCTGCATTTTGCTTTTCTTCTAGAGCTTCTGTGATTTTGTCGTATTGGTTGAGTAACTGTGATAGACAAGATCTTCCCACTCTAAATCCATTTATTATTTTTACAACTTATACTAACAATTTATACTAACATACTAAATATACTAATTTATACTAACAATTTATACTAAATATTACAACCCTTTTGTGACCATCATCCCAGAAGGCTTTCATAAATGAATCCATATTGGGATATGTAATTACATCTAACAGCTATAAGCATATCACTAATATGCCAAAATAAATGCACATACATAATAAATGTTTAGCCAAATACATTTGGTTAAGATTTGTATAAATAGACCATTAAAAGAATCAGGGCAATGATACCCGCTTTGAGTGGATCACATCAGTGTCTAGACGCTGGTTACGACAATGGTAAACATACTCCTCCACCATGAACATATACAGTGGCACCTCAGCTTATGAATTTAAGGGGGGGGGCATATTACGAAAATATGCAATAAATCAAAACTGGTTCGATTTCAATCAAACTTTTTTGCCAGTTGAATATAAATTGGGTTCAACTGGTCCAAGTTTCAGCTTCAAAGCATAAATAGGAAGGGAGAAAAAAAATATTGAATTTTGTGTCAAAAATTCTTCAAAATGGTAAAAAATTAACATCAAACACAAGTGTCAACTGAAATCATGCCTATGACTAAGGTATCACAATAGCATATAATAAAGTATTTGAATACAGTATTTAGTTTTCTGACAAAAAAAAAAATTTAGATTCTTTTTTTTCCTCATTTTTTTTTATCAGGCGATTTGCCTGAAACTTGTAGACCTTACAGATCGTAAACCTATCTGTAAGGATGTAAATTTTGGATGAGATTGGTTAAAGTCAACTTCAACCACAGGTGACAGAATCTTTTATCTTATTTATTGTCAAGTAACATCAAATTAACTCTCCTCTTTGTTTCTTTTTCAATTTACATGAAATTTACACCTTATATGTAGAGTTGACAGCCTCTATAACCATATATGTAGAGTTGACAGCCAAAAGGTTACAATCCAAACAGGATACCCAGGCATTGGGATGCTATGCCCATACACAAAGCAATAATGTAAATTAGAAATTGCAGCCAGAGGGGGGGGGAGGGATGGAGCTTCATGGACAAGTGGTGCAGCAGCGATGGATTGTACACTTGCTTGTTTCATTGTTTTCTTCTGGGGGAGTTCTGTTTCTCTGTTCGGTCTTGGATTTACAGTTTCCTAGCAAGTGGGGTTTGTTTTGGAATGCCTACCTTTCTGGGTACTTAATCCCGATCAATGGAAGACATCAAATGCTCCCAAACACATTAGGGTTGCCTTAGGCCTTTGCTCCCAGCGCCTCTCTGAGGGGACCAGGTTCTGGCTCGTGGTCCCCAGTAGGCAGAATTCCATTGACTGAAGCCCCTGACTAATATAGCGTATATCAGTCTGATAGCTCCAAGAAGCCAAAGGGGGCTCCCCACAAAACGCAGAACAGGTATTTTGCAAGAACTAGTACCAGAAAATTAACCAGCAGAGCCGTACCCAGCACCAGCTCAGCAGCCGCTGAAGCAAAACACAGCAATTGATTGACAGTCGAGAGGGCGGGAGGGCGAGAGGGCGAGAGGGGCAGGACCAAAGAGCCAAAGCTCAACCCCCGCAAGCACAAATAGGTGAGTACAGCAGCAGTGAACATCAGCAAAGCTGATGCAAACATCTAAGAACATCGTGTGTGGAGTGTACAGTTAGAATAAGTGTTTAATTTAAGTACATAGTGTTAGTGTTAAAATTAAGGTTGCAGTACAGTAATTTTAGTATAAAATAGTTTTCATAAACTGTATTGCAGTACTCAACATACAGCAGAACTACTTATCAATACAGTGCTAACGGCATGATACAGTACAGTATGTATTTACTGTACAGTATTCATAACTCCATGAGAATTCAAGATGGACATAACTCCAACAATAAGGTAAATAATAACTGTAACAGTATTTTTTTTAGTAGAGTAGTAATATATAGGTACAATATGATAATGCAGATTTATTGTTTACAAGAGAGAGAGAGATTGACGCAAACGCCTCTTGAAGGTCACCTCTTGCAACGAACCCAGCGCTGCAATGCACCAGGGTTGGTCCCATATAATGCGTTGAATTGAGGTTCTACTGTACTGCAAGAACATGAGAGGTCCACGGTTGTTCAATATCCTCCCAGCAAGTATAAGACATATTCTCAGAACAAAAGTGGAATTCTTCAAGAAAATACAGTTTTCTGCAAGTGCCAGACCAACCAAGCTGTAGTTTATATGTAGGTCTGCTAGCCACTCCAAGCAACAGCCTGTTGGACCAAGCTATCAAGTCATGCCTGGCTTGTTGTTTTAGATTCAGCTACTCGGAACAAAAGTTCCAAGTAGCACCATCTATGGTGAACCCGTAGTGAACTTACCTGGCACAGGAGTGGGGCTGTAACTTCATGCCTGGCCCTGGGCCGGGGTTGATGAAGTAGAACAACTAGCAGAACCTCATCAAGGTACAATCCAGATAGTACATGAACATTGAAATATAAATGCAGATTCTCTACAGCATAAAAGCCTTGAAATGAGATGATAGCGAAGAACACATTCCAGTATACAATACACAAGTACTCTAGAAAGAAACTCACCCTTCAGCAGGAACAAGAGCAATAGCTCTAGGTTGATCAAGGTCCTGCCAGAAAAGAACACATCGATGTTTGGTGTACAATCCCGCAACCTCAATTTTGTTGGTGTCAGAGTCGGTCCAATATAGCTTCTCACTCAGCCAGTCAATTGCCAAGCCATCAGGTGATATAATTCCCCTTGATATTACTGTCACCTGAAAAAAGTAGTGTCACAATATTCCTCATACCAATGTAATAGTGCATAACGTTTTGAAATGGATGCCAAAACTCCAAATATAAATGAATTACATGTACTGCTAAAATTAATAGACAGTTTTACACAATGTTTAGGTAGGATCACAGGTTAACCGACCCGGAGCTATGCACACCTGGTTTAGCAAAGTAGTGGTAATGGTGTGCATAAGCTGCTGGTGTGTCATGGTAATGTCAGTGATGTAACACGTCTACTTCTCATGGTACAGTGTATCACACTGCCCCCCCCCCCCCCCCCGAACTATTACATTGCCCAAAAAAACTACCACATTGGGCAGTTACCTTGCCTTGCCTTACCTTACCTTAGGAATCAAGTTTCAAGTTTTATGGAAAAAATGGACTTCACAACTCAAAACAACATGGATTTAGAGCAGGAAGATCTCGTCTATCACAGTTACTCAACCACTATGACAATCACAGAAGTATTAAAAGAAAAACAAAATGCAGATGTTGCATACAAAGACATTGCAAATGCATTTGACAAATGTGACCATGGAGTGATAGTCCATAAAATAAGATCAGTAGGAATAACGGGTAAAGTGGGGCGTAGTATTTTCAACTTTGTCAAACAGAATGCAAAGAGTAACAGTCAATCAAATAAGATGAAGTCCAAGTGCAGCAAAATGCTCTCTACCCCAGGGCACAGATCCTTGCACCACTGCTATTTCCTCATTCTTATCTTGGATATAGATAAGAATATCTATATGGATATAAATTGGATAAGTTTAGATTAGGAAAGACTTGGGTAAATACTGGTTCAGTAACAGAGTTGTTGATATGTGGATATAGACAAAAATACTAGTCAAAGCTTTATGTCACCCTTTGCAGATACAAAAATCAGCATGAAAATTGCCTTTGTAGAACACACTGAAAAACTACAAGTAATTATCCAAAGAAGGCACCAGCCTTCAATCACCTATTGGTTGTGAATATTTTAGTTTACCTTGAAAAGCTTCATAGAAAACACCGACCTTACCTAACCTTCTTAGTATGTTAAGATAAGCATCTTATTGCTTCTTATTTACAATTATTACTTAACCTATCAACGGTATAGGTTAAGTAATAATTGTAATTAAGAAACAATAAGATGCTTATCTTAACATACTAAGAAGGTTAGGTGAGGCGGCATTTTCTATGAAGCTTTTCAAGGTAAACTAAAATATTTACAATCATTTAGTATGTCACATATGCACTTATTAAATAAGCCAATATTTACTATAAGCAAGTGCGAGAACGGGTTGCGTGATATATAATAATCAGTTTTATGTTCAAAAATCAAAAAAATCACCACAAAAATGAAATTTCTTACAGGCGTGATCGTCACTAAGTGGGCAGCTCTAGTAAACTGAGGCAGGTTGGCCCGCATGACCGGGAACCACACGCTCGGTCGACCCAAACGTGTACCAACAAATATCGTTAGTCGACAACACTATCGTAAGTCGAGTCGTATTTTTCTATCAAATTTACATCGTAACTCGAAATTATCTTAAGTCGAGGTGCCACTGTACAAGTGCAAGTCGTGTTGTGTGGCACTGTGCACTGCACCATGCTTCAGCTTGTCCAACTGCAAGAGAATATACCGAGTGGATAAGCAGTGATCCTTACCCACCATCCACTCCCCCTATGAAACAAGGGTTGAGAATGCTTCAACCTAATGCTCAGCTCATGCTCTACAAGCAACATTGGGTGGTAAGTACAGACATGTTTAATCATTTTTTTTATTAATATAATATTGAGGTACAAACACTTATGTGAAGGCAGCAAGACAAAAACGAATGAAATAGTTTAACAAATAATGTCAGGAACGAATAACGAGTAAATACAGTAACGACGAATAGCCGTTTCTTCACATGACAATGTACATTATTCTTATAGTATTGGTAATGTTTTCTTCCAATTTGCCCTTATATGCATATATCCCTTTAGAGCATTCTATTGCAAACAATTTGATACCAAAACGATTGACGTTGCACGAAAATTGAGGTGAGAAAACTGAAAAAAACATCAACATTTTGATGCAGGTGACGCTCGGTTGACCTTGGGATGTGCTGGGGGTCATGCGCCAGGACAGGCAAAGTGTTAATTGTGTGACATATATATAGAAACAGGATAGGAAATGACAGACACTGTCAGGCCCACCAGAGCTCCAACACCTATAAAAATGGCACTGCACTCCTGGTGAAGAGCGTGTGCTGAGAAAATCTGTGCAGTGAAGATTTTTGTTTAGTTATGAGTGTGTCTTAATGACCATAATATTCCATTCACATCATTTAGCAATTTGCTGGAATTCCAAAGTGCTTCTGTCATTTGTTTCACTTCACTGAATGTCACCCCTAGGGAGATGGGGGGGGGGGCGATTCTTATCTTTCTCATATCTGTATATCGTCCTAAAATCACAGATATTTTCATTTTTTGAGGCCTTCCTGCAAACCTCTATTTTCTCCATGACTTTAATCTCTTCTGTTGCTCTGTCTACTCTAGATGGCATCTCCTTTTCCAAACAGACAATTATTATAGACACAAAATTATAATAAACAAAAAGAATGCTAAAGGCAACCAAACAAAAGTAAGTGTAAATGTCCAAGACTCCAATAAGAAACAAAGGCATAAAGTTGCAATAAACAATGGTTTATCAGTACAGAGTGAGCCTGGCACTCGGTGATAGGTCAAAGTGAGGCGGAGAACATTTAGCATAGCACAAGTGACATTACAGCCCGTTTATCAGATAACAACTATCAGCATGAGAACAGGTGAACCCCTAAGCTCCCCATGAGCCAGCTCCCACCACAGCACAACACCAGCTGCTCTATCACCAATAATGAATTAATCAAAATATAAAAGCCATGCAAGTGCTATATATGACAAATTAATTTGTGCAATAATAATAAATGTCAAATGTTCTCCAAAATGATAGTACTGTACTGTACATAGAACAACTGTGAACAATAAATAAAGAACACGAAACAATGGATATAAATTGGATAAGTTTAGATTTAGGAAAGACTTGGGTAAATACTGGTTCAGTAACAGGGTTGTTGATTTGTGGAACCAATTGCCGCGTAACATTGTGGAGGTGGGGTCCCTCGATTGTTTCAAGCACGGGTTGGACAAGTATATGAGTGGGATTGGGTGGTTATAGAATAGGAGCTGCCTCGTATGGGCCAATAGGCCTTCTGCAGTTACCTTTGTTCTTATGTTCTTATGTTCTTAATATGTACAAAATACCAAAAAAAGCCTGTTTTGAATTTTTGAATTGTATTAATATAAAGGATGATAAAATTGCAACAATCTAACCTCACTAAGGCCTAATATAAGTAATACAGTGGTACCTCGCATAACGATTGCCCCAAATGACGAATATTTTGGGTAACGAACGGCCCGATCGGCGTCAAATCGTCCCGTATGACGAACGCTGGTTTGAGTAACGTCAACACAACATGGTGGGGTCGCGCTGCTGCTTGCACATTCTTAGACGCCTCCGACGATGCACATAAATTATGTTGTTCTTGTTTAAAGATGCTAATGATGCTGGGATATAAAAGGGTGACTGCTGAGATGTTGCAAAGCATTGACGTTTTTGTAGGAAAAAAGAAATGAAATATCTGATATACAACAAATGTCAAAAAAGTTCGTTCGGTGTTCGGCAGGTAGGCTGCTCCATTATAACAATCTTTCTTTGTTTCAAATGTGTTCCATTTGTTTTTTATTTGTCATTTACGTCTCAATAATGGAGAAGCCTACCTTACATACACTGAATAAACCATTATGACATTTTCCTTTCTTCAAATGTGTTCAATATTTATTTTTCATTTGTCTTATAGCAAAAGGTTCGTTCGGTGGTCGGCAGGTAGGCTGCTCCATGTTTCTTACATACAAAAAACGTAAATAATAAAAAAAATGAAGAATTTTGAAAACCAGTACAAATGTCAAAAAGGTTCGTTCGGTGGTCTACAGGTCGACTGCTCCATGTTTCTTAAAAAAAAAAAAAAACGAAAAATAAAAGAACTGTTGAAACAATTTGAAAAATGGACAAATGTCATAAAGGTTCGTTCAGTGTTTGTCGGGTAGGCTGCTCCATTATTGAGACGTAAGTGATAAATACAAAACAAATGGAACACATTTGAAACAAAGAAAGATTGTCATAATGGAGCAGCCTACCCAACAAACACTGAACGAACCTTTTGCTATAACGAATATGAAAGACAAGGGCTGCTGGCTGGGTTAGTAGTGCGTGAGCAACCGTTTGTAGCACACATGCCTCTGGCTCTCAAACACCTGTCCCACACGGTGTTGAAAGACTGTACTCAGTCAGTGCAATTCAGACCCTATTGTTTGAAGAACATAAGGGTCATAACATTGGTGAAGCTAGGCGCAATAAGGGCTTAACACAACGGTCGGATGCCTGTGATACAGCACCTATGAGGATGATACAGCGAGCGTATCCAGGTGTAGCTCTGAGCCCCACCCTTGCCATCTCTAATGTATATAGATGATACATAGATGAATCGTTTTCTGCGTTCAGTGATGATGCATCTGATACAAGTAGCATAGATGAACAGTGTTAGCGGCTTCCATGGTGGTGGTGTTCATTGATATTTTTAAGAATACCTGAATCTTTTCCTGACTGATGGACACTCTTTGTGGCTAGCTGAATCTCTTCCTGACTGATGGACACTCTTTGAGGCTAGCTGAATCTCTTCCTGTGTGGGACCTTACAAAGCGATCTTTTCAAGACTACCTTACAAATTGAGCTTTTCCTATAATCGTTTCAATACTACTTTATGCTTTACAAGCTTGGCTACATACCACCTACAAGTACTAAAGCCAAGGGTGCACGCGAGTGCATTATTTGCAAGCACACAGAACGATGAAACAGGAAACAAAAATCTATTTGTAGCTGGTGCAAGGAGAGCAAAGTCGCGCTGGGTACCATGGACTACTTCGTTGACTATTATGCACCTCCAAAGTACTGAGTGTGTAATACAGTGTGTTACTGTGTAAATAGTATGTGAAACTGTACATATTGTAATATTAGTGAATTTTTACCACGTAATATTGTGACAATAAACATTTATTGTGGACACATTACTGACACATGTATCACAGTTTCATGGAAAATTATGAACATTCTACTGTATACATATTGTAAAGGTCACAAATATGCATCATATACGATAAAAGAAACAAATAAAACCGCATTGGAAATGCATAGGAAAAATATTTGAAAATATATTTGTGGCAACACGCGGTGCTTGAATGGCCTGCGCGACCGTGTCTGGGAGCTTCACACACTGACGACCAGCCCCTGATGACGTCACAGCGCACCTTGTCCACGCCCTCACAGCCAAAGTAAGTGGAATTTGGTAATTATTTTTACATAGACATGTTCAGGGACGGTAATTTATCATTTTAAAGAAAAATTATATTTTGGGGAACATTTGATGTCATGCACACTAGGGAAATTTCACAATAAACACAGTGCATCACACTGGTTACATGGGGGACACTCGTTTTGTATGACGTCCGTTTCACATGACGAACATGGAACGGATTAAATTCGTTATGGGAGGTACCACTGTACTAGGCCTTGCACTATACTAAGCAAGGTTAGGTTAGGGTTTTTGTCTCTTCTCAGGCCTTTTACAATACAAATCAAAACATGGACGTCTTGGGGCTCGTTAGCCCACTTTCTGCACATATACTCCACAGTCACCTGGCAAAATCCTTCAGATAATTACAGTACTCTAATGTTCTTTAACAAATATATCATTTGCATGTGCCTAAGATTTACAGGGAAACTGTTTAAGTGATCATTATCTCAGAGAAAGATTATCTTGTTAAGAAGACATCATATTGAACACAGACTATTTACACGCAACATTTTGCTACAAGAGCTTTGTCAAGCCCAAACACAGCACGTACAATTGCATAAGTAAATACTGTACTCTATTATTCTACACAATGAAGGGATAAAACTCTGGTAGCAATCTGCTGACTGAATAGTCTCTACCCAACTCGGTGTCTTCAACTAAACATTATCGTTGGGACTTTGGTAGCCTTTGGGAAAAACATTTTATGACAATTACTTCAATCAAATGTTTACCTCTTTATGTCCCTTTGTCCCTCCACCGATCTTGTTGACCTGTACGCACTTGATGACCTCATTGTCAATGTCGGTCCAACAAACCAGCTGCCCCTTGTAGTAGTAATCCACAGATGCTGCATCTGTAACATCCTACACAGGCATGATGGGTTAATAAGGTAATATTTGCACATGATGAGTCACAATAAAGTGGTTGAAGGATGTTGACCAAACCACACACTACAAATTGAAGACATGACGATATTTCGCTCTGTCCCGGACCACAATCGACTTAATAATGGTCCAGGACGGACCGAAACGTCGTCATCTCTTCAGTTTCTAGTGTGTGGTTTGGTCAACAAGGTAACATTTATTAATTTAATACAATATAACCTTAATACATATTAAGGTAAAATTATTTACATTTTATCAGTAAACAGCACACACACACACACAGACTAGCAAAATAAAATAAGAACAAGCAAAACAATGAATCACTGTGTAACAAATTATTTTTATTTTCTTCCTAAGTAATAAATGTTATTTCCTATTTGTTTATACCTTCAAAGTGCAGAAAATGGCTATTATTCCCAAAAAAACTGCATTGAATGTAAATGAAACGCCATTTTCTAGGCAAGTCCCAGAGGCTCCCTGGAGCTATCGGACTGAAATTAGCTATATTAGTCTGGGGCTTCTGTCACATGGAATTCTGAATACCCGGAACCACAAGCCAGAACCTGGTTCCCTCAGAGGCGTAGGGAGCAATGGCCGATGAAAACTGCACTCTGAAAATATATTCATGTCTGCCATCGACCAGGGTTATGCACCCAGAAAGGTAGGCGCCCCAAAACAGATCCCAATTGGTTGAAAATTGCAACCAAAGACCAAACAGAGCAGATTTCCCCCCCCCCCCAAGAACAACAAGGTAACAAGCAAAACATCATCAAACCGATGCACCATCCTCCCCCCTACACACAGGGAGGGGGGAAGCCCCGCCCACACGAGCCAGTTCAACAGTTCAGACTGAACAAAGGTAAGAAAGCCACCGACCAGATGGAGGGATGGGGGGCTAACCCAGAAACCGAGCTCCCCCTTCCGGGAGAGGAGGGGAGGGCTGCGCGGACAAGCGGCACTGCGTCGAGGTGTGACGTTTGCTTGTTTCCTTGGGATTTGGGGGAGATCTGCCTCTCTTAAGTTTTCAGTTGCAATTTTCTTACCATGTGGGGTTTGTCTTGTTATGTCTACCTTTCTGGGTGCCTCAGCCAGTCGATGGTAGATTAGGAAAACCCCAATCTTTTTCCAGGGGCTATTGCCCCCTGTGCCTCTCTGAGGGGGACCAGGGGCCAGATTCCCGAAGCAGTTACGCAACGAACGTGTACATCTTTCCTCAATCTTTGACGGCTTTGGTTACATTTATTAAATAGTTAACAAGAATGAAAACTTGCCAATCAACTGTTAGTTATAAACATCCTCCTGGTGCTTAGAAGCTCCTTAACTGCTTAATAATTGTAAACAAAGCTGCCAAAGATTGAGAAAAGGTAATTACCCAAGTGTAGTTACAGGATGAGAGCTACGCTCGTGATGTCCCGTCTTCCCAGCACTCTGTCATATAACGCTTTGAAACTACTGACGGTCTTGGCCTCCACCACCTTCTCACCTAACTTGTTCCAACCGTCTACCACTCTGTTTGCGAAAGTGAATTTTCTTATATTTCTTCGGCATCTGTGTTTAGCTAGTTTAAATCTATGGCCTCTTGTTCTTAAAGTTCCAGGTCTAAGGAAATCTTCCCTATCAATTTTATCAATTCCTGTTACTATTTTGTATGTAGTGATCATATCACCTCTTTTTCTTCCGTCTTCTAGTTTTGGCATATTTAATGCCTCTAACCTCTCCTCGTAGCTCTTGCCCTTCAGTTCTGGGAGTCACTTAGTAGCGTGTCTTTGCACCTTTTCCAGTTTGTTGATGTGCTTCTTAAGATATGGGCACCACACAACTGCTGCATACTCTAGCTTTGGCCTAACAAAAGTCGTGAACAATTTCTTTAGTATATCGCCATCCATGTATTTAAAAGCAATTCTGAAGTTAGAAAGCGTGGCATAGGCTCCTCGCACAGTATTCTTTATGTGGTCCTCAGGTGATAGTTTTCTATCTAGAACCACCCCTAGATCTCTTTATCAGAATTCTTTAAAGATTTCTCACATAATATATAGGTTGTGTGGGGTCTATGTTCTCCTATTACACATTCCATAACATGGCAATTATTAACATTAAATTCCATTTGCCAAGTGGTGCTCCATATACTTATTTTGTCCAGGTCATCTTGAAGGGCATGACAATCATCTAAGGTTCTTATCCTTCCTATTATCTTAGCATCATCAGCAAACATGTTCATATAATTCTGAATACCAACTGGTAGATCATTTATGTAGACAATAAACATCACTGGTGCAAGAACTGAGCCCTATGGTACTCCACTTATGACATTTCTCCAGTCCGATACATGGTCTCTGATTACTGCCCTCATTTTTCTATCAGTCAGAAAATTTTTCATCCATGTTAAAAGCTTACCTGTCACCCCTCCAATATTTTCCAGTTTCCAGAACAACCTTTTATGTGGAACTGTGTCGAAAGCCTTTTTTAGGTCCAGATAGATGCAGTTAACCCAACCATCTCTTTCCTGTAATATCTCTGTGGCTCGATCATAGAAACTGAGTAAATTCAATACACAGGATCTTCCAGATCAAAAACCATACTGTCTGTCTGATATTATATCATTTCTCTCCAGGTGTTCTACCCATTTAGTTTTGATTAGTTTTTCCAATACTTTCACTATTACACTTGTCAATGATACAGGTCTATAATTGAGGGGGTCTTCCCTGCTGCCACTTTTGTAGATTGGAACTATGTTAGCCTGTTTCCACACGTCTGCTACAATTCCTATGCACAGGTATGCCTGAAAGATCAGGTGAGTGAGTGAGTGAGTGAGTGAGGGTGCGTGCATACTCACCTAGTTGTACTCGCCTAGTTGTACTCGCCTAGTTGTACTCGCCTAGTTGTGTTTGCGGGGGTTGAGCTCTGGCTCTTTGGTCCTGCCTCTCAACCGTCAATCAACAGGTGTAGATTCCTGACCCTATCGGGCTCTATCATATCTACACTTGAAACTGTGTATGGAGTCAGCCTCCACCACATCACCCCCTAATGCATTCCATTTGTCAACCACTCTGACACTAAAAAAAGTTCTTTCTAATATCTCTGTGGCTCATTTGGGCACTCAGTTTCCACCCGTGTCCCCTTGTGTTAAATAGACTGTCTTTATCTACCCTATCAATTCCCTTCAGAATCTTGAATGTGGTGATCATGTCCCCCTAACTCTTCCGTCTTCCAGCGAAGTGAGGTTTAATTCCCGTAGTTTCTCCTCGTAGCTCATACCTCTCAGCTCGGGTACTAGTCTGGTGGCAAACCTTTGAACCTTTTCCAGTTTAGTCTTATCCTTGACTAGATATGGACTCCATGCTGGGGCTGCATACTCCAGGATTGGCCTGACATATGTGGTATACAAAGTTCTGAATGATTCTTTACACAAGTTTCTGAATGCCGTTCGTATGTTGGCCAGCCTGGCATATGCCGCTGATGTTATCCGCTTGATATGTGCTGCAGGAGACAGGTCTGGCGTGATATCAACCCCCAAGTCTTTTTCCTTCTCTGACTCCTGAAGAATTTCCTCTCCCAGATGATACCTTGTATCTGGCCTCCTGCTCCCTACACCTATCTTCATTACATTACAATTGGTTGGGTTAAACTCTAACAACCATTTGTTCGACCATTCCTTCAGCTTGTCAAGGTCTTCTTGAAGCCTCAAACAGTCCTCTTCTGTTTTAATCCTTCTCATAATTTTAGCATCGTCCGCAAACATTGAGAGAAATGAATCGATACCCTCCGGGAGATCATTTACATATATCAGAAACAAGATAGGACCGAGTACAGAGCCCTGTGGGACTCCACTGGTGACTTCACGCCAATCGGAGGTCTCACCCCTCACCGTAACTCTCTGCTTCCTATTGCTTAGATGCTCCCTTATCCACTGGAGCACCTTACCAGCTACACCTGCCTGTCTCTCCAGCTTATGTACCAGCCTCTTATGCAGTACTGTGTCAAAGGCTTTCCGACAATCCAAGAAAATGCAGTCCGCCCAGCCCTCTCTTTCTTGCTTAATCTTTGTCACCTGATCGTAAAATTCTATCATGCCTGTAAGGCAAGATTTACCCTCCCTGAACCCATGTTGGCGATTTGTCATGAAGTCCCTTCTCTCCAGATGTGTTACCAGGTTTTTTCTCACAATCTTCTCCATCACCTTGCATGGTATACAAGTCAAGGACACTGGCCTGTAGTTCAGTGCCTCTTGCCTGTCGCCCTTTGTGTGTGTGTGTGTGTGTGTGTGTAATTACCTAAGTGTTTTTACCTAAGTGTAGTTACAGGATGAGAGCTACGCTCGTGGTGTCCCGTCTTCCCAGCACTCTTTGTCATATAATGCTTTGAAACTACTGACGGTCTTGACGGTGTGTGTGTGTATTATTTATATATATATATATATTATATATATATAATCTACAAGTTAGATTCACCATAACTGTACAACTAAGCTGGTATGGTGCCCTAAAGAGCATAGTGGTCACCCTCTACACAGCATGACGACATTGACGCATGACTATCTGCAGGACTTGACGACAAGTCATGCAGACACAATCTCCATTACCCAAATGGCTCCTCCCAACATCATCCTTTTGCTGTTATTACACTAATACATTATATACAAGTATCTACATTTGTGTTCACCATAAAGAACCACTGAGCTGGTATGGTGAATACATACAGTAACAGGTGGCCACACACAGTCAGCAGACAACACTATCTCCCTCCCTCAGCATTACTCTTCCCACCATACAGCACAGCGCTAATTATCACAACAATCCTGGTATTATCAGAATCCTGGGCATTTTTATCACAGTCAGGGGTCATCTGTAATACTATCATCACTAAATAATGCCAGTTACATATTTTTTACATTTTTAGGCAATGCTGTTAAGCATTGTTCACAAGCTAAACAGCCGTGCTGTTAGTTCATGCTGCATGCACCAGCCTTGGTTGCTCAGTCAGTACTGATGCTCTCACACCAGGGAATGTTGCCCAGGAACTTTTTTTTTAAATTGCATCTGTTTACAAGAGCCCTGAGGAAGCTGATGTGAACCCTGTGTAGCTGCGGGACTTTTCAATCTTGCATGGTATACATACACATCATGCACCATCATGTGAAATGGTGCACAATTCCGCAGCAGTTAATCACCACATCATATGATGTGTTGCGCAGTTTAAGGCTTAAAATATAAATACATATTTAAAGAGCAATCCATAAGGGATACAAACAAACCTATACGTACTTTAATAACTTGGCGTGACTGCCTCTCTTTTCCAACTTCTATAATGCGAATATCTTTGCGGTTGGCAAACAGCAACTCTGGGTAACCTGCAAAAGTAATGGTACTCTAAATATTTAAACATCAATATTACAATAATTAAATCAATTCCAAAGGAATTTTTTAGTGCCATAATCAATAAAACATAAGGTATATGTTCATAAGAGTATGTATTAAGTTATGCTAAGTGACCCTGTATACAAGTTATACTAAGTGACCCTGTATACAAGTTATACTAAGTGACCCTGTATACAAGTTATACTAAGTGACCCTGTATACAAGTTATACCAAGTGACCCTGTATACAAGTTATGCTAAGTGACCCTGTATACAAGTTATGCTAAGTGACCCTGTATACAAGTTATGCTAAGTGACCCTGTATACAAGTTATGCTAAGTGACCCTGTATACAAGTTATGCTAAGTGACCCTGTATACAAGTTATACTAAGTGACCCTGTATACAAGTTATACTAAGTGACCCTGTATACAAGTTATACTAAGTGACCCTGTATACAAGTTATGCTAAGTGACCCTGTATACAAGTTATACTAAGTGACCCTGTATACAAGTTATACTAAGTGACCCTGTATACAAGTTATACTAAGTGACCCTGTATACAAGTTATGCTAAGTGACCCTGTATACAAGTTATGCTAAGTGACCCTGTATACAAGTTATGCTAAGTGACCCTGTATACAAGTTATGCTAAGTGACCCTGTATACAAGTTATACTAAGTGACCCTGTATACAAGTTATGCTAAGTGACCCTGTATACAAGTTATGCCAAGTGACCCTGTATACAAGTTATGCTAAGTGACCCTGTATACAAGTTATACTAAGTGACCCTGTATACAAGTTATACTAAGTGACCCTGTATACAAGTTATACTAAGTGACCCTGTATACAGTACCTTCATCAGAGTATGGATTAAGTTATGCTAACTGACACTTGTATTCCTTTATCAGAGCATCACCAGGTTCCCCACTTTCAACGAGTGGGAATACATTAGTCTGGAGAAAATACTCATGTAGCAAATGACAATTAAAGTGAGATGTTCAAAAACCGTGTCCATTCACCATGTTATGTACTACACATCCCCATGTTATGTACTACACATCCCCATGTTATGTACTACACATCCCCATGTTATATACTACACATCACCATGTTATATAAAACACATCCCCATGTTATATACTACACATCACCATGTCAACACACCCCACTCTCCAGGAGCCAGAATTCACGAAGCAGTTCCGCAAGCACTTACGAACGTGTACATCTTTTCTCAATCTTTGGCGGCTTTGTTTACAATTATTAGACAGTTAATGAGCTCCGAAGCACCAGGAGGCTGTTTATAACAATACCAACACTTGATTAGGAAGTTTTCATGCTTGTAAACCATTTAATAAATGTAATCAAAGCTGTCAAAGATTGAGGAAAGATGTACACGTTCTTAAGTACAGTACTTGCGCAACTGCTTCATGAATCTGGCCCCAGCACCGCATCATGCAACTACAATTTCATTCACCTGGACTATAGTAGACTCGAACCGCGGACCCCATGCATGCGAGGCCAAAGCTCTATCGACCTATACGAATGTACTCTATGAAATGTTTATTTTCGCGGAAGTGTGTGTGTGTGTGTGCAACCCATCCTCTGAATTGACAGTACAGTTTAATATTAAGTGTAACAAGTATATTTCTTTACTGTTATGCATAGTACATAATTGCACTTATGGGGCTGTTACATTTACCTCCCCGTTTATTCTCGTTTTCTGTTAATACATTCAAAATTTTAGGATGAAGTTTTCAGGTTCAATTCGCTATACACAAGTTTTAAATATCAGGAATTCCTTTTTCAGTTTTATTAAACAATAGAGATTTTATACAAAATTTGAAAATATCCTGAGTAACTTTACAATTTATTAATATATTTTACTTTAGTTTTATTAGTTTTATAAAACTGTAATATCAATATAGCTATAGGTTAAGTACTAATTGTAATTAAGAACCAATAAAATGCTTATCTTCAAACACTAAGAAGGTTAGGTTAGGTCGTGGTTTTCTATTCAGCTTTTCAGGTAAATTCAAATATTCACAATATATTTGACAGCACGGTTTATTTCTAAGTGAAAATAAGTACAATTCCTGACTGCTATGAATAGTACATAATTGCACTTACTTGTGTTGTTACATTTACCTCCCCATTTTTGGAGGACTGGCTGGTGTGCGAGATTTTCCTTGTTTTCCTGACTTTTACTTGCAGCAGTCGCCTCGAGTGGATTAGGCAGACTCCCTTGCATGAGTTAGAACTATCACGTATTCAAGAAATGCCTAGAGCACAGGTCTCACTTTCCCAAGTATTCTCTGTTGAGTTATGACCCCCTCAGAGTAGCCTACTCAAGACAGATGTATACCTATAGAAGTGCGAGTCCCTTTGGTCATGCCATTCACTGTGTGCACGAGGTGCACTGAATGGTAAAGATCCACATCAATTTGTTTGAAAGTTGACAAGTGTTAGCATGGGGTCATGTACATTAGGTAGCAGTCGATATCAAGAGTCAGGTCTAAAGGAAAGATGGTGTAACTTTTAACAAGTTTATTTACAACTTAACTAGTACAACACATGGGAATCTTTTACTTAAATTAAGAGTGACACATCAATTAGCTATGAAAATCATACCCAGCAGGAATCGTTTCTCACTGATCTAGTATGAGAATTCTCGACTCTTGTACAAGTCACACAGTGAACTAATCTGAACATTGGTGAACACTTGCAATTACATGTACTGTATGTATTCCAACGCTTGCATTATCAAAATAATAATGCTACGATTAATTTTTAATTATACGTTTGTCACCGAGACAAATACTAAATAATGCTGGCGAGACACTCCTAATCTGACGTGTATCATCAATCAATGCAGGGTCACCTTCAGAGAGGCGTATCATGTTGAAGGTCTCCACCAACTCTCAAATGAATGTGATAAACGCTATCACAGTCTCGATTTGATCACAGAGGAATCGATACGATATTGACTCTGCCAATACAAGTGTTGGACGATTTACTTCTTAATCATCACACGAGATATACACAATGAAAATAAATAGGATCCTGTAAACAAAGAATCCTGTATAGGATCCTGTACTTACATTAATTCGCATACACCCATTCATACTCAGACATTGACGATGGTGTCCTTGACGGAGCCGCTAGTGTCTTCCTATGATGTTGAGACAGGTGTTGAAGCAACCCGTCCTCTTAAAAATAACGTCACTTTTCGCTCGTATGCGCACCATGGCCAAATTTGGTCGTAATTTGAAATGAAATCCACTCACAAAAGTGACATACTGTTCCGTTTTCTGTTCGAGTCGTCCGGATTACTCGGCAAGCTTAGAAGAGGAAACTTTTCATTAACGTTTTGAAACTGAGAATTTCCTGCCCACCTAACCTATCAGAGGACCCTTAACTTAATGTTGTTGAAAAAAAAAAATCCCAAATTTATTTTCATTTTTTTTTTTCATTTTCAAATTACGTCCATATTAAGCCAAACGGGCAAACGGCCAAAAGCAACGTTCTTTTTAAGAGGACAGGTTGGTTGAAGATGTTTGATGGTTTATGACATGATGAAACATCTGGTGCATCGCTCACGATGTGCGTACGTGCATCACGTACTCCATGCACGGCGAGGATGGCACGACCTAGCTTCTTCAAGACCAGGAGGCATTGCCATCAACCTCCAGCCGGTGTTCTGATAAACATCCATCCCAAAGTCACCCGAAACTGTTCCTCGCACAGCTTGGAACAAGGCCTCACACAGTCCCATTTAGAGTTGACAAATCACTTCGTTACCACACTGGAAATCCTCACTGATGTTAAGTACATGTTACAGTCTCACGCATTGAGCTGCTGTGCTAACACACCAACACAGTGACGTGAACATAAACATACCACATACAGTTGAGAGGCGAGACCAAGAGCTGAAGCCCAACCCCCGCAATCACAATTTATTTGTGTAAAGAGACATTACCGTCCTTTGGCTCTCGAGACGAGTTCATCGAATCTGTACTGTACAATAGTCTACCGTCGTACACGAACCTCCACAAGAGTCACATTAAATGTCACAGAGCGTGTGATGTTTAATGGAGTGCCGTATATGACAGAAGTGCTTCGGAATACCAGAAAATTGCAATGTGACGATGATGGCAAACTTTGGTCAATAAGACAAGACCTCTCAAAAGAGGACAGAGAAAAGCTGAAAGTGAACCTCATTGAAGCGAAACGTCTAAATGGGGATAGAAATGAAGACGAGAGGAATTCTTTTTTCTACAAAGTGTCAGGGACACAAGTTTGTGAAATAGTACATAAAGACAAAGAAACAAAATCATTAAAGGAAGGGGGTGTAAAAGAACAAAGGGAAGGGGAACATTCCTGAAAATAGTATATACCAACATAGATAGAGTGAGAAAAAATATTGGAGTTGAAGGATATAATTCAGCTCAAAGTCCCAGATATTGTCGCATTAACAGAGACGAAACTTGAAGATAATATTTTAAATGAGGTCGTATTCCCAAGGGGATACTCAGTTTGGAGATGTGACAGGAAAACTAGGAAGGGGGAGGAGTGGCTGTGCTGGTGAAAGAACACCTGAAGGTAAGAGAATTAATGTTTGAAAACCCTCGAGATATTGACAATGGCATTGCAGCTCTGGAATCAAGATAAGCTGATAATTTTAAATGCCTACAGCCCACCAGCAAGCAACACATGGACAAAGGAAGAACTGGATGACAAATGAGAGGGTCTCATAATGGTCATGAGAGATTATGGTAAGAGCTGACAAAGATAAATCCCGATTGTTGGTACTGGGGGACTTTAACTTTAAAGCAATAGACTGGGAGGCTTACGAGGCAAGAACAGAGGACATTTGGACATGCAGATTTGTAAACCTCATCTTGGAGACATTCATTTACCAACACGTCAAGCAGGCCACAAGAATGAGGGAAGGGGATGTTTCGTCAGTACTGGATCTAGTATTCACCAGGAAAAAAG